CAATACACATTCACTGTATTTCAAGCTTATCAAACTCAAAGGCTTACATGGGCCAAATAAACAAGGTGTAAGTTTACGTGGGCCGCAAAAAAAAATAAATTTACATTTTCATTAAAAAGTACAGTATAAAAAAAGAACAAAAATAAAATTAATGTTTTCTACTAATCTCCGCCCCCTCTACAAAACCCCAGCTCCCCTTTACTAAACCCTATCCATCCCTCTACCCAACTCCAGCCCCCCTCTACTAATCCCCAGCACCCCTCTCTACTAAACTCCAGCCCCCCTACTACTAAACCTCAGAACCCCCTCTATTAAACCCCAGCACCCCCCTCTCCTAAACCCCTGCCCCTGTTTAAAAAAAATAAATCAATATTAGCCTCCAGACTCAGACTCCACTCACATTGTATATCCGAATCCGGAGTCTTGCGTCTATACCCTTAATGGTGCCATCCGCACCCTGTGCCAGAGCTGAAACCCCTTGAAGGTGGAGCATGTAGACGTCACGTCGGAAAATGATGTGGCGTTGTGCACCTCCTCCGACCTCCATTCACCTCTGGCCGCCTCAACCCGCATCCATGCACTTCCGCCTGGCTTCAGGTCCCCTTAGCAATGAATATCTTGGCTGGGCCGCAAAGGGCCGCCAGTTTGACATCAGTGTTGTATATAAATATGTGTGCGTTGGTTCGATACAGTGCACTTAGTTTTACCTTCACTAAGTCTCGACTATTGTATGGTGCTAAAGGATATATTCTCTTCACTGTGCTCTGCGGGAGGGAAACTACACAGTGGACATCAGGTTATCCTGCTGTAAATGCTTGGTACCATACAAGTATCATAACCACTATAGTGCACTTTAGTATTTATAATGCCAGGAGTGGTCTGGCAACCCTCTCACTGGAAGTAGACAAACCAATTTAGGACAGTGTGACTTCTTACCTAGGGACCACCAGATATGGCCGGACTGGGAATGAAGAGCAGCCCTGGAAAAACATTCTGTACCAGCCCCATAATGCATTGCGCCAGCATGGTGTGCTGATATGAAAGCGGAAAAAAAAAAACTGAAAACTATCACTGAAATGTGAAAGCACTCATAGGGCTTCAAAATAAACAAAAGAGCAGGTTTGTTGTAAGCAGACATGCATTTGCATATAATCAATGTTTCAGTCCAACTACCTCGACATATTAAGGAAAGTTTCGTAATTGGACTGTAATTGTGAATGTATGCACAGCAGTAAAAAAATGACGTTATCTTGTTTATTTTGAAGTAACAAGAGTGTGCTCTTCACTTTGTCTGACAACTGGATGACCTCTGTCAACGTCAATTTAATTCCCATAGGAAAGCACTGGGAGGCTATTGCGCATGTGTGGCATAACGCTGTGCTTCATCACACCAATCAGCATCTCCTCATAGAGATGCATTGCAACAATGCATCTTTATGGGGAGCGTTCAGAGCGTGGAAATACTCAACATAGGTGCTGCACTCTGTGCAGCACTGGACTAGGAAGCAGCTCTAGTGGCCGTCTGAGTGACTGTCACAAGAGATGTTCCTAAGCAGCAATGTAAACACTGCCTTTTCTCGGAAAAGGTAGCATATACACTGCTCTGCATACAGGGACAGGCTATAGACACCAGAACCACTGCATTAAATTGTAGATGTTCTGGTGAATATAGTGTCCGTTTAATACGAAGTCTTTCTCTCACCAGTCCACTCTAAATTACAGGGAGAGCAGGAGACACAAGTGAAGATGCATTTTGTTTGTGTCTTTCCCCTCCAGGCCCCTTGCATGTGTCCCTTAGTCCCAGCCCTTTTGTAAATTTCTCCCCTTCCCCAGCCCTTCTGTTAGTCTCTTTCCCAGGCCGCAGCACCTCTGTATGTCTCTTTCCCCACAACTCCTCTGTGTGTCTCATTCTCCCCTTCTCCAGCCCCTCTGTGTGTCTCCTGTTCCCCTTTCCCAGCTCCTCTGTCACTTTCTGCCCAGACTAATCCGTGTCTTTTTTTCTCCCCAACCTCTCTGTGTGTCTTTTTACTCCCCTGCCCCTCCATGTGTCTCATTCCACCCCCTCCAGCCTTACATGTGTAACATTACCCCCGCCACCCCTCCATTCTTCTAAATCCCAGACATCCATGTGTCTCAATCCATCCCCCCAGACCTCTATCTGTCTCATTAGCTCCCTCAGCCCCGCCATGTGTCTTATTAGCCCCTCCATATGTCTTATTAGACCCCCAGCCCTCCATGTGTCCCTATAGCCCCCCTCCCAGCCCTCCATGTGTCTCATTCCACCTCCTCCAGTCTTACATTTGTTTCATCCGTCTATGTTTCTCAATCCATCCCCCCAGCCCTCTATGTGTCTCAATCCATCCCCCCCAGCCCTCCATTTGTCTCATTACCCCCCCCCAAGACCTCCGTGTGCCTTATTATCTCCCTCAGTCCCTTCATAGGTCCTTATGGCCCCTCCCATCCCTCCATGCATTCCTATACCCCACTCCCAGCTTTTCATGTGTCCCTATACCCCCTCCAAGCCCTTCATGTGTCCCCTATAGCCCCAGCCCCATGTGTGTCCTATTAGTTCCCCTAGCCCTCCGGTGTCCCATTAGTTCCCCCCAGCCCCCATGTGTTCCATTAGTCCCCCCTGCTCTCCCTGTACCTTGCTGTAGCATAGCCGAGCAGGCAGACCGTGGTGGAGGAGCTCCTGCTCTGTGAGTACTTCCTGTCTTACCGGGTAGGGGAACAGAAGCTCCTCTATCCGCAGTCTGCCTGCTCGGCCATGCTACATTCTGTGACCGACAGGAGGGGAGCGTGTCCCCTCCTGCCGGTTACTCTGTAATTGCGCCGTGCAGCCCACGGGCCTGTGCGCACTAGGTGGCCGCCCACTGGCCCGCTAGTGTGCTGGCCCACTGGGAATTTTTCTGCCACCAGGCACTGCTTCCCATCTCCACTACTTCAGACAGAGAGCTGGGAGTTATTGAAGACCTATCTTAGTGGCTAAGGGCATCAGCCAGGCTTAGCTGAAACCATAGCTCCCAAAAATGGAAGGTATGTAATGGGGATGGGCAAGGTCCATAATGGGTGTCACTCACCCAAGAAAGCAGCGGGTTTGCCCACAGACAGCCCTTAAGCCAGACACCAGCCTTCAGGACAATGCATGGAGAGCTTCAGTAGTGCTACCTGCTTGGTTCTCATGCCCGCAGCCCAGGGACACTGAAGCGTGATCAGCAGGGCCGCCATCAGGGCATGACAACCATAACGTCATGGGCCCGGCGGTCCTGGGGGGCCCGGACTGCTCTGGGAGTCCCGGGCCCCACATTCCATTTGAGCACATATAGATAGCGATTATCGCTATCTATATGTTCACCTCGGGCCCCGGCTACCTGTACAATGTAGACAGGGACCAGACAGCACATCTTAACTCTCCAGCAGCTCCTGTGCCTTTAAGTCTCACGAGCTCCGCGGCCTGGCAGAGCGTTGTCACGGGTTACCATGGCAACGCTCCGCGCGGCAAACAGGCACAGCTCGCGAGAGTTACAGGTAGGAGGTGCTGGAAAGTTAAGATGTGCTGGCTGGTCTACATTCTACAGCGGCTGGCACCCTCCACCAGACCACTGGACCACCAGGGATGCGATCTCCCCCCTTCCTGGCCAGGGAAGAAGCAGGGAGGGGGGAATAAAATGTAAATGTCACCAAAAAGGCTCCCCTCCCACCCCCACCCCCCAATGCAGCCCCCTATTTTACACACACACTGCATTCCCCATACAGACACTAAAACCACAACACACACACTGCCTTCCCCATACACACACTAAAACCACAACACAAACACGCACTGCATTCACCATACACACACTGCATTCACCATACACACACTAAAACTACAACACAAACACACACTGCATACACCATACACACACTAAAACCACAACACACTACATTCACCATACAAACACTAAAACCACAACACAAACACACACTGCATACACACACTAAAACTACAACACACACACTGCATTCACCATACACACACTAAAACCATAACACAAACACGCACTGCATTCACTATACACACATTAAAACCACAACACAAACACGCACTGCATTCACCATACACACACTGCAGTCACCATACAAACACTAAAACTACAACACAAACACACACTGCATTCACCATACACACACTAAACCTATAACACACACACTGCATTCACCATACGCACACTAAAACTACAACACAAACACACACTGCATTCACCATACACACACTAAAACTACAACACAATCACACACCACATTCACCATACACACACTAAAACTACAACACACACACAGCATTCACCATACACACACTAAAACCACAACACAAACACACACTGCATTCACCATACACACACAAACCACAACACAAACACAGCATTAACCATACACACACACTAAAACTACAACTCAAACACTCTGCATTCACTACACAAACACACACTTTATCTAAAACACACAAAACTACATCCATTATACAAATGTGCAATCTGTATCCATTTTACACACCACACAGGGCATCCTTGTGGACTAAGAATGGGCCGCTGGGGGCAGACTAGGGGGTGAGACACATGGAGGGACTAGGCGAGCGGGGGTGTGAGAGACACATGGAGGGTCTGAGGGGGAATGAGACACATGTAAAGCCTGGTTTGGAATGAGACACATAAAGAGACTGGAGACAAATGAGACACATTGGGCAGACTGGGGAGAAAACGATACATGCAGGGGCTGGGGGGTGAGACACATGCAGAGAGAATGAGACACATGGAGTGGTTTGGGGAAAATGAGACACATGGGGGGACCCAAGGGCAGTTTTCACACCGGGGCCCGGTGGTTTCTAGGTACGCCTCTGTGTAAGAGATATAAATGGAAATGCTATATTTGTATCTTTATGTCATGTGCACTATGCTCTGTCATTGTTGCTATGGATTCCAGACTATAGACACACAGATTACAGAGTTTTATGAGACGATATAGATGGCATGCTCTGATCTGGGTAAGTAAAGCATTCAATATATCTATTATACATGTGTCAGGCCTTACTTAGTTTAAAATTAGTCTTGTGTAAGAGGGCTGCCCAATTTATTTAGGTAGATGTGTGTGGTAGCTCCAGTTTCTAAGGCTGGTCTCCTATTTGTTTAAAAAAAATATTTTTTATATTAAGCAAACTAAACATACCCATTTTCATTTTGGGGACGTCTGGAATGCCCCCAAACTGTGTTTTCACTTTATTTGGTCTGGGTGCAGGCGGTACTTCAGTTTTATTCATGCAATGTAAAGCATTGCCATATAGTAGATAAAGCGATGCTTATCTCTAACTTATGCTTGCCTCTAGTGTCTGTCCACCTGACAACCACTAGAGGAGCTTCCAGTATGAGAACCAAGTTAGACTTGGTTCTCACAGCTAATCTCCATTTCATTGGAGAAGCACTGAGACTGGGCGAGCATGTCCTTTAGTGAATAACATTGATTATATTGTTACAATGGCACCCGTCAAGAGGTGTGTTATATTAAGGAGCAAGTGAGCAGTTCATTCGTGAATTTTATGCATTGGAAGCAGGAAAAATGGGCAAGCGAAAAGATCTGAGTGACATTGACAGTGATGGCTATATGTACATAAATAAAATGTACCCTTCTCTCCTAGTAGATCATAAGACTGATTTTACTCGTACACTCAAAGTAGATAAAAATAAACAGATTAATTTATTAATAAAAAGATAGACTAATATAAAGAGAAAACATTAAATCTCACATATAATACATCTATAACAAATAATTAAACAACAGCCGTAAAAAAGTCATAAAAAGTCCAGACCTTATTGAAATGCTCGGCGTCCCGAGTCAGCAAAGATGTATAAATGCTGAAAAAATAAGTCAAATAAAAGTCCTCTTTATAATCCAAGTGATGGCTGATAATGGTGGGAGTCAGACCTCTCCAAACGCGTTTCTCCGCTTTGGCGGCTTTTTCAATGGATGAGGTCTGTGTCTTTTTGTTCGCTTATATAGCGGTTTGCCGGCATTAATTAGAACCCGGCAAATACATCAAACAGTGAGTGTAACAAAAGTAACTTCTCTGAAACAAAATAGTTTCACTGTATCAGAACTTAACAGCTCAGGAAAGTTATCCCTTATTTAGATCGGCATATTATATTATTCCTCTTTATTTACTACTGTTACCATAGTAACGCCCGCCCAAGCAGGTTTAAATGTAACTGCCGTTTCCATTTAGTTAAAAAAGACGGAAAATATGAAAGAAAAAGAAGACAGAATTACAAAAGTGTTAAAAAAAAAAAAAAAGGGCAGAGAATGGGTGTTGCAAATGTAACTTCTCTATGCTCAAATAGTTAAAATATATCAAAACTCGATAACTAAAAAATAGTACTCTTCACTTAATCATTTAATCGGCCCATCACATTACCATTTTGTGTATGCTCCCGTTACTATAGTAACGATTGTCTGAGCAGGTTTAACTCTATCTGCCATATTTATTTGACGTAGGATGACAGGGAAATGGAGAAATCTATTATAAAAAGATGGTAATATTGGAATAGGGATCTCTCATTATGTCTACTCCTATTGATAGAATAAAGAAATTTCCATGTTACAGCTTGGATCAAAATTGTAAAATATTAGGGCAATCTAACAAACCTAATGTTATAGCTTACACTAACGCTGCTTGGTATAATTAGATGAGAGATTCTAGATCTCAAATAGTATCCATAAAAAGGGATCTTTATTCATAGTATTTAAGGACCTTATAGGAAAAAAAAAAAAAAAAAACACTTAAAGGGGGAAATTTATCCCAAAAAATGGCATAACTCAAATTCAGCATTTAATCCCTTAGGCTGCAACGTATCTAGTTGATATATCCATTTCATCTCAGTAATGCCCAGTTGTTTAGTATGGTCTCCTCCCCTCCAGTTTTTATTCACTCTACATATCCCCTTAAAGTTCAAAAGGCTCATATCCGAATTATGATGTTGTTTAAAATGGGCTGATACTGAATGTTGCATATAGCCTTTCTTTATATTCAACATATGTTCTCTAATTCTAATATATAGTTGCCTTTTTGTTCTTCCCACGTACTGGAGCCCACATGGGCACTCCAGTACGTATATCACGTTAGTGCTTTGGCAGGTGATATGTTCTTTTATTTTAAAAGATTCCATCTTTTTCTTACTGTTTTTGTTAGTAACTTCAAATACGCCTTTTGTTTGTTTAAACCTACTTTCTTTGCATGAAATGCAGTCCAGGCAATAGAAGAAGCCATTTTTCTTTGTTATAGTTGGAGCGTTTCTACCTTTATGGTGTTTGTTAGTTATTTTTCTTCTTAAGTTCGGTGCGCCCCTAAAGATAATCTTCGGTCTTTCCGGTAAACTGCTGGCCAGAATTTTGTCTTTTTTCAATAGATGCCAGTGTCTTGTAAGAATCCTTTTTAATTGTAGGTTTTCTTTATTATAATTCAAGATAATTGATGGAAATTTTTCTCCTAATTTTATTGCTCGTGATTTATCTTTATTATTCAATAGATTAACGCGGTCTAAATTATCAACTCTACATAGTGCCTCCTCTATTTCATTGTCTTGATAGTTTTTCATCAGAAATTTTTTCTTTACTCCTTCCGCTTGTTCTCTGTAGACTTCAGAATCTGTGCAGTTACGTCTCAAGCGTCTGAATTCATTATAAGGTACGTTCTTAAGCCACATCGGTAGGTGGCAACTCTCTTTAAGAATGAAGCTATTCACGTCTACTTCTTTAAAGTGCGTTTTCGTTTTAACTGTGCCGGAATCTACATAGATGATAAGGTCAAGGAATACTATCTGTGTCTTGCTCCAGGTAGTGTTAAGTTTAACACCCCATGTATTCTTGTTTACATATTCTAAGAACTTTTGCAGGTCTTCCATTTCACCTTCCCATATGAAAAAAACATCATCGATATATCTTTTATACCTGTATATGTTATTATTCCAGGGATGTTTATTCCAGATGTGATTATCCTCCCAGTCTCCCATGAACAGGTTGGCGAAACTGGGGGCAAATTTCGTCCCCATTGCTGTTCCCTTCTTTTGGAGGTAAAACTGATCTTCAAACAGAAAATAATTGGCTACATGACTGGATTAGAGCATCTCCAAAACGGCACGTCTTGTGAGGTGTTACCGGTATGCTGTAGTCAGTACTTACCAAAAGTGGTGCAAGGAAGGACAACCGGTGAGGGTCAAGGGCACCCATAGCTCATTGATGCTCATGAAGCAAGCCATATGGTCCGATCACACAGAAGAGCTACTGTAACTCAGATTGCTTAAAAATTTGCTGGCCATGATAAAATTGAGCCAGAACACATTGTGCATTGCAGTTGCATATAGGACTGCATAGTCGCAAGCCAGTCAGAGTATCCAAGATAATTCCTGTCCATAGACAAAAGCGTTTTTAATGAGTACTGGTCCATGGGCCAATGGAAGAAGGTTGCCTGAACTGATGAGTCATGTTTTCGTTTAGAGCAGGTGGATGGCGCTGTGTGTGTGTGTTGTTTACTTGGGGAAGAGGTGGCAGGTTGCCTCAGCCTTCCTGCCTTCTGCCTATAATGCAGTGTTGTGCTCTGGACAATCTTCTGCTGAGAAACATTGGGTCCTGGCATTCATGTTACTTTGACACATATCACCTACTTGGAGATTGTTGCAGACCACATACATTCCTTTATGAAATGGCTTTGTAACGAACCTTCCGTCAATCGATGCTCCTAGAGCTTACCAAGTACCATCAGCACCGCACCAGACACCATAAGCACTGCAGATCTCACAAACCACCGCAGCTTTGCTGGGAACTCGCCGTCCTCTACCCACCCTGGACCTACGACAAGGCTCCAGGTTCCAGTGGGTGAACCTCTCCTCCAAGAGAGAGTAGCAGGAACAAGCTCTTCAAAGAGTTTAGTGATTATAGCCCAGGGGAGTATACAGAGTATAGCAATCCCCCAGTGTAGATGCAGCCTTTTCCCCACACATGAGACAAGACTCTATGTTGAGGGTAAAACAGGAACTCAGCAGTCTGAGGGTTTATTGTCTTTTATACAGTTTTCCCCACAAGTTACCACCCACGTGGACCTTGTGGAGCACAGGACACAAAGTCACAAAAACAATCAAAACAGTCTTGTACAGTTAGACACTCCTAGATAATGTACACAAATCCTCTCCTCTGCCTGTCATATAATTAACAAAGACAGTGGACTAACTCAATTAGCTCTAAACAGAAAAAAACATACATTTTTACAAACCACAAAAAGTACCCCAAAATACAACATATCCCACGAACGGTTTAGGACTTCAGGAATTTCCTGGAAGTCTTATTTTTGCCCCACCGTGCACATGGTCCGATGCTCAAAACTGCTTCATACACTCGATGACAAAACACTGCTGGACAATTTAAGATGGCCGCCACCGCCACAAGTTTGAAAGGGGCATTGTGCTAAGTCCCAATATGCACAAATACTGTTTTTAAAAGGCAATACACCCCAAGGGCCATAGTCACAGGGCAAGAGGCTGGCAAGCAGGCCTCTCCAAAACCCAGTGGCGAGGTTACCTTCGCCACAGTGTTCCCCGATGGCAGTGGTTTCTTTCAGCAGGATTATGTACCCTGCCACACTGCAAAAATTGGAATGGTTTGAGGAATATGACAGAGTACAAGGTGTTGCCTTGGCTTCCAAATTCCCCAGATCTCAATCAGACTCAGTATCTGTGGGTTGTGCTGGAACAGCAAATCCAATTCATGGTTGCACCACCTTAAAGGATCTGCTGCTAATGTCTTGGTGCCAGATCCACAGGACACGTTCAGAGGTCTTGTGGAGTCCATGCCTTGACTCATGAGAGCTGTTTTGGAAGCAGGAGGGCACCTACATATTAGGCAGGTGGTTTTAATGTCGTCCACCAGATGCCAAGCCCTGCCACCTCTCTAGCCAGAAGTTCTCTGTCTGAGTAAGCCCAGCAGTGCAGGTCTTAGCTCATTGGCTGAGTGATCAGTTAGCGATCAGTACTAGTCTTTTACATTGTAAATTCATTTGGTCAGAGCCCCCTTCACCTACTATTCAAGTCGGTCAATCATGTTTTGTAAGAATTTAGTGCTTGTCTTGTTTACCTAGTGTACAGACCTGCAGAACATGTTGGTGCTATAAAAATAATTGTAATTCTGGGTCATGGTTAGAAGAGCTAATGGAAGTTAGCAGGAGCTTCCAGCTCTCACTTCCTGCTTAGAAGGAGCAGGAAGCAGCGCCTGGAAGATCTCAAATAAGAAGTGCAAATATATATACATATTGCTTCTTTTTTTTTTACCGACTCTACAATGTGATCTTCAAAGTTACAACATTTACAAAAACTGTACATTCCATTTTAACTGATTTTAATTCCATTTGCCTTCTTTTCTACCAAGGCTATCTTTGAAATGGGAAAGTGAAATGAAATTGATAAGTTTAATTGCCCTTCTATAACTAAATTAGATTAATGAGAGATAAAACATTGACGAATCCAACATACGCAGTCGATACTAGTAGGTTTTGCTCTGTTAATGTTATTTTCTAATTATCCTTACTATATACTATGTTACAGATATTATTGGTCCTTCTTATTGTTATAATGCTCACTCCGTGCATTAGCTTTCTTGTTACCTGTAGAAATGGCCTGCTGAGAATTATCAGATTAGTATGCTTCTTATGGCATGATGCAGATGGATGCTGGAGGCATGCAGCAAAATGCTGTCTGCAAGCCTTTGCAGTAATTGTCTGTATGTTTTAGGAAAGGGTGCGGTGATGAAATTTAAAGGGACACTCCACTGTTCAAATACAAAAAAAATATATATATAAAATAAAAATTACTGCTTAGTAGATATACTTCCAATGAAAACATGTTTGCCCTTAGTTATGTATTTTTTCATTGGGGTTATATCTAAAACAGCTTGCAAAAGCTGCAGTTCTCACTCATGTGTGCAGTCTTTGCAAGCCCTCCCCTTCTAATGCCGCCCAGACTTTATGAGGTTGTTCATTCACAGACTTACCAATGCAGATCACTGAAAAGTCTTTGCAAGGCAGGAGCTCTGAACAATTGCTGCCTCTTGAGTTTAGCTCTACTGAGCTAACCAAACCAGGAAGTAACAGGACGATTGTCTGATTGACAGCCAGGGGGTGTAACAAGGTTATTTATAAAAGTACCAATTTATATTGAAATCTGCACTTTCTGTAAAATTAAACAAGAACACCCTCTTCACACAAGCTGACATGGTTTAGGGGGTTTGCATTGCCCTTTTAAGTTCATGTAAATACTTAGAACATGGGTAGTCAACCTGGTCCCTACGGCCCACCAGTGGGTGTTTTGGGATTCCAGGTGGGCGGTAGCAGAGTCCTCCCTCCATCCAGAGAGATGAACGCTCTGTTCATCTCTCGAGCACTAAGTGTTAAGCAGTAAGTGCGAGGTTGCAGAATGCTCGCACAGGGGAAGCGCAGCATGTGTGCCTGAATGCACATGTCCACCCATATCACGTGCGTACGCATGTACGAATACGTGCGCTTGTGAACAAGTGTTACACGCGGGTAGAAGAAGGGGAGGAGTTGGGGTAGGTAGGGGGATACACGATAGCAGGGAGTGGAGTACTTGGAAAATCGGAGAAAGAAGGTGCAGAGTATTTGTAAAAAAGGAGAAAGAAGGAGTAGAGTACTTGTTGAATAGGAGAAAGAAGGAGCAGAGTATTTGTTAAAAAGGAGAAAGAAGAAGCACAGTACTTGTAGAATAGGAGAAAGAATGAGCAGAGTATTTGTAAAAAAGGAGAAAGAAGGAGCAGAGTACTTGTAGAATAGGAGAAAGAATGAGCAGAGTATTTGTAAAAAAGGAGAAAGAAGGAGCAGAGTACTTGTAGAGAGGAGAAAGAATGAGCAGAGTACATGATGAATAGGAGAAATAAGGAGCAGAGTACTTGTTAAAAAGGAGAAAGAAGAAGCACAGTACTTGTAGAATAGGAGAAAGAAGGAGCAGAGTATTTGTAAAAAAGGAGAAAGAAGGAGCAGAGTACTTGTAGAGAGGAGAAAGAATGAGCAGAGTACATGATGAATAGGAGAAAGAAGGAGCAGAGTACTTGTAGAATAGGAGAAAGAAGGAGCACAGTATTTGTAAAAAAGGAGAAAGAAGGAGCAGAGTACTTGTAGAATAGGAGAAAGAAGGAGCAGAGTATTTGTAAAAAAAGGAGAAAGAAGGAGCAGAGTACTTGTGGAATAGGAGAAAGAAGGAGCAGAGTACTTGTAGAATAGGAGAAAGAAGGAGCAGAGTACTTGTAGAATAGAAGAAAGAAGGAGCAGAGTACTTGTAGAATATGAGAAAGAATGAGCAGAGTATTTGTAAAAGAGGAGAAAGGAGCAGAGTACTTGTAGAATAGGAGAAAGAAGGAGCAGAGTACTTGTAAAAAAGAGAGAGAAGAAGCAGAGTACTTGTAGAATACGAGAAAGAATGAGCAGAGTATTTGTAAAAAAAGGAAAAAGGAGCAGAGTACTTGTAGAATACGAGAGAGAATGAGCAGAGTATTAGTAAAAAAGGAGAAAGGAGCAGAGTACTTGTAGAATAGGAGAAAGAAGGAGCAGAGTACTTGTAAAAAAGGAGAAAGAAGGAGCAGAGTACATGTAGAATAGGAGAAAGAAGGAGCAGAGTATTTGTAAAAAAGGGAAAAGGAGCAGAGTACTTGTAGAATACGAGAGAGAATGAGCAGAGTATTAGTAAAAAAGGAGAAAGGAGCAGAGTACTTGTAGAATAGGAGAAAGAAGGAGCAGAGAACTTGTAAAAAAGGAGAAAGAAGGAGCAGAGTACATGTAGAATAGGAGAAAGAAGGAGCAGAGTACTTGTAAAAAAGTAGAAAGAAGGAGCAGAGTACTTGTAGAGAGGAGAAAGAAGGAGCAGAGTACTTGTTGAATAGGAGAAAGAAGGAGCAGAGTACTTGTTAAAAAGGAGAAAGAAGGAGCAGAGTACTTTTAGAATAGGAGAAAGAAGGAGCAGAGTACTTGTAAAAAAGGAGAAAGAATGAGCAAAGTATTTGTAGAATACGAGAAAGAATGAGCAGAGTATTTGTAGAATACGAGAAAGAATGAGCAGAGTATTTGTAAAAAAGGAGAAAGGAGCAGAGTACTTGTAGAATAGGAGAAAGAAGGAGCGGAGTACTTGTAGAATATGAGAAAGAATGAGCAGAGTATTTGTAAAAAAGGAGAAAGGACCAGAGTACTTGTAGAATAGGAGAAAGAAGGAGCAGAGTACTTGTAAAAAAAAGAGAAAGAAGAAGCAGAGTACTTGTAGAATAGCAGAAAGAAGGAGCAGAGTATTTGAAAAAAAGGAGAAAGAAGGAAAATAAAAAATATAAAAAGGAAAAGGAGAGAATTGTTGTTGGCTAATAATAATAATTGGGCTACCTAGTTCAGCCTTCCTGCTGGGCATTGTTATAAGGAAGGTAAAAAAATAGAAAAAAGGGAAAAAAAGGGAAGGGGGAATTGAGGAGGGAGAGGAGGGGAGCTGATGCACGGATGAGCAAACAAATCGTCTGAATATCACCGAAAGAGGAGACCTTTGTTTGTTTGTTACAAAAATCGAACCAGATATCAAATATTTAGTCTCGCAGCATCAGCCTCAAGGATCTCATTAATCACTAGTAAAGGTAATTTCATTTTACTTTATAAAGTTAAAAACATTATAAACATGCATTAAGTAGAAATAAAAAGATAAATGTACGTACATTTTTTTTTAATTTTTTTTTTAAACACCCTCCTTTCCAAAAAATATTCTGCACTTGCGCGAAAACTGGTGGGCGGTAAGGAAATTTTTCCATCAAGAAAGATGCATTAGTGGGCGGAAGGTAAAAAAAGGTTGACCACCCTTGACTTAGAACAATTGACTTTTAAAATCTAAATTGCCTTGCCTCCCTTTTCAGTGCATTATGGTGACTCGGGTGAGATCTCATTACAATAAATACATTTAAACATTTTTTAAAAGCATGGGTCAAAATACCTACATCTGCAGCTTCAACAAGGATTAGAAGTGCTGAGATTTCAATGCGTACCATTCCATTTCCATGGTTTCATGGTTTTTCTTTTTTTTGTTTTTTTTTTTACAAATTGCTACACCTTAATTACCAAATTAAGTGAGGCATAGAAAATAAGTTTCTCTTACAGTGGCTTGCAGCCCCTCCTATGGTTCTAAAATAATTTTTAAAAAATAAAATAGCAGGCCATACCAGACAGTATTTAGACAAAATGGAAAGTTATCTCTAAAGACAGATGCCTTTTCCTGAAAATACTTCAAAAAGTTTGGTATAAGAGGTTGCAATCTGCTTTGGGTTGAACCCCCTCCCCCACAGTCTCTTGTCTCTGGAAACAATAAAGGGTTACTCCAAGCACCATGACCACTTTGGTGATTTGCAGTGGTCATGGTACCTGGAGTAAGTATGTGCAGCGTTTCGCCATGACTTCACTGCTCCCAGAGGTGTAACTGCACCTTTAGCAGTATCATTGGGGCGTTGTTAGCTAATGTGAATTCTGTGCAAACCTGGCCTCTGTCGTCTACAAACACAGCATGTTGGAAACAGACAGGCTATGGTGGCATGCTGCTCATCTCCTCCCCTAAGTCTGTCCTTCCCCCAGCAACTAGGGGGGCATTGAAATCAGTGGGAGAGGATCAGGCAAAAGGGAGACTTGGCCTTGGCACTAGAATGGCGGTAAGTTAGTCCTTTTTTTCTTCTTCCTTTCTTTGACCAAGGCGACTCCACAGGAGAGGTTACTCTAACCAAAACCAGTGTTTTCTCAAAACACTTAGTTTTGGTTTGTGCAAACTTTTAAACACAAAGAATGGTATTTGGTGTCCAACACTAAACACAATGTATTCATTGGGTCCAGAAGACACTTTCTTTTACAGAGTAGAACAATTGTTCTCCATGAGCTGCAACATATACTGATCTCCTCAAAGATAAATAGCTCTTATCTCTAAACACAATTCCTATTTCTATTACCTATCATACATAACTCAGAATCCGCTTCCAGAGTATGTACTGCTTACCCTAAAGATACACATCTTCTGTTTCATTTTATTAACATTATTCAGATTATACAACGTGCACTCCATCCCAGGGCTGACACACAGGTTCCAGGCAGGATTTTAAGGTGGAACTTTAGATAACAAAGGGTGAGTAGATTCAGTTGTAAGAAAGAACCACAGTCCACACTGTACCGCCACTTTATTTTATTTATATTGGCACACAAGTGCCAATCCCTCCAAACTCTCCCACTCGCCTGGAAGAGGTGGCAGGTGAGTTAGATGCACCAAGGTCACGTAGTGACTGTATGTGTATATGACTATGTCCGTGTGAAAGAATGTGTCTGTGTGTGCATGTATATGTGTTGCTATATAGGTGTGTCTTTGTGGAAGTTATATATGTGAGTACATGTGTGTATCATTTTTTATTCTATGTAGACTGTAAGCTCGTTTGAGCAGGGTCCTCTTCAACCTATCGTTCCTTTACGTTTTCTTGTAATTGTCCTATTTAAAGGTAAATCCCCCCTCTCATAATATTGTAAAGCACTGCGTAATCTGTTGGCGCTATATAAATGGCAATAATAATAATAATAATAATATGTGATTTTGGTAAATTGATTGTGTGTGAGAACTGAAGTTAGGGTATGCGATGTGGCATGTGGGTCGAGCATGCAAGGAGGGAAGGAAGTGGAATTTGTTCTTGGGTGAGCCCTGCTACTTCGCTATAAATAAACGAATGCAACGCCTATTCACAATACACAATACACTCTGTGTCCATTCATATTAAAGAAAATACAGAGTTCTGCAATAAATATTTTACACTGCTCCCGTTATCCTTACAGAATGAGCACAAAATATAGCATTCTCTCATAAATGCACAAATATTAATATTGCAGAATATACAGTGCTCAACCTATTGATATTAACTGATAAACATTGCTCCACTTCTATTTATACATTGCACCCCTCTAATATGCACAAATGATTCTATGATTAATGTAGAGCCATATTTGTATCACACACAGTTCCTTTAACAAAGATGCACAGAGCTTTAATGTTAGTGTATCTGAGCCGTTACACAATACCTGATCGTTCCATCATAATATATCTGTTTACAGTAAACAGTGCAGACTGTGTGTGTTTGTGGACACTACATACAGGAGCTCAGGGTGTGGTGTACTAGTCTATCAAATAGACACGGCCAGATCTCATTGTTTATCCACAAACAACGAACACAGGGCCTCAAACCCAAACAGAATCTCCCTCCAACAGTGCAAAAAACCAAAACTGCAGCAAAAATGACAGGAGTTAGAAAGAGGTTTACTGGAGTAATAGAGGAGTTATAGGGAGAGGCTATATGGAGTACAGGAGGAGCTATAGAGAGAGTGATATATGGAGGCAGAAGGTTATGGTGGAGAGGCTGCATGGTAATAGGAGGAGTTATAGAGAGAGGTTATATGGAGTAACAGGAGGAGTTATAGAGAGAGGTTATATGGAGTAATAGGAGGAGTTATAGAGAGAGGTTATATGGAGTAATAGGAGGAGTTATAGAGAGAGGTTATATGGAGTAATAAGAGGAGTTATAGGGAGAGGTTATATGGAGTAATAGGAGGAGTTATAGGGAGAGGTTATATGGAGTAACAGGAGGAGTTATAGAGAGAGGTTATATGGAGTAATAGGAGGAGTTATAGGGAGAGGTTATATAGATTAATAGAAGGAGTTATAGGGAGAGGTTATATGGAGTAATAGGAGGAGTTATAGGGAGCGGTTATATGGAGTAATAGAAGGAGATATAGGGAGAGGTTATATGGAGTAATAGGAGGAGTTATACAGAGAGGTTATATGGAGTAATAGGAGGAGTTATAGGGAGAAGTTATATAGATTAATAGAAGGAGTTATAGGGAGAGGTTATATGGAGTAATAGGAGGAGTTATAGGGAGAGGATATATGGAGTAATAGGAGGAGTTATAGGGAGAGGTTATATGGAGTAATAGGAGGAGTTATAGTGAGAGGATATATGGAGTAATAGAAGGAGTTATAGGGAGAGGTTATATGGAGGAGAGTTATAGGGAGAGGTTATATGGAGTAATAGGAGGAGTTATAGGGAGAGGTTATATGGAGTAATAGGAGGAGTTATAGGGAGAGGTTATATGGAGTAATAGGAGGAGTTATACAGAGAGGTTATATGGAGTAGTAGGAGGAGTTATACAGATAGGTTATATGGAGCAATAGGAGGAGTATAGTGAGAGGTTATATGGAGTAATAGGAGGAGTTAGGGAGAGGTTATATGGAGTAATAGGAGGAGTTATAGGGAGCGGGTTATATGGAGCAATAGGAGGAGTTATAGTGAGAGATTATATGGAGTAATAGGAGGAGTTATAAGAAGCGGTTATATGGAATAATAGGAGGAGTTATAGAGAGAGGTTATGTGGAGTAATAGGAGGAGTTATAGGGAGAGGTTATATGGAGTAATAGGAGGAATTATATGGAGAGGTTATATGGAGTAATAGGAGGAGTTATATGGAGAGGTTATATGGAGTAATAGGAGGAGTTATAGAGAGAGGTTATATGGAGTAATAGATGGAGACATAGGGAGAAGATATAATATATTAATAGGAGTAAAGGATTTCGTTTTTTTATTAAGTAGGTATATTAAGAAGAACAAGGAAACAGACGTTTTGACACAATCAGCTGAATTTGAATATCTTACGTTATTTAATACGGTGACTAGCCTTCGGCGAGCTAATGAAATCTGATTTGGCATTGGAAGCTGTACAAGCCTGCTATATGCAGCTCTATCTGGTATCTCAAAACCAATACAATGACTAAAGAAAGATGTAAGTCCTATCACTTGCTGTGCATGCAGGAATATGAATCTGAAGTTTACCCTAAAACATTTCTTGTAAAACTGGTTCATACTGATGTGTTCTCTGTCGACACTTCTCTACATTAACCAACAAGCCTGCGATCTGACACACAAATGTTTCTTTCAGGGTTATCCAAACTAAACTTGGAAATGTAACAAGCTCAAACGAAATGTCACGACTGAGGGTAGAACAGCGGCTTTGGAGATATTCTTCTATTGAGCTATAGTCACAATTAGGCTATTTTCAAATAAACTTTTGCCATTTGGTTTTTAATTCACTCCAATTCAGAGTTGTGTGAATAACCATGTCTGTAATGCATTCTAGCAAAACAATACATAGATCTTAACATTTGTTCATTTAATACTTAATATGATAGAATAAAAAAATAAAAACTCTGCATATATGTGTGCAATATTATCATATCTCAATAAAATACATTTGCTACTATACAATACTACGTGCAAAAGATATAATAATAATTATAGTGATAATAATAATCATAGATTCATTAAATTGGTGTTTCGCAGAACCCTGGCATTGATAGGATTAAACAATCAGCATCTCATGTCCAGTGGGAATGTGTGAAGTATGTACATAGCGTACTTTAACGTTTAGTGATTGCAGGTTTGCCCCTGTAAGTGTGTTCTTATTTACATGTAAACACCATTCACTTTGTGATGTCTCTTTGTTTGTGTATGTATACACACCGTCACACATTTATACACACAATTACTAAACCTGAACTCAGGACAAAGACAACCTGAACAGCCAATTAGAGGTAAGAGAAATATAATCCCAGGTGAGTTTCAACCAATCACAGAAAATTCAATTTCTTTCATTTGCTGTATAAAAAGTGTCTACGCATCCAGGTGTCACAGTATTTACCCTTCTAGGAATATTACACTACTACGTCCTGACTTACCAGGGATTTGTTCACAAGAAATATTGTACTTCTAGGATCTGAGAAGTCACCATGCTGTTTTGGCACAGCCAACCTGACCATTACTGGCCTACACCAGCTGAACATTACCAGAACCCAACCAGCTCTGTCTACAGGTGAGATGGGTGCAACCCACAATAGGACTAAAATTGATATAGTAGAGGGTCTATGGAGCACAACATGAAGCATCCCTCCATTCTTCATCAAACCATCCCTCTATCCTTATGGGTACTCATGCAGACAGCCCATGCTTTATGCTTGATGTTGCCTTTGGACCAAACCATGGATCTGAAACTATAGGGTTGATTCTATTATAATAGATACACACACAGACACACACTTCATCCCCAGCACACACACAGACACACACTGCACCCCCAGCACACACACAGACACACTTCATCACCAGCACACACATAGACACACACTTTACCCACAGCACACACAGACACACACTTAATCCCCAGCACACACACAAATACACACTACCATTGAGGACGCATATATGTTGGGGGGCAGTATTTTATCCTTGGACCCAGGCAGCACAATGTCTTGGGCGGACCCTGAGTTTTGGGAATTATTATATAGAAGTACCATAATGACTGAACTTTGCACACTTGAACACCCGAAAGATATTTTTAAGATTTTTTTTTTTGAACAGAACATTTTGATAAATTTTGTCCATTCATAGTTTGAGTGTATTGTGGCCCTTGCGGACTTTGAGAAAAAATGTTTTGAAGCTAATAAATGTCTTAAATTCCTACATTCTAATTAATTCATTAACATTTGTTTGTTGGAATTCATAATGATTATTTATTTGTACATGTCAAATAGCACTAGAAATGTGATTCTTTCCATAATTCATCCGAAAACGTGAATTCATTTTACAAATGTTAGATATTTTGTGTTGCATTTAAAGGCAGAGCAAGGATCCTATAAATAGCCCAAGATAAATATTTGCCCAAAATAGGCTGGAAACAAATAATTGGACAATTCATCTTGTTTTCAAACTAGCTATTTTACCATAAAATAATTTTCCTCTCCCGATTTTGTGAACATGCCATTTATATCTGAGTGTTACCTTTCTCTATTTTTTTTATTATTTGTTATTGTTATTTTATGAAATGAAAGGTTGTTTTGTTATGTGATTCAATAAGTAGTATCCTTTCAAAAGGTCTTAATACTGGAAAAATCGTATAAAGTAATGATATGATTTAAAATGAGCAGAAACCGCGTTGGTAATAACCAATGATCACAATTATAGCCTTAGCTATGTGTGAACATTCAGATCATATGTCGTCTATCTCATCCTCTATAAAGCAAAAGTACAGAGATATTTAAAGTGAAAATATAGGCACCCAGACCACTTCTGCTCATTGAAGTGGTCTGGGTGCAAAGTCCCAGGTCCCTTAACTCTGCAAAGGTAATAATTGCAGTTTTTAATAAACTGCAATAATTACCTTTGAGGTTTAACTCCACTTCCTTTGGACGCCTAACTGACGCTGGATGTCCTCACGCGATGCATGAGGACATCCAGCGTCATGTATAATGCTTTCCTATGGAGGAAATACTAATACATGCGCTACTACAAATGGCATCCTCAGGACCTCCCTGGTGTCTAGTGGGAGCACACACTGTGCCTCTGAACTGTGTATGGGCACAGACATCCTGTATGCCTGCCCCTTGCACTCTCCTCACGTTTGGTGAAGTCTGAGGTCACGGGTCATGTAACTCGCGACAGATGACTTCCCGAGTCGCAAGGGGAGGGCGAGAGGCAGACAGACAGGATTGTTCTGCCTTCCTCCCCCTTCCAACTATAGGTACAGAAACTGTAAAAGAGAAACATAGCTGTTTCTCAGAAATGGTACTGTTTTAGTTTGCAAAATTGCAAGGGCAGAATCGGTGGCTCTAAATCAGTTCATGAACATGAAGTGATTGTGATGCCAAGACTGCCCCTTTAATTATGGGAGCCCAATGTCAGCCGGGGTAAGTGCAGGGGATACCATCTGGGGCCTAGGGTAAGTGCAGGTGATACCATCTGGGTACTGGGGTAAGTGCAGGGGTGCCATCTGGGTTCTGGGGTAAGTGCAGGAGATACCATCTGGGTTCTGCAGTAAGTGCAGGGGATGCCATCTGGGTCCTGGGGTAAGTGTAAAGGGTGCCATATGGATTCTGGGGTAAGTGCAGGGGTGCCAGCTGAGTCCTGGGGTAAGTGCAAGGGATACCCTCTGGGCCTTGAGTAAGTGCAAGGGGTACCATCTGGGGCCTTGGTTAAGTGCAGGGGGGTACCATCTGGGGCCTTGGGTAAGTGCAGGGTGTACCATCTGGGGCCTTGGGTAAGTGCAGGGGATACCATCTGGGTCCTGGGGTAAGTGCAGGGGATACCATCTGGGTCCTGTGGTATGTGCAGCAGTGCCAGCTGAGTCCTGGGTAAGTGCAGGGGATACCATCTGGGTCCTGGGGTAAGTGCAGGGGATACCATCTGGGTCCTGTGGTATGTGCAGCAGTGCCAGCTGAGTCCTAGGGTAAGTGCAGGGGATACCATCTGGGTCCTGGGGTAAGTGCAGGGGAAGTGCACTATCTGGGTCCATGGGTAAGTGCAAGGTATATGGGTGCAGAGCAAGGGCTGGCACTACAATCAAGGTGCCTGAGCAAGATGCTGGGGGGCAGAGAGATTGCACTCACTGGCAGGATGTTTAGGGGCATATATGGCACTGGCACACTTTTCGGAGGCACATATGGCTTATTGGCACAATATACACATTTTATGAATATACTGCTATTTGGCATGATATACAGGGTTTATGTATTTAAATTGGCATGATAAACCTAGTTTATAAAGGTAATGCTTTTTGACATGATATACATATAAGATGTATGCCTGCCCTTAACTACTCATTAACATGATATACCAAGTTTATGCATTTAAATTTCCTTGGCATGATATATCAAGTTTTTGTACTTACTGCTTATTGGCATGGTTTACCAAGTTTGTGCATTTACTTTTCATTAACATGATATACAGGGTATATGCAATGAATGCATTATTAGCATTCCCTTACCAGGGAATCCTTCAGAACTCCTTTCACTAAATGCTTGCCTGATCGGGAAGATCTCCCCTATTGATTAGTGATGTCCAAGTGTCAGATGGGCAGGACCGTAGCTCCCCGGGCTGTTCTCTAACCACTTTTCACCTCTAGATGCCCAAGTGCATAGAACTTTAATTCTTTCTATTCAATTATCTTCTATATTGTCTATCAACTCATCTATTTTGTTTGTTTACTTCTGTCTATCGCTGATGTTAAAGGGTGCAGTGGTGTATTTTGGATCTGTGCTGCCCTAGGCATGACGGAACTTGGGCACCCCCTAATTTACATTTCCCCACCCCTTCCTGTCAATGCCACACCTCTTCCTTTTAAAGACTAACACACACACTTTGACTGACAGACACACACATTGATTTAACACAAACTGACAGACACACAATCACTGACTCACTCACAGACACATACTCACTGACATACACACACAATGACGCAGACACACACACTCACTCACTGACACACACACACTGACAGGCATACACAATCACTCAGACAAACACACATTCAGACAAACTCACTCACAGACACATACTGACAGACACACACAATCACTCAGACACACAGACTCCCTTAGTGTTTCTAAACTACTGTTTACGACTTCAAAATTTCCAAGTTTCCCTATGGACGAGCCTCCACTGCATGGCTCCATACCTCCCAAGTATCTCTATTAAGGAGTAACAGTCCTTATTTTGGACAAAAAAACAACCTTCTGTCCCTCTTTTCTCTCATATTGTTCCTCTTTTTTAGGATTTCCATGTTGTTGGTGTGTGAGTGTATAACACAACTCCACACGTCACAGTAATGTGTCTTTAAACTACAATAAATGGGTTTAAAAATCAGTCTGTGTAAATAAGATACATTGTTCTTGTTATAATTAACATTTTAGTTGCATAAATTATCAATAAGTCACCTATAAAAATTTAGAACAGCCCCTACAGCCATACCCCAGCCACACCCCTAAAATTAAAGTGTAAGTTTTTGTCCATTTGATATGTTTGGAGGTATGTGGCTCCTTCCGTGAGCTGCATTATACTATAGATATATTATATATACATATATATTATTAATAATACTAATTATTGTGTTTTCTGTCGCAGGGATTCACTGCAGCTCCCATTTCTGAAGCAGGAAGACCAAGCGCAAAGTACTCCAGTGTTCCCAGCATTTCAATGTGTCCTCTGTGCACCCAGCTCTCCTGCTGTCAAAATACATGAGGAGACACTCACCTACCTCAACCAGGGTAACTTACATTTTGTCTTGACAGTCATGTAATTATAATATATGTTGATAAAGCACACTGGCAGGAAAATTAAACAAATTATTACAAGCTTAGTAATGAAACCGCAACGCTGTGAATTTTACATTTTGATTTTATTCCCCCCACTTTATATAATTTGTCAAATATAATAGATATATTTACACCGTAATGCTAGTGTACATTGCATTAAACTAAAATAGCATTATTAAGTCTAAATATAAAGGTTCCATGCAGTGTTTGCATTTTACAGCAGACCAGGGGCTGCCATTATTTCACTGTAACCTGTGCGTTTTGAGGCCTTTGATTACGAAATGAAATATCTGTGTTCTGATTGGCTGCTTTGCATTTTCCACCAATCAGAATATTAGCTTACTTTATCTCAGAAAAGTAAGGCTTTCAGCAGCTGTAACATATTCAACAGGTATATTCCATAACTTTACTCAGTAATATATTCAAAATTGTGTCCATGTGACAGTTTTATATAAAAAGCTTCCATACCTTCAAAACATGGAAGTCAATCCATCATAATCACTCTGGATAGACTCAAAGATACAAAGATGGGTGCTATCGTTGCTTCTGAAGGTCAACACAGACATAGGAGAATTATGGGTCAGTCTATCGCAAACTGAAGTGGATAAATGGATGCCATTAAACTTGGACTCTATCTTGTCCTATTTATGGAGTGTTATTGAAGTTATGCTAAAATTTGATTAAGGAACTTTCACAATAGATTCTCCAAATGAACTTAGAAAACATGCATAGCAATCTCCTTTTAGATTTCGGAAGAAGTTACACATTAACAGAGAGTAACAAGTGCAATGTACTAAAAGGGTTAACTAAAGACACATTAATATTTCTGATACATAAGTTGGTGTCAGCCATTTATACCTGTATAATAAGGATTTTTGGGATCTTAGCAGATTTTAATTCTAATGTATAAAATTGCAATAATATCATGCACTAAATTAAGTGAATGAAACCACCATCTAGATTTTGTTACCAGTCCTTACCGGAGACAGTGTTAGTACAAACATTCTAAAGTTTTGTAAACAATATATAAACATTGATATGGATTAGATCTATGTTTACACAACATATTGCCAATGAACTCAAATATTGACATTCTGCATTTTACACAAAAATCATGTTACACTATTACCTAATTTCAAGTACAGTACTTCATTTTACACCATTACCTAAAAACACAAATCTGTATTCTAAAGCTTTTGAAAAACAAAAATGAAACTCTGTATTACCTAAATAGATTGTGTGTATCGTCAAACTGTTTCTGTCTGTGTCAAACATCAGAGGAAGAAACAGACTCAATATCTCACAAGTCTTTGTCTGTACCAAAACATTTGAGGTGGAGAACTGGACTCATATCTCTTAGGTCACTGTTGATGAACTTTTTCAAAATGGCGGAAGCATCCCACTCAAAAGTAATATAGGCTCGATGGAACAAAACAGTAGGCTCATTGACTTATTATGATGGTTAAATAAGAAAGCGGGGGCATTTGTTTTTAGAGTCAAGGTAGTGTATTAAAGCAAACATTGTGGGCACACTTTACCCAGAAATCAGCCCTAAGTTAGTACACACATAAATGCTCAAGTATATGTGGCATTTGAATCTATCATGGTAGTAGGACAGACTTTTTGTGCCGGCTTTAATTTTTAAATTTTTACATATTGTATTGACCAATCGTTTTGCTTTGCTTTGATTGGCTGCAGGTCAGTCATATGAGATCCGCATGTTAAGTAACTGGAAAGGAATTGGAGATATACCAGAGAGCCGTAGGTTTCTCAAGGTGAGGACTTCATATATTATTTATACTGTGTTTTACATAGATGTGTTAATTTAACATTATTTACAGGCATGGGGTTTCTGGCCATATTTCTTTTTAAGGCATATAGCTGTAATGTATCAATACAGACGATCAGAGTTAATCAAGTACTGGGCAGTGCCATCCTACCTCCTTGCCCTTACCATGTTCTAGAGAAAGGGAGCAAGCAAAAGGCAGACCTCATGTCCCTTTCAATGCTGTGCAGCTATTATCAGTAGAAGAAGGTTCTAAATGAATAAAACAATTCACATACCTGGTAAACGCTGTCATTGCTGTACAGAATGTAATTAAAACAATTTGGATTTCATAGAAAACTACCTGTGTAACTATCTCGCCTCTTTTTCCACTTCACAGACTGTGGCTCGAGTGATTTTTCACGACAGACGCCTACAATATAGTGAGAAACAGCAGCTGGAGAGCTGGCAGTTGAGTCATCCAGGGGATCGAATCTTGGACATAGGTACATATATAGTGCTTCGATGAAAAACAGGTTTAAGAAAACAGACTGACACATATATCATCATGTAACTGCTATTTACACCAGTTTATTAAAGAGAAAATGACCACTTAAAATGCGACTACATATTTTTTTCCACTATTCCCCAATGAGGCCTCAATGTCCCCCCAATATATTGTTTGGGCATCCGGTCCCCCCCCCCCACCAACAGCACTGAGTGAACTGCTTTTAATTCACAACCTGGTTGCAGTCAATCAGAGAAACTTGGAAACAGGTAGTGATAGCCTAACTATATGTTTCTCTGGGTGTCCTCTCCTTCTAATGCAGATTTCTTTTGTAGTTTAGATTATTCAATACTGTCAGTAGCTGAGCTGTGTACATACACTTGATAAGGAAGTATTTGTCTGGAGTGAGGGGCATTGCTAAAGAGGCAGACTTATCATGCAGCATTATGCAAAACATTTATTTATCTAATGCAAAAACCATAACGATTTCCGCATGCAAATGATGATTAGTTTCCATATTTATGTCATACTGAGCTTTACACTTGTATTCTAAAATAGAGTGGATGTGGTTTCTTGCAGATGTCCCCCTGTCTGTAGGTGTGATAGACCCACTGGTAAATCCAAGTACCCTGAACACCATTGAGTTCCTGTGGGACCCAAGCAAAAGAACATCTGTATTTATCCAGGTAACTTGGGACAAAGCTTTGGTAGGAAGTGACAAGCGTTGTGGAGGGTAGTAGACATCTTTGAAAACACCCAAAGGTGTAAAAATAAATAAAAGCTATCTCAAGAAGAAAGTAGACCAGAATGCCATAGTTAGAATTGTATTGTTAGAACCCTGTGTTTGTTGGCATCTCGATATATGAAATCATCAATATATGTGATCGTTAGCATCTATCACTCTTTCTACTTCAGGTTAATTGTATCAGCACAGAGTTTACACAGAAAAAGAATGGAGGTGAAAAAGGGGCCCCTTTCCGGATCCAGTTGGACACCTTCAGGGGAGATTCCGAGGGTAGCTTTACAGAACATCTTTATTCAGCAAGCTGCCAAGTCAAAGTGTTTAAGGTATGTTAATGAAGTGATATGATATATTTTTGAAACCTCACTCACATAATTTCAATTTATATTTCTTCTTCACTCAGCTGTCTTCTCTCCCATCCATCTGTCCTGTTATACAGCCCTCTCCATCTATGAACTCTCTCTCTCTCTTCTTTGCTAGCCAAAGGGTGCAGATCGCAAGCTGAAGACAGACCGTGAGAAGGTGGAAAAGCGCTCTGCTCTAGATCGCGAGAAGTACCAAACACCTTGTGAAACTACCATTATGACTGAGGTACATGGGGGACATTTCAAGCATACACCATTTTCTCGCATATAACATTGATATTTCACACATTTTTGAATTTTTTCATCTTTTAAATTTTTTGGTCCTTTTTTCCCTGATGATTTTACCATTGATTGCATTCACAAAACAAAGACAAAATACTAATATTATTAAGGGAAAAAGGAAGAATTTGCAATTTGAAGGATCATTTATAGTCCAGACAAAAAAAAATAACGTGATTTTTTTTTTTTTTTTTACCTCTTTGAGAAAATCCGCCATTCTGACAATGGCGGAAAAATTGGTTAGAAACAACATACAATCGAAGCCTCATATTTGTAACTTCGATTGAACCAAAATGATACCAAAAAATAAAATGAGGTGCAGTAAGGAATAAAAAAGTGAATAAATATGAACAAAGAGGAAAAGGACCAGAAAATCTGCCAAAAGCGTTAAAACAACACTATTTATGTAAAATCCCAATTGTACAGATTTCCCCACTATTGGGGCTTTATTTACCTTCAGCATTCCGCTACCATTCATGGTCTGAGTTTAGTCTTTTTTTTGTCATGCACAGCAGAGATGTTTATTTAAATTTACCTTTTGCTGTAGGCTGACAATGCTCATTTGAATTTTTTTTAAAAAGTCTCTGTTGTGCCAGACAATATACAAGGAAAATCATGAAAGTTCAACTCTGCCATAGTTACTTACTAAGGGGAGCGTCTGGAATTTGAAGAGAATTCAAAGGGGTTTTACTTGAAAGGACAAAACAGAAGAAGTGGAAAAATTATCAATGTTGACTATAATTACAATTATTACATAGCGGCAACATATTCCACAGTGCTGTACAATAAGTAAACAAGACAAACATTTAAAAAACATGACTGATATATGGGAAACAGCAGGTGAAGAGGATTCTGCCCAAACAAACGTACAATCTAAACAATACTACCGGTTCAGGTACTGGGGCCCTAATTTTGAAAATGTATTTTAAATTTACTTTGAATTCCCCCAAAAATTCATGTCAGTTAATAACTCTGCAGTGCAAGTGCAAATAAGAGGATAACAAAAAATACCAGTGAATGTGATACACTAATAAGAGCATAGTTTAGATTGCAAGCCTACTTGGGCAAGGACCTCTTCACCTCTTCCCGTGTGTCAAATGTGTTTTGTCAGAATTAATTGTTTGTCTTGGTTTATCTTTTGTACAGTGCTGCGAAATTTGTTGGCGCTTTATAAATAATTGTAATTGTGAGGGCTGCCTGTGACCCCCAGGTTCTGACAATTCCTTTCCCATGATCCTCTATGAAACATCTTTAAAATGGCTGCATCATGCAGAATTGCCAAATCAGCTGTTTTTGTTTTTGTAACCTCAAAATATGTAAAATCCCTTTGTTGCTGAAGGACTATCAATTAATTAATCTTTAAATTTTCTATTGCCTAAATATTACATTTTATTTATTTCATTTTTATTTTCTCAAGCAACATGGGCTTTCTATATTCTGTTGGGCAACACTTTACGGTTGATAACCTATAGACTTCAACCTATCGTTTCTGTAAGTTTTCTTGTAATTGTGCTATTTATAGTTAAATCCTCTCTCCCCCTCCCCTTCTAATATTGTAAAGCGCTACGGAATCTGTTGGCACTATATAAATGGCAATAATAATGATAATAATAATATTAATAATACTAATAACAGCCTGCCTGGGGAAGTCTTACGTTATTAAAAAAAAATGCTGGTTTGGCAGCCTTTTCCCGTGCCCTATAGAAAGTCCTTGCAATTAGACAGCTTTTATTTTAACCCCTTAAAAAAACAATCACATTTTAGATCTTGAACATTCTGGTTCTATCTTGCTTCCATGATTCTACTCTGTTATGGAATGTCTCACGTGTTGGTATCAACAAGACTCGACAGAGCTGCTAATGGTTGATAAACAAGGTATTTCATCTTGACTTTGTGTCTGGATAGTAAAAATTAATATAGCAACACAGAATACCATTGTTCCTTACGGTGTTAAATATGGCATATCCACTGACACAATCAACAATAAAGGGGAAAATATCACATCTTGAATTGTACCTATTTTCCTGTTTAGCATAAAAATGCAGAGAGTTCATCGATGCTTGGTTAAAGGCCAGATGACAGGAAAGAGTAATATTAGTTTTGCTGAACTTACAGTAGGGAAGATAGACATTTCAACAAAATGGCTGCCATTCATATGACACAAATTCCACTTAATGTGTGTTCTAAGGCAAATTCATACCTTTTGCAGTGTACACCTTGGCCAGAAATTGATACATCTAGGAGTCCCAGCAGTACCCCTGGACTGAACTCCCAAAATAATTTCAAAATGACCCCAGAGAGGTAAGTCAAAATTGAGAGAAGGTATCAACGACTTGTGATATGTCCAGATTTTTTGTGTGATTGGCAGATGCATCCACTACACAAAAACAGACACTGCATCCACTACACACACTGCATTCACTTTCCTCGCACACTCTCTCTATATCCACTTTACACGCACACACACCTTGCATCCACTATAAAGACACACTGCATCAACTTTACTTATCCTTGTGGGCGCACTCGGGGGTGAGTCCTGTGGGCAGAGTCTGGGGCAAGCCAGGTTTCGAACTGTGTAAAGAGGCCCAAAATTTCTAATGGTAGCCTTGCTTATATATGTATATAAATATAAATATAATTATAATAATAATTATATATATATCAGAGAGTGTTATTCACAAATTAATAACTATATAAAAAATAACCTTTATTTCACAATGGTTAAAAACAAGATGAACGTTTCAGTCCCAAATGGGGACTTTCATCAGGATCATAGACATACAGATTGGATGTTGGAGCCCTGGTAATGCACCCGGCCACCTTGTCTATTTGCAGCCAGAGTGCAAGGAATTCCAGTATATATATATATATATTTTAAAACAGTTTACTTGATATAAATTAAAACATGTAGCATTTATTTGTGCATTTTTTCATTGTGGGTATATCTAAAAACAGTTTGCAAAAGCTGCAGATCTCTTGTCTGCAGCGTTTGCAAGCACCCCCCCTACTAGATTTTCTTTGGCTGTCTAATCACAGACTTCCCAAAGCAACTCAATGAGAAATCTTTGCAAGGCCAGTGCTCTCAGCAACTGCCTGCCTCTTGAGTACATCTCCACTAAGCTAAACAAACCAGGAAGTAAGAGGACCAGTTGTCTGACTGACAAGCGAAGGGATTAACAAGGTTAATTTTATAAAAATGCTAATTTCTACTGAAATGTGCACTTTGTGTCAAATGAAAAAAAGGGGACACACTTCAAAGTGCTTTAGGTGTGTGGAGTGGCCCTTTAAACAGACAATATTGTATCTTAAGAGCCCTAAAATATTTAAGTATTTTTCTTCATAAGCCTTATTAACTAAAACGGCAATATAGTATCATCGGGGATATCCAGAAGTTCCATCCCCAGCTGCTGTGTAAATGAGAGGTTTATTCGATTGTAATCTTGGGCAAAAAATAGCTGATTTGAGAAATTTCTCGAACCCAGTTATAGTTCCAGCTAAACTATTTTAGGCTACATTTTGCAGCTGGATTTTCATTTTCTGCAATTTAGTGTATAGCGTATGGACCCTTGAATATTTAAAAAAAATTAAAATAAATAAAACACACACAAAAAAAACACAGTGCTAAATGGAAATGTTGAAACTAAATATACAGACTTTCTGATAAACATTAAACTATATACTTTATTGTTTACTCCCAGGATCTGTGCTTCACCTGTTTGTGCCTCAGATAGCTCTACAGAATGTGCTGGGGAGGTAAGTGTCAGTTACCGATAGACTCAAGAGCTCGCCATCAAGGAAACTTCTGTGTATCCTCAGGATTTACAATAAACAGAAATACATCCTACGTGGCATGTCTTATCAATGTTCATCCTGTCACTGTCAAACAGCCCCTCTTTCTCTTTACACAACTTTCCTTTAATTTTCTCTGACCATCACTTGCAAATTCCCTTTACTTCCTTTGGTCTCAAATTCCCATTATATTCTTTAGATTATAAACTCAAATCTATCTAACTGGGAACTTTGTATAAAAGAGCTTCAGTAACTAAATCTCCACTAACGGGCATGGCCCTGTTTATCTTTTATATTGGTCTGTGTATATTATACTATTTATTTTCCCCAATTGTACACCGCTGCGGAACATGTTGGCGCTTTAGAAATGCCAGTAATAAATAAATATATTGAATTTTTTTTTAGTCAGATGCATATAAATGATAATACACTTAGAACAAGGCTCTCTGAAATATTGTTTCTAGTGATCACACCATCCCACCAGAGACTGAAAAGTACAACATAATCAAATTCTGTTTTAATAAAATAGATATTATTTATTACCATGACAGGGTTATTCAGATAATATATGCATTCCATATACGAGTCTTATTTTCAAGTTCTCTACCCCCAGGGTCTAAGTCCTTCTGCCTCCATCTTGGATACCCAGCAGTGGCTGGCGAGAAACCGCTTCTCCAATTACTGCCGAACGTTCTCTAATTTTACAGGTAATGAAGCCTGACGGATAGGGTTCCATTTGAGAAGACAAGATGTAACACCTTAATCATGTCATTTGAGGCTCTGTTCTTAGATGTAATGAACACAATTACTTACCAGGAGATAAGTGGTGTTTATTTACTTAGCTGGGAATTCCAGAATAGTGACAATATCACTGTAAGTATTAAGTCAACACTGAATCATTTTTGCAGCTTGACTATTCTGTTGTAAAATTTCAGATTTCAGACTAATTTGAAATAACCAGGCTTGCTGAATAACCCTGATGGAAAGCCTAAATAAATTAGCAAAATCAGAGCTTTAGTATGAGAAATTGCATAATTTATAGCTAGTACTGGATTAGAGGCGTCATGTCTGGAGCTGAAATTGTCAATGGGCCTAAATAGAATATTTAAATTTGTGTTTTGTATTCTAAGGACTACAATTTGCCTAGCCTGCTTGCAAATAGACTTTGCTTCTGTGGCCTTTCCTGCGCTGCAGTTGGAAATGTTGTGTATATACTTGTACCCCATATTAGGACCCCGTACTCCGAGTCGTGATATCTAAATACATGTAGCTCAACCAAGTGAAACTGTTGATGTCTTTCTGGCCAGGTGCCTAGTCCCATGTATAGCCCATGCCAGTTCTATTTATTGGATCAAAGACCACCCAGCCCACCATTCAAATACCTGCAATCAACAGAATGGTATATGTTCCCTAATTCATATAATCAAACAGAATTTTGAGAGCCCTACCTAGTCCTACTTTGAAGATACAATGAAAATCCTTGCCTTGAGATACTTTGTATTGGTTACAGATTTAGTGAGGCTATGTTTGTTCCACTTTTTAGGAGCAGACCTTCTTAAGATGACAAGGAAGGACCTCACTCAGATCTGTGGAGTGGCCGATGGCATCCGTCTGACTCATGCACTGAAAGCAAGGTATGTCTATTGAGGGTGTAAGCAAATAGACTTGTAATTAAAATATTACTCCAATCAAAAAACTGTGTTTTAAGACAACACTGCTTTGGGGTTTGAGTAACCCTTCCTCTCCTGGTTCCAACTGTTCAGCGTATCACATAGACTTACCTCTGTTTCAGTGCCAAGGCCAAGTTCTCCTCTCAGCCCAATCTTCCTCTGCTAATGTCACTACTTTAGCTGCCACGGGAGGGATGTAGGAGGAGGAGGAGGAGCTGAGAGGTGGACATGCCACTCTGTGTGCTGCCATTGTACACCTGTCGCCAACATGCTTGACAAGCTGACAACAAATATTCAATATGAACAGAATTGATACTAGCCACCAATCATAACATTTTGATGGGGTTAGTAATATTTATATATTTGTGGTCTGGAACCAAGGCCATGCTTGTACCAACTACCTAAAGCAAAGTTGGCTGAAGTTTGACGAAATGATGGTCATGTTAGGCCTTTAAATAAAGAGGGCTAACCAGGGGAGTAAGATAATAGCATTAGGGTAAAGAGGGTGGGGTTTGTCCAGGATTCCCCATGGTACACAGTGCCGGGCCCCAGGAGAATGGCAACACCTGATAACCAGCCATAGATTTCCTGAAAACCAGCAGCAGAGGCACCCTCATTTCACAAGAAAAGACCAGTCAAAGGTCTCATACAGGTGCAGCCTTCCCTACTCACAACCTCGCACAGTATGACATGACCAGGAAGCTCTGCAGACCGGAAGTGACATATGTTCAGGATGGTCCTGAGGTACAGCCACGGGCATTTTTAAGGCCAAATTAACACCTCCTCCAACTACAGGCACCTGGTCTTAACATACATATATATCATGCCTAATATCATGTAGGTCACCCTTGTGCTGCCAAAACTGTTCTGATGCATTAAAGGATGGACTCCACAAGACCTCTGAATATGTCCTGTGGTATCTGGCACCATGACATGAGCAACAGATCTTTTAAGTCCTGCAAGTTGCGAGGTTGGACTTCCAATGATCTGATTTGTTGGGCATATCTCACAGATGTCCAATTGGACTGAGATGTGGGGAGTTTGGAGGCCAATGCAACATTGTTCCTTAAACCATTTCTGACCAATTTTTGAAGTGTGGCAGGGTGCATTATCCTGCTAAAAGAGTCCACTACCATCAGGGAACAACATTGCCCACAAGGGATGTACGTGGTCTGCAAAAGTCTCTACCTAGTTGGTACATGTCAAAGTAACATCCACATGACTGCAGGACCCAAGGTCTCCCAACAGAACATCGTTCATACTGCCTCCTCCGCATAGTACGTCCTACGGCCATCTCTTCCCCAGGTAATCGATGCACACGAGCCAAGCCATCAGGAACACCCCACAATACTTGTCGTTTGGAGATGTTCTGACCCAGTCTTCTAGCAATGATTATTTGGCACTTGTCAAAGTCACTCAGATTTGTTCGCTTGCCGATGTACCCTGCTTCCAGCACATGAAATTCAAGAACTGACAAATCACTTGCTGCTTAATATATATCCCACCCCTTGAACGATATAATCAATGTTATTTGCTTCACTTGTCAGTGGTTTTAATGTTGTGGCTGATCAGTGTACATATAGTGTATATTTAGCTATAACAATAGTGGAAGAAGACACATATACGTGAGACTAATATATATGTATGCTCCTCCTTCACACACAGGTCTGTACGTCCACGTCTCACACTGTACATCACCACGGAATCTCCAGTGAAAAAGGCTACTGCTGACTCTGATCAGTCAGGTGAGATTTCTTGAGTGTTCCATTCTTACAACCTGAAAATCAAATATTATACAGAAAGATCTAATTTTATAGTCAAATGATAGTAGAATTAAACAGATAATTCATGAGAAAGTTTAAGAGCTAGGCAAACTTATGCAAAGACTGTAGAAAGTTTATGCTCATGAGACAGTGGCCAACAAGGTGTTTGTGAAAATGGTAGGTTCAATTTTAATAAACTGTATTGCTATGAGCTAGTTACAGGGAAGGAGACAAGTGATAATACAAGCAAATGTTTACAGTATATATATTTTTTTATCATCCAGTTCTGCTCAGTTTAATAATGTGGATCTGTTACAATGAAGAAGTTCTTAATGTTGTCTTCCAAAGTAGGTCTCTATCAAGAGGTTTATCTAGAGGAGGTGTCTGCAGCTGAGCTGACAAACAAACTGGCAGATTTGCTCAGTGTCCCAGCTAACCACATACAGCAGATCTCCAGAAGTGGCCCACGTGGGATCCACGTTGTACTCAGTGACACGGTGAGTGAATACACCCCAAGCTGCCTGTTCATTACTCAGGCCAGTCCGCTAAAGGGAGGAAGTCTTAGGCCAGTGTTAAAAATCTGGACTCCTTCTTTACATTCAGACTCTGTTTATGAACTTTACTGCCATCAATGACAAACAGTGTGTTGCGAATGTCATGATCATGGTCTTATCCCTCCCTGCGGTCATTGGCCAAAATTCCACCACCATACATACTCATTGTACGCAGCCGGGCCAGCCTCAGATACTGCAATCATTGGGATATATCCCAGTGGTCCAGTCCAGGCCTGGGGAGCACTTAGATTAGTGACCACCAGCCCATACCTCCCAAGTGTCCTTATTTAAGATGGACATTCCCTATATTGGTCACAAATCCTGTGTCCCTCTTTTCTATGAGCTCCATATTGTTGGTGTGTCTGAGTGTATAACAGAGCTCAACAGCAGTAATACTCCCAGTAATGTGTATTTAAGCTACAACAAATGTGTTTAGAAATCAGTCTGTGTAAATAAGATACACTGTTCTTGTTCTGAATTATATTTTCGTTGTATAAATTATTAGTAAGTCGCCTAACATTTCTCAGAACAGCACTGCCTCTGGACCTCCCCTCCCCCTAAAATAAATGTGTCATTTGAAAAGTTGGGAGGTATGCCAGCCCATGAACTAACCCACACAGTGACAAGCTAGCCAAGGCCCTGCACAACTCCTACTGTGTAAACAGACATCCCAACACACCTCCCACACTTTTCATAAGAATGGCTCAAGGCCCACACTCACCTTAATAATCTTCCCCTGGTTGGAGGGGGAGGAAGGGGGTCAATTGTCCCCAGTCAGACCCCACATGCAAAAGGAAGGCATGCATCCTACTGATTACAGTGTGCATTGATGTACACTGTCCATTTAAATTGATATAATGGTAGAAATGGTCTTCAATCACAGATCACTTATATGTGTCTTGCTCTCTCCACAGATGGTCAGAAATATGGCAGATGAATCCTGCTTCACAGCAACGCTCCAGAAATGTGAGTGCCATTATTGTTGAATTAATGGAAGGAGTCTAGACCAGTCATTGTCACAAAGCTTAACGTGGCACTATAGGCACCCAGACCACTTTATCTCATCGGAGCGATAGGGGGGGACTGTCACTTAGGCATGCAATGTAAAACATGGCAGTTTTTGAGAAACTGCCATGATTGCGTTGCAGGACTAAGACAGCCACTAGAGGCGCTTCCTGGATTTTATCTGCTTTTGACTCCGTTAAATGATACTGGACGTCCTCACGCTCTGCATGAGGACATCCAGCGTCAGGGAAATTCAGACAGGAAAACATTGAGGCATTGCCTCAATACTTTCCTAGGGGAAGGAGCTAATGCATTCGCACAGGCGCATTAGGTCCCCTTTTATGTGCCACAACAGCACTATAGGGCTAAGAATCCAGATTTATATTTCTAACACTATAGAATCCCTTTAAGAGTAACTTCTATAAAATGAACTAAACTTATATTTAACCAAGCATTATTGCCATGTTTTGAAAGCCATTTTCAGCTATCACACAATGTATTAGATTTGCTGGCATGTAGAATGCAGAACCGATATGTAAGAAGGAAATACATTCATTAACTCCTGAAGGACCAAATTTTATATTTAGCCTTTATCACAAACTGGTCCATAAATAGGTTATAGCAGTATGGAACGTTCAGTTGATTTTGCATTGTAAGTTAATGGCTACAGGGCTTTGAGATGGAGTCGTTCCTCGCAGAATCATAGTGTTGTGGTGGCACAATCAGTCATTGGTCCACTAAGGATTTCATCTAGAATGCAATATTTAAATGATCTCCATCGTGCCTGAAAATGCAAACACTGCTCATCAGCTTGGAAAATATACAATCCAAGACACTGGTGGAAATACCGCGGTCCCAGCTGCGACCGGGCCCATCACACCAGGGGGCCCGCCAGCATTTTGGTGTGGACCCGACCACGTAGAAAAAAAATGCCGGGGCCACATTAAAGGAGCCCATCGGGTGGCCCATGCTCTTGGAGCCACCCGATGGCATTGGGCCCAGTCAGCGCTGTGGCGCTTTAAAAGCGTGACCGGGCCCTAGTGATGATGTCAGAGCTGGGAGAAAGTCACTCCCAACCAACAGAGCACCACGCAGAAGGAGAGGAGGGGGTCAGAGTGGGAGCTCTGACTCCCATCAGCATGAGGCAGCCACGGGTCCCCAGGGAAGTCACTAATTTTTTTTTAAACAGTTTAGGTGTGTGTGTGTGTGTGTGTGATAGATACTGCATCAGTATATCTGGGTGTGTGTTTGTATGTCGGTCTGTATGTATGTATGTGTGTGTGTTGTAATTGCTGAAGCTTGTATAATTGCCAACCTATATCTCTAAATAGCACAATCAGCATGAAGGAACTTTCACAAAAATTAACAAAATCCCAGAACCAGGTCACATTTAAAATAAGAGAATGTTACTGGATCTCTATAAAACCAGAACAGACAAATATACATAAAATAGCAGTAACGGAGAGAGAATGTCTGCATGTGTATCTGAATGTTTGTCATTGTGTGTCTGTATGTGTATCTGCAAGTGTGTCAGTGAGTGCCCCTATGTATCTGTATGTAACTGTTTATATCTGTATGAGTGCCATTCTGTGTATGTGCATTTGCATGTGTGTCTGTGTATCCGCATATATGTCAGTGTGTGTCTGTGTATCTGTATGCCAGTGTTTGTATCTGTAGAAGTGTCTTTCTGTGTATTAGCATGTATGTCCGTGTTATACAAAGAGAGGGGGGAGATGCATGGGGTGGCCCCAGGGCACTTTTCGCACCGTGTCCCTGTGGGGTCTAGTTACGCCTCTGATCGAAGACCTTTTTTTTTCTTACAGATTTAGCAGGCCTAGCACTAGGTCCTTTACACCACCATTCAAAGCATCCAGACATAAAGCACCACCCTGAAACGCTTCACTCAGTTGAGCTGCCAGGGGAGTTCTAAATTTATGAATTTTGACAAGGGGAAATTCTTGTTAACCCTCTAAGCACAGCAAGCTGAAATGCTTGGCGTCTTAAGTGTCCCTTTAAATGTGGTGCAAGGGAGTTTGACTTAGCATGCATCCATATTGTCCTACTCCAGTGTCCAGAGAATCAGGATGCTGGTGGAGGTGTAGGGCTAGTGCCACAATCTTGGAAAGGGGGGCAGCAGTCTGCAATAAGGACAGGACAGGTCAGAATGCCTGAACATTATTCAGGCCAGCCCACTGAGGGAAGACCCTGCACAGAGTACTATTTCTCTATGTGGGGGTCCTAGTGCCCTGAACATCTAATGATTCACTTGTGCTATGCTTGATGGGGACAGTTTCCCACTGTCCCCAAAATCAGGAAACTAAGTCAGACTAGGACATGAAATGCTGGTCTCCTCAAAGCATCTGACATCCTATTTCTTTCTTCCTCCTCTAGTGCAAAATCAAGATGGCTATCACTGCATCCTGCGGTAACCTGCATATTCAACCCTGCGTGTGCTCTTCTAGATCCTCCTTAGAGGGTCACTGCGATCCCAAAAAAGGGGAAAAACCTGCAGAATCACATTGATATGGATACCTATTGTGCTAAACAGGCATTTCAACATCCTTAGGAAAACTATCGGCCTGCAACATATTCTGATATTGTATATCTGGGGTACCCAAGCCTACTTGTACAAGGTGTGCGCACACTACAAACAAACAATCTCTTTTTTGTAAACAAGGATTGTAACAGAGAATGTGAAATGTAGGCAACTAATCTGGCCCTGTGCAAAGTCCATCTTCTTTATTAATTTTTGCTATAAAGGAGCGTTTAAATTTCCTAGTATTAATATTGCTCTGACTTATTTCCAATTCTAGATTGTAAGCTCATTGGAACAGGGTCTTCACGTTGATCTGCTCACCTTTTTTTTTTGTTGTTGCTTGGATAGCTCCATTGCAATGCAGGAGCTGTAAAATTATTTCAAAACAATGTAGCAGCCTATCTAGTACAGTAGTAAGGCCTTAGAAAAAAAAAAAAATAAGTTTGCAGCCTACCTGTATAATGAGGCAAGACGGATTCAAAACATATACACAGCTGCTTTTACAAACCTGTATAAGCCACTAATGGGGCGAGTGACAGCCAGCTTATAATGCAGTAATGCTTTGTATTTTTATATTTCTGTATATACAATTACAATAAATTAAAGTCTTTTCTATGAAAACCTACATCTGTCCAGCTATTTTTGCATCCACATACATACATGGGCAGCTTCTTTAAACGGACACGCCAGGCACCCAGACCACTTCTGCTCATTGGAGTGGTCTGGGTGCCAACTATCATTACCCTTAACCCTGCAGCTGTAAATATTGCAGTTTTCATAAACTACAATAATTACCTTGCAGGGTTAACTCCTCCTCCTCTAGTAGACAGCCACTCAAGGGCACTTCCTGGTTTCTAGCATAGGTTATATGCTGTGTGAGGACCTCTAGCGTTGCTCAATTCCCCATAGGAAAGCATTCAGGTAAGTCACTGAAGGGGTTTTTACCCCTTCAGCAAGATGGGATGGGTGGTGGGAGAGGGTACCTGCAGTGCCAGGAAAACTACTTTCCTGGCACTGGAGTGTCCCTTTAAAGAGTTCTCCCCCTGACATCAAACCAATGGCATATGTACAATATACTTTGCTCTAACCTGTGTGAGGATGAAAGAAGAAACAAGGTAGGGGCAATGAGCCCTAGCCTACTCCCCACCACTTAACCTATATAATAGGAGATAACAGTGGTGGGAGGGGGCATAAACAACTTAGATGAGTGATCTCTGGCCCATTGATGCCCACCGACCTTGGCCTAAATATGAAAGTGAAAATATAGTGACAAAAACAACTTTAGCATAATGAAGCGGTTTTAGTTTATAGATCATGCCTCTGAAATGTAACTGTTTAAAGTTATTTAACACCTAAATGGCAGTGAATTAGTTTCTAGCTATACCTCCCCTGACAGTGACGGACACATGCTGTATGAAAACAAAATGGTTTAATGTCAGTCAGATGTAACTTATGTTAAAGTTTTTATCTCCGGCTCTGTAAATTGAACTTTAATTACATAGAGGAGGCTTCTGCAAGCTAGGACCAAAGCAGGAGATAAGAAATCGTAAAATAAACAGAATTTGCAATCAAATAAGTATAAACATTAGATGACTCTTTACAGGACGTGTTTAGGAAAGCTGTGCAAGTCACATGCTACATAAACAAAGTGATTTAACTCCTAAATGGCAAAGAATTAAGCAGAGAGACTGCAGGAGCATGATCTATTACACCAAAACAGCTTCATTAAGCTAAAGTTGTTTTGGTGACTATAGTGTCCCTTTAACAATCCAGCAATTTAAGCACACAAAGTAAAAAATGAACACCATTGTGACATTAAAATTTAAGGTCAAAATAGCCAAACATTTTTAACTCAGCCATGCTTTCACTTCAGCTACTTTGGCCGTAAAATTTGAATTTCACTTGAATTGATAAACATGACTAAAGTTACAGCCTTACTAATTTGACCCTAAATTTTCAATTCACTGCAAAATTCTTTCCAATTTTGTGAAAAAAATCCTTAACTAGAAAATTGCGTCATAGTCAGGCAAATCAAGAGTCATTAATAAATGAAAATCATACCATATATTTATTTTCCAATGCTACTAAACACCACATTCCAGTTTGGAATTTGCAGATAATAGAATTATACAAGAACTTTGATTGGCCATGACCACTTACCAGTCATCCACAGTAAACCTAAAATAGGTCAAGCCTAGAAAACCCTGAACAGTCGTGCAATGCTGCTGTATTGTCTGAGAATAATATCCTTCTTCTCAGATTGCATTTATTTTCTCACTTACATATGGGATAGGACTGGTATTATTATTGTCATGTGCTTTTCCTCTCGTGTTAAACCTGCTAACACCTTGCCTTTTCGAATAAGAAATTCAACTTCGTATTGGCCAATTCATCTGTATTTTTAGAACCCAATGATCCATATTTTTCTTGGTCTTTAATCTTCCAACCTCCTATTCTTCTATGTCAGCTTCATTTTACAGAGTATATTCTGATAGATGTAAACACTTGAAATGAAACAGTCCAATCGCACCGGCCAAGCAAATAGGTTCTTTGGCATCTACCTTGAACTGTACTTACTCATCAAATATCACATGTTTATTTTATTGTTTTAACCATGTAGTCAGCACTTTATATCTGAAGGTTGTTGTAGATATTATAGAGGTGAGATTATTTTTGTAGCTGCAGCCATTATTGCCTGAACAAACAGATTTACATATAGCAAGTGGTTAACCGCACAGGACACAATTACACAACCTTTTTTATTATAATAAATAAAGGTTAATAAATTAATTTAGCAATGTATCCAAAATGAAGAGGTTATAGTGCAACTCTTATCGTAAGTAATGATGTCTGTGCAATAGAACACAAACATAATTTGGTTTCTGAATGTGGGGAAAGAGAGAAAAATGTATCAGTATTTAAAACCTCTTTTCCTACGTCCCTGTACTAGAGTAACTTCACTAGAGGGCGCTCACAACTTGCTGTATTAGGAAAATGTTGCATCTTTTTTTTTTTTTACATTATATTATTTATATAGCGCCAGCAAATTCCATAGCACTGTACAGTGCATATCAAATTTAAGAAAAATTCAATCTTAATATGGCCTGAAAACCATGTTCTTACTAACATAGAGTTGTTTCCTTGCCACAATGCCTTAACAGTGGAATTTAACCAACTTGGTTGGTTGTTTTCAGCATGAAAAGAAATGTAGAGATGGGGGTATGTGTAAATTTGTATGTAATTAATAAGAATTAGTACAATTTCAAGCACAAGAGAAAAGAATAGAATAGAGCATAGAATTGACAATACTTTTTTTTTTCCCTCCTTCTGCGGTTAACCCAAATAGACTTCGAAGCAGTACCAGAAAACCAACATGCTACTTAAAATATTTCAACATAAAAAAAAAAATAAAAATAAAAAAAATAAACTAACCTTTCTTTATAAACGTTGGAAAATGGAGAACTTGTCTTTCATATAAATTGCACATTGGTAAGGAGCAGACACTGATAACCTTATGATCTAAATAAAATTGGCAAGAATAGGCACTGGGGACTGGAGGCAGCCATCTTTGTTTCCCACAGGGTTACAGCTGGATTGCCATGGTCTGCTGTATATCTTTTTCTAAAATGTAACAGGATTAATCATTTCCTTTTTATTTTAAACTAAAAATCAGCAGCATATCAATACTAAATTAAAGGGGTAATAGAGGTTCCACATGTAGATTAGATTACAAATTACCATTTATAAATGTGTGTTGCTCCATAATCTCACACTACCCTTTTTCCCCCTTGAAACCCTAAAGTGCATTTTTTCTTTCTGTACCAAAAGGTACTGCTATACAGGATGTCATGACTAAGCTTTCAATATTATAAATCAAACAAATTGAGCTACAACTCCCAGAAACACTCCCATGGCCACAAAGTTCTGCTTATAGGTTAAGGTCAGCAGAGATATAGAATGCTAAAGGACCACTAAAGTGCCAGGAAAACAAACTTGTTTTCCTGGCACTATTAGGGTCTTTAGGTCCCCGTCCCCCCACCCTCAGGGTCCCACTCCCGCTGGGCTCTAGAGGGTGGAAGGGGTTAAACACTTCCCTTTCTCCAGCGGCGGGCTCCCTCAGTGCTGGGGACTCTCCTCCCTCTTCCGACGTCATCTGCCGAATGCGCATGTGCGGCCAGAGGCGCGTGCGCATTCAGTCCATAGGAAAGCATTTCTTAATGCTTTCCTATGGACGGCAGCGTCTTCTCACTGTGATTTTCACAGTGAGAAGCGCCTCTAGTGGCGGTCTCTGAAACTGCTATGTTTACAGCTGCAGGGTTAACCCTAGATGGACCTGGCACCCAGACCACTTTGTTGAGCTGAAGTGGTTTGGGTGCCTATAGTGGTCCTTTAATTTGGCATCAAGATCACCAAGAAAAGGCCTACTAAAATAAAAATGACGGTTTAAAGTTATACAAACTGTACAGACAAATTTAGTTTTAGGTACATCTACAATTAATCTATATCAGGGGAAGGGAACCTCGCACCCCTGTTCTTGAGGACTACATCTCCACTGATCCTTTGCCAGAATTATGGCTGATCTAGCTCACAACATCTAGAGTGCCAAAGGTTAGCCAACACCTGATCTATACACTGCCCTATTGAAAAAGGTCAGCAACTGCATAGATTAACAGATATACCCATATCAAGCTTTCTTCTTCCAGCTCCAAGACAATGAGCATTATTTGTGAGATGGGCAGATGTTTACAAATGTTGGCAACCATAGGCTAATGCAGTCTTAACTCTATACTAATGAGATGTAAAATTAAACTGCATCAATTTGGCAAGCACAGTGTATAGATGACGATGCTTATGATGTTATACAGAATAACTTAACGTACAATTTTCATATTGCATGTGGCAAATAAATATACTGAGGGTCATGTGATGACAGCTGCCAATCAAACTGGTTTTCTCACAGTTGAGCCAATTGGTTCCCACCGTTCCACTGTGCAGAGAAGAGGAATGGCATGAGACAGAATGCCCAGTGTGCCCATAAGATGTCTAGTGATCTAGAAATCTTTTATTCAGTTTTTAATAAGAAGCTGTTGAACAGATTTAAAAGTCATCACACAAGGCATAGGCAGTTTTTTTTTCTTTTGTTTTTTTAAAGTGCTACATAACCGTGCAAAGCAAGATTTCTGATGCCAGAGCCATTTAGTTTGGTTACTTTGCCAATACAGATTAAAAGATCGGAAATGCATACATCAACAGCAATGGTGTTCTTCTTGGTTTACATGCCCTTTGACAGATACACACCATTAAGTTATCAACAAGCACACCCACACATTCTCAGACATCTAGACACACTGTGTAAACAATACTTAACCCAGCATTCAGTTATATCCGGAGAAACAGCTCTTGTAGGTTTTTTTTAAATTTTTTACTCATATAATTGGCATCATTATCACATCCACGCGAGTTTGAGGAGGCAGCAACCCGCAATATCATTAAAATTATATTGTACAAAGTCTATATTTATATATATTTATATAATATATAATTTTTTTTATTTTGTGGGTTTTTTTTTCTATTTGCTGGGAATGCGTAATGTGAATTTGGAGAGTGTACAGAGATGTACAACCCTGGATTACAAGAGTAGATGAGTGGGCCCCCGATACTGCCTCTTACATAGCCAGAGGTGACAGGGATATGGGATGTCAAAAGGGGTGGTGTGTATCAGGTCCTTCGATAGCAGAGAAATGTGATTTCCTGCATCCATACCCTTCTCCAGTTGAACTACACCAAAAGGGTAACCGTGTACCATCTCACCCTGGTCATATTTAGGAGCACAGAAACAGGATACCCGCCCCTTCAAAAAGTACAACAGAACACAGCTTGCCTCCCCTTTATAAATACGCCTGATTTGAACGGGCAACAAAGAGGTAGGGACAGAACCCTAAACAGCAACATTGATAATCTCTCACTTCTCCTAAATGTAGCAGCTGATCCCTTGCTTTGATGAGGACTTTACTCCCGGAGTGCTGTGGGATTCTCCAGCTGTTCAGGACTCCCCCTCAAGTTACTATTCCACCAGAAAAAAAAAAAAAAAACAGAAAAAAAACAAAAACAAACCCAGGGGGGTTTGTTTGACACCACCTCATCTCATGGGGGTGGTGGGTATTTTCTGGAGGGAATGCTTTTTTCGCTCCCCTCCCCAGCCACAACAGCTGGCGCATTCTCTTGTGAATGAGTCCACCTGGAATCCCAAATGGGAAGGGATGGGAGAAGGTTCCCAAGATTTGTCTCTCATAGGATGGCACAGCATCTGCAAAACCGCTGCCTGCTGCCTCCTACTGAGGGAGGAGGAGTGACTGGCGCAAAGTAGGCATGAACTTTAATATTTGGTAGATGTGTCTGAAAGAGAAATGGTTGTAAGGATGAGATTGAAAAAGAATTCCCTTCCCCCCAAATATAAAAACCAAACAAACACAAACATTTTTTTTTAGCACCCAACACTAAGTGGAAGCATTTGATGAGTAATTTATACCCCTCCTTACCCGTAGCCTCTTGATTCCAGCTCGTGTTATCTGTTGGCAATCATATAACTCAATTCGTTCGAGGCTCTGGCAACTCTTTAGGTGTTCCAAGGATGCATCGGTAATTAGAGGACAATTGTCTAGCTCTATGACCTCCAGTCGATCATGGGCACATGCTCCATTACCGAGGTGGCGGATTCCATCATCCGTGATTAACTCACAGTGCGAGAGACTCTGTAGGCATAAAAGGGAAGCAATACAATACTGTGCCAACACATTTGACCCTCCTTGAGCCTACAATAACCATCTGTTCTTCATCTTAGCCAACTCTACCAAACACACACCAAGCGTCCCTTTTACCTCGAGTCGTCCCCAACCTCCCTTCAATTCTTCCACTGTATTAGGGTCACCCTTACCAACAATTTGATGTCAGTTATCTCCTGTGTCCTTCCCAGCTTCATAAAACCCATGTAATCAAGGCAATCACAGTATCTAGTCCTCTGTGGCATTGCCACTCTTCTCACTCATCCTCATGCACCTCACCAGCCTCATGCTCCATCCACAGATCGATACTCACCAAGACTTGCAGTCTGGGACAGTGTATGGAGAGCTGGATGAGAGTGCTGTCTGTGATCTAGAATAGAAGAAATGGTTAAGAACAAGAGAGAGAAATAAAGGCATCCAAAAAGAGACCCGACCATAAAGGATCGAAATAGCACAACACAAACGAAACCAGCACAGTACAACCCTCCCTACTCCTCTTCCACACACTTTCCCTACAAGGGCCGGGTTGGGGGCACCCTTACCTCACTCTGCCCCTTACAGCCCTCTGCGGAACACACTTGACACCGCAATCAACGGGATAAAGGAACAACCCGACACTTCTCAGGCAAAACACCCCTACACAGACCAAGGCAACACAGACCAAGGCAACCCCCTTAGGGGGGTGGGGAGACACCCTCCACAAAACAGCCCCAACAATTGCAGCACTCACACGCCATGGAGGAAAAACACTTACACGCCACTGCCCACACAAACACAAACACCAGACGGCGCAAAAGAAACCCACTGGACAATAAAGGAATACAGCCACTACATATACACATAAAGGTGAACACCGAGAAATACACAACACAAGACCTCACCATGAAGGGCTCCAACCCCATACATCACTACATGCTAGAAGACCGAATCCCAAAGCGCAACATGAGAGCACATCCCACCCCCCCACACAACAGACAAACCCCCTCATCCCCCCACGAGAGGGGGAGGCATAGACTACAATGAGATCACACGGACTCCAGAGCACATGGCAACCCACACGAGCCCACTTGCCCCAGAGAACCACACTTGAGACAACCACACCAACAAGCGTGCAAGCACCAGAACCACAAAGGATACCGCACCAACAACATGACTTAAGGAGTCTTCCGAAATCGCAGCTCTACACACCACACCTAACCCCCTTCATCCCCCCACCCCAACTCTCACACGACACCTGAAGAAAATTAAACCAACCCAACACAGAGTAGACAACTCCTAACAACCTGCACACAAACACCACAGACAAACCGAAGAGTTCAAGACGGCACACACGAACACCCCCCAGTCATCGAACCAACCCCGATACCAATCTCACGCCAAGTTAACCCTCTCAACCACAGTACAGCAGCCAACAATCCCAGTAGAATCCCCCCCTCAAAGGGGGATCAGAATAAACAGACACCCTCAACTGAGGGCAATTAGGCAAGCACCACCTTCTGCTACGGTCCAAGACCGGACCGAATACACAAGGCTCAAAAAGCTGTATACGTACTGTAATGCAATACTATGACAATTTGCTAAATACGTTGTTACCCCTGCACCCTCTTTCTCAATTCTGTATCCCATTAACCACATACGACATATGAATATGCAAAATGAAAGTACGTTAAATAAAGAATTTAGATAAAAAAAATAAAAAAATAAAAAACACAACAAGAGAGCAACAACCCACCATCTCCATATACTACAACTGGGATGTCAAAAGCCAGTTATCAAGTATATCCAGTATATGAAAAAGAAAAAAGGACAATATTTTTACCTTGCGTAAACCCTCCATTATCTAATTCAGCCCATCTCACCTGGACACACTCTTCAAGATCCATTTTCTCCAGCTCATGGCAATTCTGCAGGAAAAAGGAGAATTACGAGCGGGAATGGAGTAGGAGGAGGTATAAAAAAAAACCAAAAAAAAAAAAAACCACAAACAAACATAAATAAGCACAAGTCTTACTTTGGCTAGAGTGGTGAATCCCAGATCTGTCAGTTGTGAACATCGTGCCACTTCAAGTATTCTGTTAGAAAAGTAAAAATTTTCCATTTTAAACAACTTTTTTTCAGAAGAGAAAATCCTGGCACTATTTAAATAACAAGCTTGGCATTCACAAGACGAGCTAGCACGGTTATATAGCACTCATCCTCTTTCACGGTGCGGGACCTGATCAGATCTCTGGAAAACTATTTCATACATCTGAACTACACAATGGCTATACTATAGCTTTAACATTGAAAGCACCCTTTACAATGTAGCCCTGACTCCTTCAGTGGTTTCAAATGATGGTCATTAGAACCCATCAGCAATACATAGAGGACCGTGAAAGCATACATGGCCTATTTCAGCAAGCCCGAGCAATTTTCCCTCTGCACTCCATTACGTTTCATAAGAAGAAAGTACTAGACTTCCCAAGAAGCGATAGTGAAGACAGCACAGGAAAATCAGTTATCCTCGTCCTACAGAAAAGCAGAAGGGGTTTTCAAATTCTGTTAACTCGGAAATGTACAAATCCAGTGAAACAAAATGTAAGCTTCGCTCTGTAACCTGCCTAATCCAGTCTACAACAAGGTTTCCTGTAATCAATCTCTAAAGTAAATAACAAAATTGCATTTAAAAAGCAAAAAGTGTAGAAATAAAAACCATAATAGGTTACAGTCACCTTAAAAACCAGATCAGTGTAGAGCAGTAAAAATGTGCACTTCCCCAATGTGCATAAGAAAAAGCAATTTAACACACAAAGTGTCAGCACTCAGAGGCAGGGCATATCACTAGGGGAGCTTTACCCTGGTTACAGACCCAAAAGGGGGCTACTGAAAAGCAATGAGTGTGTATTTTGTACAGTTCCATTTCTAGCCGGAGACCTGGATGCGCAGTCAGCATAGGAACAAAAGCAGTTATCACCATATACAGCTCTGACTTCTACCTCGTAGTACAAACCCCACGAAATCCCAACTCAAGGAAGCCAAGAGGATATGACAAGATCCACTCCTCTTCCCTCAGAGAGTTTTAAAAAAAATTACAAAGAATAAATGAAATATCTAAAAGGCCCCCACAAAGAACCCTGCATTTTATTACATTACCAGGGTAAGGGGGAAGGAGAAAGGTGTAATGAACTTGAGGATACACTTGGCGGCTATAAGTTTGTATTTCAAAAACACTGCTTATTTGGGAATCCATATGCATTTATTTGTGTGAGTGGTTAATTAAAAGTAGGTGAGTGTGGCTTATTAAGTATGGGCATGTGAGAGGCTGACCTTTCATATATTCTAAACCAGTGATCACTAAACCAGAACTAGTTAGCCTACCGAGAGGGACATACTGCTTTTACAATAGGTATTAGGACACATGCAATCAGGGTGGATAACAATCATTGTGAAGGAAGGAGGTAGATTATTGTGAAGGGGGGGAGGTTTTTTTTTTTCTTCTCTCTTTGCTTTTCTATTTAAGATACATTACATTCAAAAGGCTATGCGTATACACACACACACACACACTATATGGACAAAAGACATTAATAAACAATTTTATAAGAGCCAGTGCTTATCAATTTGGAAGAAAGCTTAAACGCAGAAAAATGTGTTGCAAATAGGAAAATGAAAAAGAAAATACAGAACAACCTTACAAGACTATTAAAATCCAAATAAAAATAAAACGAAATCAAAATAAATAAAATAGAACACCACACTTGAGATAACTTCTTGGCAAAAGAAAATTAAATAGGTTGTAATGAATTCTCCTAGACTTTCCAGTACTGTCAAAATCCGTGCCAAAGTGAAATAATTGGAAATGTAGTTAGCAGCTTTTTCTGAAAAAATATTTTACAGTTTGAGTGATTTGTACCCTGCTGCCTTGATTTTAGGCACATCATATACAGCCAGTCTGAGCAGACAGATATATTGTTTGAACACACAGTGGATAATTTGCACTAAAACAAAAACCACCACAGCTGAATGATCATTATCAGGCAGACTATCTGATCGTATGGTACCATGCACAAAAGGCTAGAACAATGGGAACATTTATAAATGCAAAGTTCTAAAACTTGAGGGATCAACATGAGCCTTTTTAACGTTTTGCCTACCCCTATGAAAATAGCTTCACTTTTAGGATTTTGCACTATATTCTAAATAACCCTCAATCGGTTTAGTATACTGGGTATGGGTAAATCCATTTGTTAGATCAAGTGTCTCAGTCATTGAAAGGAGTAGCATTTTAAAATGGTTTCTAGTGCACAAGATAACTGTACACCACTATTGACATTGTAGTAAATGGAGACTTCATACAGGATGATTCTACGCGCTGTGATCCGGTGCCCCCATACAGGTATTACTAGAGTGGAAGCTCTAACTTCTGCATTTTATGACATTAAAGTATTAAAAAAAAAAAAAAAAGTTTGTGTTTTGTTTTCCCTATTAAACTCTGGTCTATAGGGAACACTGGAACTGCCTATTCTTGATATAACAAAGAGCTGCCTTCTCATACAGAACTCAAACTAGGAATATAGATCAACCTTTTGAAAACTAGCTTAACATACCTAAAATTTACAAACTGTTAAAATGACAACCGATAGAGGGGAGAGAAAGAGAGAGAGGGGTGTGGAGAGAAAGAGAGAAAGAGAGAGAAAGAGAGAGAAAGAGAGAGAAAGAGAGAGAGAGAGAGAGAGAGAGAGAGAGAGAGAGAGAGAGAGAGAGAGAGAGAGAGAGAGAGAGAGAGAAAAAGAGAGAGAGAGAGAAAGAGAGAGAGAGAGAAAAGAGAGAGAGAGAGAGAGAGAGAGAGAGAGAGAGAGAGAGAGAGAAAGAGAGAGAGAAAGAAAGAGAGAGAGAAAGAAAGAGAGAGAAAGAGAGAGAGAGAGAGAAAGAGAGCGCGCGCATCACAAAAGTCAATTCAAATACCAAAATGCATTTAATACATAAAATGAGGACCATTACAGGAAATGGGGAGGGAGATTTATACATACACATGTCTTTTGCACTACTGTAAGTAAAAGTACATTTAAAAAAAACAAAAAAAAAACGGAATATTTGCCTGTAAGACTACATTCTATACGGTACTAGGACATGGGCAGTTACCTGAGACGAGGGCAGTTTTGCCCCAGTGCATTGAGAATGGAGTCTGTGATATTGGAACAACCGGAGGCACAGAGAGATTGGAGTTTGTGGCATCCACGGCAAATCGTAATGAGACCATCGTCCGTGATCTGCTGCTAAGACAGAGGCAATGAAAGCTGGGACAGAAGCGAAAGCTGTGCCCATTAGGGCTGGGACAAAAGTAAAGAAACATTCATAAAACTGAACAGAATGGAATTAGTTAGGTTCTAAAAACCTGTGTAAAGTCTGGTGCAATGAGCTAATGCAGAAACCACTTTACCATTAAAATGGACATTATACTTAGACCACTTCATCTAATTGAAGTGGTCAGGGTGCTGTGTTCCTGTACCCTTAACTTGCAACGTAAAACATTGCAGTTTTATAGATACTGTTGTCTACCAGATCGTCACTTTCACGGAGTTAAAAAACAAACAAAAAAAAACCCACCACAGACAGCACCTTTAAAAACCCCACAGGAAAGCATTGGCTCAATGCGTTCCTATAAGGAATGCCAAATGTGCGCTGATGGCGGAGCAGGAGCAGCATTATCCAACAACAAGAATTAAATATTGTATTCCTAACACTGTAGTGTTACTTTAAAGAGGAATAGTAATCTTTATGGAAGTTACACTATTTCATAAAAATACAGAAAATCACCTATTTTTGATGTTTTGACAAGATTGTTTTTTAAAAATTTTTAAATGTACATTAAAGGGACACTAAGAATCAATACCACATCTTAACATAGTGGCATTGTGACTATTGTGAAGCCCACCACTACATCATTGAATCCAAATTTGGGTTCTGTGACAGTGGTGAGATTAACACAATATAGCCACATGGTGGAACTGAATCCCCATATTTGTTTGCCAAAATATGTCATTTGAAGTAGTTTTGTAAAATGTAGAACTGTACTTTTGTGTGTGTTCCTTAATCAGTATTAAGTTGCTTACAGACACAGCCACGCAAGCAGGTACTATCAAACATACAGGAACACACAGGCCTTGTGGCCCTGTACCTTGGAGTCTGGTTAAGGGAAAGGCAGGCAGCTAGCCAGTGTTTTAACAGGATCAGAGGTAGCGAGCCACTGGCCCTGTGCTTTGTTTGTTGCCTTTGCTCTGCTCTCTGTTCCTGGTCTCCTCAGCGAGGCTTATCCTTATGCAGAAAAAGTGCAGTGGTAGAGACACACAGGGAATAGGACACCATGTGTAACACTGTGCTGCTTCTGCTCCAGGCTGACTCCTGGACTTTCTCATAAGACAGGGTGCAGGCAGCTCTTCTCCTCCCCCCCAAAACAACAATTCTGAATTTAAAAAGTGGGCAGAAATAGGTTTAGAACGTCTGAATGTTACTTTAAAAAAATTAAGCAGTTGGTACAACAATCCGGTTCAGTCTTGGCACAACCAGGCTTGCACTGGAGAAGGAAAACCAAAAACATTGTTTCAGTTCATCCTTCTGAATGACAGGTACAATAAGCAGACCTGTCGAGGGAGCACATATGAAGACACTCCATTCCAGGAGAGAATAAATATTTCCAGTGTTAGAATTTCCGATTGTACGTTTTAATTTTAAGACCTCATACACTTTATTAAAATGATTGCTAGTTTAACAGAAGAGTAGCTCTGGGGATGTGCCAACGCATTCTACATCAAACTCTTAAAGTATCAGTATTTAACATGAAACCTCATGGGCTGGTTCTGGTATTGTTTCGCTTACATCCCCAGTTGAGAATAGTATGGCTTCCAGATAATTAGCACAACTCTGTGATTCCAGAATTAACTCAAAGCATTGGAAACCCAGCTTTCATAAATAAAGTTTACTTAATACATACATGATCCAGTGGGAACTTACTGAACACGCCTGTAGATTTAACGTGACAAGCTCTGGACAGTGGGACCCAATATATTTAAGAGCCTCATCTTCCAACTACAGGAAAAAAAAAAAAAAAACGCATGTTGGGGACAGAATGACAAACACAGAAAGATTATATGTGACAAGAAATGAATATGCCATCAAGCCTGTTTACATATACAACCAAGGAATTTGTGTATGGTTTGATTTCTCTTTCCACTTGAAGACTACCACAAGCATCTATTGCCCAGTCTGAAATTGACTTTCATTACATTTTTCTAATTTGTTTCTACTTTGAATTATAACATTATGTTTTAGTATTTCTCATCATGTAAGTAAACTCTTGCTTGCTCAACTTTGTTTCTTCCAATTTTACATATATCACAGTGCAACTATTTACTGGGGGGAGGGCAAGGGAATGAGACACATGGAGGGGCTGGGAAGGGAATGAGACACATGGAGGGGCTGGGAAGGGAATGAGACACATGGAGGGGCTGGGAAGGGAATGAGACACATGGAGGGGCTGGGAAGGGAATGAGACAGAGCAAGTGAGGGGAAGCCCAGGGCAATTTTTGCACCGGGGCCATGTAACCATGTGTTCTTATAGACGTAAAACCTGCCTTCCAAAACTTTGCCTTTTGAGCATCTACATTAGGGGTAGGCAACCTTAGGCACTCCAAATAAATAATGTAAACTACATCTCTCATAATGCTCTTACAGCAATAATGCTGGCAAAGCATCAGGGGATATGTAGCCCATAACATCTGGAGTGCCAACAGCTGCCTGGTCTGCACCAATCATCAGTTTCCATGGATATACAAACATGGTTTGTATTTGCCATATCACCCAGGGTTATAGGTTGTTTGTTTTGTTGTTTTGCGTTTTTGATCATCACATAGGGGTAAACAGATTCCAATTTCGCTCAGCCTTGTTTTACACAAATACAATAATGTCCTATGAAATATATAAAAATAAATCATTTTTATGACAAGCAATCTGGTAGGATAACATTTAAATTGTCCTCCGCTTTCATGTGAGATTATTTAATGGCTTTTTTTTTTTTCTTTCAAACATTTTAGGTTTACAGAGCTTTGACTCTACAATTTCCTTTACATTGATTAGTTTAGTATTAAAATGATCTTCCCCATAAAAATAAAAAAAATGATCCCAACATTATATATTTAGACATGCAGAGCAAGGAGCAAATTTAAACTAAAAAAAACAAAAACACACATTACTAGGTTTTAAGATGTAGTGTCACAAAATCTTTGTGTTTAGTTTAATCTACAGAAGATACAAACACAGAATCAATGCATTAATATAAAACAGACATGTCCCTCTTCTGATATCAAGCTGTAAATTAGCATTGTTTAGATTAGATTCTTTTATTTGCATGACATTCCATGGCCAGGGGAAAACAGACACCTTCACAGAGCTAATAAGAGCTGGTTATCTTTTAATATGTATTTTTAAATATTTTATATACATGGATATCCTAAGCCAACTGTGTTATATCATCTTGTGGTGCTAAATCATATTGCTAGGGATCATGTGATTAAGATCTTCCTGATGAGGCCAGACATTGCCATCATGTTGTACAGTGTCAGTATTATATTGCAGCCAGTGTACAGACAAGATGTTACCTAACTACACTGCACTTTGTTATGGAGCAGTGGGAGATCTGTTCCAGAAGAGGCAGAGAACCTCCAGGCTCCTCTTCGATTACATTCATGAATCCCAGACCTGCAAGTTGCTGCCTGAATAAAAGTAGGCAATCCTACATACAGCAAATGAAGGGTGCCTTTAAAGTCGAGAAGAGATTGGCCTGAGGCCAAAAGCAGAGTTGGTTGGAAGTGGGGGGAAGTGAAAGGACATGAAAGTGTGGTGTGTGTAATGCCTGGGAGGTAGGTGTGTGTGAGTGAGTGATGCTTGAAGGGAGTTTAGTAGCATATTTGGACAGATTGTGTGAGCATGTAAATAGTTTAGGACCCACATTAGCATTTTATAAATATAGTTCAGAAAGGGGGAACAAAAAAATACATTTAAAAAAGTGAAAAGGGGTGTCCCTACAAATTTTATAGGTACAAACTTTGCTGTGACACAGCAAAACAAGTTCTCAGAATTAAATTTGTTACTGTGTGTTTAATGTTTTGGTTAAATGATGACTTTTGTGATAAATGGCTTTATACACACACACACCAGATACAAACAAACACTGCAAAAGCCAAGTATAAACAAAAAAGCAAAAAACAAAAACAAGAAAAGCCTTGTTTTTACAACAAATCGGTATCTTTTAATCTTGTGTTTTCACCCCCATACAATCCAACAAAACAATAGCTTTTTTTTTTTTAAATCAAACTAGGTAGACAAACCAAAAATAGAATAAAGGCTGAATACCTGGGTGCAACCCTTAAGCGATAAGAATCGTAGCCCACCACAGCCTTTCACCAAAGCCTGGATCCCATCTTTGCTTATCTGATCACACCAAGATATGTTCAACTGCTCCAGGAGGGGGCAGCCCTCGCTAAAAAAATAATAAAATGTAAAAAATAAAAAAAAGTGAGATACTTGCAGATGTCCGGATCGATGGAGAATATATAAATAAAAATATTAAACATGTCCGGATATAACTTTGCCTGATAAAACACTAGTTTTTGAAACTACAAACTCTCCCCTAGTTATGCAAGGAGACCAATAATGGGTGTAAAATTGAGCACAGATACCCACATACACAATGCAAATAAACAGATTCAATCATCTAGGTCTTCCTACAACTAGAAAGCTGACAATCTCCTCATAGTTCTACTACATTTCACCCTCCGAAGTTTTCCAACATCAGATTTTAATTTTTAATCCATCTCCCCTGTGTGTGCGCTCATCAACTACCTGTATTTCCATTTAACTCCTCCCTCACCTGAGTGCCTTGAGGGACAGGTTAGTGATGGATGTGCAAGACGCCAGATCCAGGTGCCTCAGTTTACAGCAAAACTTACTGAGACTCGAGGAGGTTCTAAAAGGAAGATCACAAAAGACAAAAAAAAAAGTCAAAGCCTTCGTTCACACCTCCTAGTGCACGATACAATAATTAAGTCATTACATTTTATAGGATCTGTAGAGGAAATATTTCATTTAAGTACTTGCTCTGTTCACTCACTCTCATAAAGATCAGACATCTAAAGCTCACTCACGTATCTGTAATCTTGGTGCAGCCATTCAAATTTAAAACCTCTATGTTCCTACAGTTCTGCGCAAAGGTTCTGTTAGAGAGAAAGAAAAGTTAGTATGCATATAGGAAAAAAATATTATACATAGACTTATTTTTAGAGACAGAACTTTTATCTGAAATAAACTATTTCTGCAGTAAATGTATGACATGGCAGTATACCCTCTCAAGGATGGGTTACTACCGCCTGTGGTCGCCTCTTCCTAGTTTTGCCCAGCCCCTAGAGTGATTACAGCCGCTTGCAGAAGGGCAATCGTGTCATCACGCAAACACTAGTCGAGTCTTAGTGAAGGGTGAACAAGAACGGTTTATTGCAGGCAAGATACACAGTATTTATGCCCAGACCCCCAAAGGGGGTCTCCATTTACAGCAATACTTTTTTTTTTTTTTTTTAAGGCAAGGAAATAAGGAGGGGAGTATCGCTGAAACTAGTAGGATTTCTTCTAGTTCTTACCTGAGTGCATTATCTCCCACACCAAGGCATCCCCGCAAGCTAAGTTTAGTAGAAAACCCCCAGCAACGCTTAGAGATATTTTCTACTACACGACCCTAAGTAGAAATGAAAAATGCAAGCACATGAGAATATATCTCTTTTTTTGCAAAAAATGCAAGCACATGGGATATTGCTAGGGTAGTAGAGGGAAAGACAGAGTTGCCAGCCCCAACTGTACCTCAATGTCTCTCTAAATCAAACAAGTCAATTCGCTGCCAGTTGCTGCCATCAAGAGCCAGGACATTCCAAGCCTGAAACAAATCAATGCATTAGTAGTATGCTTGCTTGAAAGCAGCATATACATCCTACACACACCATTCCATCCTCTTCCCACTTACCCTTGACCCCGAGCACACGCGACATACAAGGTCACAACATCCAAGAAGGAGAAAATCCTGCAGGAGAAAAAAAATAAAAATAAAAAATTATTTATTTTTTTCCAAAACTCTAAAAAGAAAAAGAAGTCAGGTTAGCAAACACAGACACTAAGGCCTTTAAAACACATTCCTCCTGGTATTGAAGGCTTTTCTTCATTTAAAAAGAGAGTCACCAATTACCATGTTTTTTGGAGAGACCAGTTGAATGTTAGGTGTTGCTTTTAATACGCATGTACATCTCTACTACATACCTTAGCAAAAGCTCCTTGGGAAGCTTCTTATTAATCAAAACCTCATCATTGTTTGAGAACATCTAAATAGGAACAGAAACTGAATGAATCAATCAATTCTTGTACATTCCCCACCCCTCATTTAGGCAGGATTTCTGGTTTTTAAATTATTTTTCCAAAATAAAGATTACATACCATAGTCACTGCTGTACATATTCTTGAAAAACACACACACACACACACACACACACACACACACACGAATCTGTGGGAGGAATAAGTCCCTACTTAAACTCCCAGCCCCTACTCACCTCTAACGTTCAAGTTTGAGTGTTGCAGTTCGACTTCCGGTTTGCCTGACTTCGGGTCCGGGCGTCCTGTCTGTCAGCTGGAGTCTCCAGCAGAATCCTCCGTCCTATCTGCGGTCCGGCTTCCTGACTGCTAAACCGTGAGTCTTACTTGCGTTACATTTCGGTCCCCTCCACGCCGCTCTGTGGTCTTATGGGGGGGCCGGAACGCACATGGCGGTAACTTTTATCGGAGACCACCCACAGTCCCCACACTAAGGCATCTCGGGGATCGGGTTTTGGTAATATGTAAAGGATGCCATAATTCATTATAGTGTTCATGGCATAGTGCTTCTGTTTGTACACTTTCATTCATGCTTTCCATTGTCTCGTGTCAGTTCATATGCCAAGTTTAGTGGGCCACCTAGTGGTTTATTTATGGTATGGGTTGGTTCTTTTTCTTTATGTATTACATGTAGCTTGCCTGCACTAAACGCTAGCAGTAACAGCAATCTAACATACTTGGCTGTTAACCATGAAATGCTAATTACACAATATTATACCATTTCTTTATGTGCGGATGTTAATCTTAGCTCTGTTAATTTCTCTGGTCTCCACAGATCGCCCGTTTTGTCATATATTACAGCAAAATTGCAAAAAAAAAAACCTGGTTCTTGTCCTACAATCCAGGTATAGTATTTATTTCACTTCAATTACGGTTTATCTAGGCCTCAGGCAGCCTTCACTCTACACTTGTTACTCTGTCTCGAACTACTCGTGGATTTGGGCATCAAGTACGGGGACTCATCTTTTTATGATTATCATAAATCGATATCAGTGAAAGCGGCGACACATCTGAAGCAGTTTAACATAAGAATTAACTGGTGCCAGATGGATACAGAATTATTCTGTCGCCGCTTCGCTGGTCTGAGGCCCCCGTCTTGTGCTATATGTAATTCTTCAACCCATTTGGCTTATTTGTGCCCTTCTGTGGCTGATCCATCCACCCCCACTCCCACCCCTCAATCCACTTCCACCCCTCACAATAAACAAGAGGGTGGTCAACGGGATAAACTGGATAGGCCCATCCCCTTTCTAGGGAAAGCTCAGGTGTGCAACAATTTCAATGCAGGTTCCTGCAGCTTCAGCGCCTGTAGATTGTTGCACATCTGCTCTATCTGCTTCAGGGCAAGACCATGTGCCCAGCCAGGTTGTCCCCTATCAAAATGACTATCCGACATTAATATCGACAACCTGTTTATTTACTTGAAAACTCATCCGAGCAGACATCTAGTGGAATATTTGTTAACAGGGTTCACCCAGGGCTTTCTCATGGGTCTTGTAGCCATTCCCCCAGGCACGCTGGAATATCCCAATCTCCTATCAGCCTGCCAAGACCCAGAAGCCACGGACACTCTCCTTTCCGCTGAAATAGCACAAGGTTTCATGATCGGCTCTTTCACCTCGTCTTTTTCCTCCTTGCGCACTAATCCCATAGGTACAGCAGTGCACAAATACTCTAATAAAAAGCGCATGATTATAGATTTATCGGCACCGCACTCTTTTGTTCCCAGCATTAACTCACTCATACCCGCAGATGAATTTTCATTACAGTACGTAAAAATTGACGACGTTATACAATCCATCATTTCAACTGGTAGCAACACTTGGCTTAGCAAAATGGACATAACCAATGCATTCAAATTACTGCCCATGCACCCATCACTTTGGCACTTGCACGGTGTTAAATGGCGAGACAGGTACTATTTTTCCCACATGACTCACTTTCGGGTCCAGAAGCAGCCCTAAACCGTTTGATATTTTCGCAGAAACTCTATGCTGGCTGCTTCTGAACATTCTCAGGTGTCACTCCGTCATTCACTATTTGGATGACTTCCTCATAATAGAACCAGGCGCACGCACACCCACCGATATCCTCAGCACATTTCTTTACTCTCAGGGTACCCTTGTCTCCCTCTAAAACGATTGGCCCCACTACTAAACTTACTTTTTTGGGGATAGAGCTGGACTCTGGTACCTTCCGCGCCAGCCTTCCCCCCGACAAACTGGTCCGCTTGAGAGGGGAGATAGACATGTTTCTGCGGAATGATGTATGCACCAGGAAGGAACTTCAGTCCTTATTGGGGTCCCTGAATTTCTCGATGCGCATCATTCCACAGGGAAGGTCTTTCGTATCCAGGCTTCTTTGTCTGCTTCACGGGGTACCGGACGCCTGCCCAATTGCGTTGGACCAGCACGCCAAAACTGACCTACTCATGTGGGGTAAGTTTTTGGCTAAGTGGAACGGTATCTCCATGTTTATTCCCCCTCTCCACCACTCATGGGTGGGGGCCGGGTGAGGACAACAGATCCCCCCCAATTATAATTTAGGGCCCCCACCCGCCGCTCATTCTGTTAGGACAAAGTTTGTTAGTTTCGCCGGTGTTCTGTCTAAGTGACAATGTTCGGGAGTACTGACAGGAAGCATCGCAAGATCACGGAGGAAAGGTAAGAATTGTGGCAAAATTGCTTTGACCACAGGAAAATGAGCACACTTTTGTTCCTCCGTTGGTCAAGCTTAGGAAACATCCATAAGACAACGTTGTGGCGGAACCAACTTCGCCTGATTCCCCAACGTTGCAAGCCCATTCCTTCAGTGAGCAGGCCTGATGCCCACCCTCCCCATCCCACACCATGCTCATTATTACATTTATAGATTGTCTGTCACACCCACATTTTAGTTAGGTTATAAAACAAAACAAAAAATAAAAAACACAACCTGCCTCTTATTAGTACACTCCTGCACTTTCTTAAAGGACCACTCTAGGCACCCAGACCACTTCAGCTTAATGAAGTGGTCTGGGTGCCAGGTCCAGCTAGGGTTAACCCATTTCTTCATAAACATAGCAGTTTCAGAGAAACTGCTATGTTTATGAATGGGTTAAGCCTTCCCCTATTTCCTCTAGCAGCTGTCTCATTGACAGCCGCTAGAGGCGCTTGCGTGCTTCTCACTGTGATTTTCACAGTGAGAGCACGCCAGCGTCCATAGGAAAACATTATGAATGCTTTCCTATGTGACCGGCTGAATGCGCGCACAGCTCTTGCCGCGCGTGCGCATACAGCCGACGGGGAGGAGAAGAGGAGGATCGGAGGAGGAGAGCTCTCCGCCCAGCGGTGGAAAAAGGTAAGTTTTACCCCTTTCCAGAGCCGGGCGGGAGGGGGTCCCTGAGGGTGGGGCACCCTCAGGGCACTATAGTGCCAGGAAAACGAGTATGTTTTCCTGGCACTATAGTAGTCCTTTAACCCAAAAAAACATATTTCCTACATTCACCTGCTCTTGATATTCCAATTCTTTCCAATTTTTATTTTTCACAGTTTAGAAATTATCTGTTTTCTCCTCTTTATTTCCTCAATCTCCCTTAGTATAAAAATCTCTCCTTACACCCACTTCACTCATCCCCCATGCACATTTACATATGCCCCTCTCGGCTACACTCCCCCTTCTCTCATCTCATGCCTTACACTAATTTCTCTACTCTCTCACTCCTACCCACAATCGATCTCACCCTAGACCCCATGCATACAAAACCCATTCACACCTCCTGTCACTTTCTCTCCTACTTCTAGCAGCTGGTGATGTGTCTCCCAATCCAGGGCCCTTCACCTTCTCTACACACACTAAGAAAACCAGAAACCCCATAAACCTCATCACAATACCCTGCCCTTTACCCTCACTTACCAAAATTCATTGTGCACTCTGGAATGCCTGCTCCATCTGCAGTAATTTAAAATCAACAACCATACATGACTTTTTCATCTCAAAGTCTCTCACACTGCTTGCACTTACAGAGACCTGGCTGCCCCCCCCACCCCCTCAATCAACAACCCCAATTGCACTGATGCCTCTCATCTGCTCTCTGTAACCTCCTCCTATGCGGATGACACGCAAATCTACCTGTCCTCTCCTGATCTCTCCCTGTCCCTCTTGACTAGTGTATCTGACTGCCTCTCTGCTATTTCTAACTGGATAGCTGCCCCCTTGCTTAAACTAAACTTGACCAAAACTGAAATTCTGGTCTTTCCTCCTTCAAGTGTTGTTACTCCTATGTCTGTCTCCCTCCAAGTCAATGGTGCTACCATCAGCTCCACCACGCAGGCTCGCTGCCTAGGTGTTCTCTTTGACTCCGAACGCCTTCAAGCCTCAATCGCCAAATCCTGTAATTTCCATCTCAAAAACATTGCACGCATCCACCCCTACTTAATGCCAGATGCAACTAAGGTGTTGGTCCATTCCACTGTCCTTTCTCGCCTTGACTACTGTAATCCACTTCTCAGTTGTTTTACATGCTCAGTTGTTTTCTCGAGGGCTGCACCGTTCCTGTGGAACTCGCTTCCCTCCTCCGTTAGATGCTCACCCAGTCTCCACTCCTTCAAAACATTGTTAAAAACCCACTTCTTCATAAAAGCATATCAGTTAAACTGTTAATAGCTCCTGACTTACTCTTCTACAACTGTCACTAGTCTAATACTATCCTTACCTTTTTGTATCATTTTACCCCACTCCATCTAGCATGTAAGCTCATTGAGCAGGGCCCACAGCCCCTCTGGTCCTGTGTGTGCAACTTGTCTGGTTACAACTACATGTCTGTTCGTCCACCCATTGTAAAGTGCTGGGAAATTTGATGGCGCATAATAATCATCATCTGGAGAAGCCTGGTTGCTCGCCTGCTGCCTCTGGACTATGGCCCCATGTTAAAAGCTTGTATTTTCCCCTGCAGAAAGGCTTAAACTCCTGAATGGCCAGCGGTGTTCGGCTCCAAACCTGTGGAACTCAAAATGGACAGTTGAACACACGAACAACGCTGAGCCGCCGACCTCCCTTCTCCTGCCTTCAGTCGTTACCCCAGATAGCTATGCCATGGAGCCTATTCGTATACCAAAAGACTATGTGAAAGACTTTGGCTTCATGGCGATTGAACTGTATGTATGTGATGTGAGCGCCATTCGGTAATGTGCGCTCAGATCTAAGCTATCTTGGGATAGGTTGAATGTACCTGTTTTATGCAATGGCTGCACAGTTATCTATTTTTATGTCTTTTTACTGCCATGTGGTTAATGGAGTTTTGCCTCTGTCCTTGGAGATAATTGCATTACTTCCCAATTATCTCCGAGGGAAGGGATTGTAATGTACTGTGGGAGTGTTTTAACCCTGTATTCCTGTGATTGGTTATTTTACCATTTGTGTCCCAGTCTTCCATCGGGTCCCCTAAGGGAGTGTCCACCAGGTGGAAGACCTGAATAAATACCGGCAGGTAGCCCCATTAATTAGAGCACTGCTTGACCCTCAACACAGAGCCTTGTCTCGTTTTTGGGGGGAATTGGATTGGATGCAGTTTCAGACTGATTGCCAGGAGTGTAAACTGTTTGTATGTTTTTTTCCTGTTCTTATTATTCTTATGGTTCCAATTCAGGAGTTTGAAGCATTCGTGTGTTTTCAGTTCGGGAGATTGTTGTTCTGCAGTAGCTGCCTGTATATCTGGAAGGGAATATCTCTTAAATGGCTTTTAACCCCTTTTATGCCTGGGGGTGCCGTTACAAAAGTAGTCCCTACTTTGTCTTTTGTGTTAAAGAAAAGTAGAGCAGATAAGAAGAGATAAAGAACAGATCCTGAGAGAAGAGGAATCGATTAAAGAAAGGTAAGTTCGGCATGACAGTGCCGCATTAACAATAGGCAACCCAAAACAGAGTTCAAGGCTGCCTAAACCACGTGTGCCAGGACAAGTCCTAGGTACAAAAGTGCAGGTATGCAGCCAGTCAGCTTATTAGCACTATTTAATTTGTCTCATATTTAGAATTGGTATAGGACCCACCGTTATTGGGGTACTGTGAAGTAGTGGTGGGCTTAACACAATATGGCCATATGGTGGAACTGAATCCCCATATTTATTTGTTTTCTTAGATAGGCAGCTTAAGTTTGAGAATTGTATTTTTAGGTTTCTTAATTTGTATTACGTGTGAATATTGGTCATTGTGGTAGCACCATTCCTGCAGAATGCATGCTCCGGTGTGCCCCCAATCCTATCTGTCTTTGCTATGCAGCCAGTCTGAGTGCTTGTAAGAATGAGACTGCATGGAGGAGACAGACATACATATACCCCATGGTAAGTTAGGAAAATAACTATTACACACTACAGGTCCCCTCCATCTTAAGCCCCCAAAGTAACTGTATTGTGTGACAAGTTGAGACAAATACATCATAACTTGCTTTTGTTAAAAGGGCAGGCCCAGGCACTCTGACATGGGCGGTGTTTTACCGCCCCTGCCATCATAAAATAGGCCCCAAGGTGGCTGCAGACTGTCATGTCAGGTCCATGAGGCTGACAACAGGAGGGGGCCCGGTGGCTTGCCCTGTATGCCGCCAGGTGCGTAGGCCCTCTGATCAGTCTGCCCAGGGAAACTGCCACTATGCAGCTTACAAACTCCCAATAACCAGTGGCAACGCACCGGGCGCTCACAAGATCTCTATCACATGGTCTGCAGCTCTACACCCGGCAGAGAGACTGGAAAGCTGGCCACTGAACCACCAGGGAATGCTTTTTTTTTTAAGTGTAGGTCACAGCCTTGTCATACCACCCCCACCCCACCCCCCTTTCTTACAGCATCACCCTGCACACCACCACACACTGCTCTTCTACGGTCAGCAAGAAAAATAAAACGCACTATCCCCTATTACATCTGAAAAGTGGCAAGTCTTGTGGGGTATTCACCAAAGGTTGTGCAAGGAAGTACAAACAGTCAATCTGCAACAGGATCACAAACACCCAGTGGGGCACGAAGGCTAGCTGTCTGGTCCGCTCACACAGCTTAAATTGCTGAAAAAGTTAATGCTGTCCATGATAAAAATGTGTCAGAACACACAGTGCATAGCAGTTTGCGGCATACAGGTTTGCGTTGCTGAAGACCAGTTATAGTGCTCCTGGTGACCCCTGTATTCTGCCAAAATTGCCTTCAATAGGGACGTGAGCATCAGAACTGGACCATGGAGCAATGGAAGAAGTTGCCTGGTCTGATGAATCACATTTTCTTTTAGATCAGGTAGATGGCTGGGTGCTTGTGAGCCATTTACCTGGGCAAGAGATAGCAGCAGGATGCACTATGGGAAGAAGGCAGGCAGCGGGAGTGTTATGCTCTGGGCAATGTTCTGCTGGAAAACCTTGTGTCCAGGCATTCACATAGATGTTACTATGACATGTGCAAACTAGAGACTGTTGCAGATCACATACATCCCTTCATGGTAATAGTGTTTCCTGATGGCAGTGGCCTCTTTCAGCAGGATAATGAACACTGCAAAGATTGTTTAGGAAAGGTTTGTGGAACATGACAAATGGCCTCCAATTCCCCATATCTCAATATGATTGATCATCTGTGGGATTTGCTGGAACAAATCCGATCCATGGAGGTTCTTGCAACTTGCAGGACTTAAAGGATCTGCTGCTAATGTCTTGGTGCAAGATACCACAGGACATGTTCATAGGTCTTGTTGAGTTCTGGACCACCCAGCTGTGGCAAACTAAAATTGCAAAGTTTAGTCTAAAGTAGCCAAGCTATGACTACAGTTGAGTTGGAGAATTTCTCTAACTCAGAAGTGGTTACCTAACGTTTTCCCATTTAAGTTTCAATTCTCTATATTTTGCAGTAAATTGAATACACTCCCCATTGTATATAGGAGGAAGGGTGAATAAACCTGGCTAGACAGTAGAGTAGCAAAACAACACTAAAGACATCACGTGCTGACCGGCTTATATAGGACTGATCTATTCAGTGTGCAGATGTGAATGCAATAATGTGTTTATATATGACAATTGATCACTTAGATGGGCACTTGTGTACAGTTTTAGAAATTTCTGCAACATCCAGTTAAAAGAGCATGTTGTAGTGGTTATGGTGCAAGGAGTTCCCTTGCATTCCCTCAACCAGATTCTGCTCTCTCCTACACTACCAGCCAATATCCTCAGTTATTCTCTGCAGTTCATGCCTTAGCTCACCGGCTGAGAGCAATCAGCTGACACACCAGAGGAAAATCGTTAACCCAAGTGCTGCCAAGGGTTTTTAAAGTTATGTGTTAGATGGATAGCATATGACAGGCAGTTACCACAATAAAAAAAAAAAAAAAAAAAAGTTTTAAAAAGGCACCAATATGCTACAGGTGTCAATGCTCTCCCAAATTCGTCGGTGCGGATTAATGAGAAAGAATAAGGTATAATAGAACAGCACTTCCTTACTCTAATCAAGGGTGGTTCACGAGTTGACACTACCGTTGTCACCCAAAATTTGGTTGCAATTCTCCTAGTATTGGGAGGTATAAATCAAAGATTACAAAACAAAGATGATGAGGAAGCAGCATAAAAAGTTAGGGTACCAATGATGCAGCAAACATCACTAATGTAACAGTGGAAAACAGAACTTAAGAAAAAAGGGTGTTAAAGCATACGTACTCACTGATCCATCATGCACCTTGCCATTTGGGAGCATGAACAGAGTTCCAGAAGTTGTGTGCATGAGTTCATTCTGCGTTTCCAAGTGTTCCAAAAGCAGGACACCAAAGATAATAAGAGCCTAGGATGATGCTAGACAGATCCTAAAATGTGGAATGTAGGGAGGTATGTGGTTGGGCAACATTTTTACAGGGAGGGATCTCGAGTCATTGTCCAAATAATAATCACAGATGTTTATGGTAAAAAGGCATGTGTAATCATTGTTAATGCTGGTCTCTTCTGAGCTATACAAATCTAAAGAGATTGGCAATGTCTACACACAAATGCTGTGTCTTTTTAAGACAGAGTCTTCAAGCACTGACGCGCACATATTGATGACCTACGACTCTCAGAATTGTTTGATTGCAGTAGACAGCCACATAATCATGTGCTTGATAAGTAACATCTGCGGGCCAGAATTCAGATGCCTAATTAAAGAGATCAATAATGCCTAAAGATACATGTATTTTTTCCATGAAACAAGTGAGAGAAAAAAAAACACAATACAAAACATACAAGTTATACAACTTTCCTACATCACATTTTTCAGCTACGAGAAACCTCTTAAGCCTAACATTCACTTGTTGTTTTACACTAAGATATTAAAGGAACACTCCATGCACCAAAACAACTTAATCTAAATTAAGGTATGGTGCCCAAAGGTGCCCCAGAAGCATTTTTACCATCAAGGGTTGAACCATTCTCGAATGTTTTTACTTCAAGGTTGCCTCCAGAACCAATCTCAGTGCCCCCATGGGAGAACAGATGATTCCCCTGAAGGCAAGAATGCGCCTGGGTGGCCTATATGCACCATAACAATTTAGATCAAGTTGTTATGGTGTCTGGAGTGTTCCTTTAAGATCTTTATGTAAAACCACATGTGACCGCTTGGCTTAAGAGGTTTTGAGTAGAAGAAAAATTAATGTTATGTATAAAAATCATTGTGCTCTAAAACAAAATTAAAAAAATAGAAATGTGGCAAGAAATATTGAAACCAGTAGGCAAATTCCATTAGGGTACTACCCATTTTACATATTGACACCACTTTTCATGCATTGCCCTCACAAATCAATGGCCACTTAAGCAGTAAATACAAATCTGTGTTCCTAATATTATGCTATCCCGGTCATTAGTTCAGGAGTAGGCAACCTGCAGAACTCCAGATGTTGTAAACTACATCTCCCCTGATTCTTTGCCAGCATTATGGGATATTTAGTCTACAACATTTGGAGTGCCGGAAGTTGCCTACTCCTGCCCTAGTTAGTTGTAGGGCCACCCCATGTGCAGTATAAAATAAAAAAAAAAAAATTTTACTTACCTTTTCTCCCTCAGCGCTGCCACCAACAACACCCCACATCATAGAGAAGTATTAAGGACCCTAGGAACTGAATGCAAGGATTCTCTATGACAAGCTGTGACGGCCGTACTCCACAAGTGTATAAACGCAAGGAACTTTCCCAGCTCTCCTATCCAGAGGACTCAAATGTGGCTTGAAGTCGCGCTTCCAAGCCTTATTGCTAAAATAGTCCTTTTGGGTCAATTAGATGAAGTTGTTATAGTACGTACAGTGCTCCCTTTTGGACAACTGCTCATTGAGGCAATTATCTATTTAGGCTATCCTGTGGCAGCTATTCAGTGAATAAAAGCATGCAGACATGGTCAAGAGGTTTGGTTGTTTAAACCAAAAACATGAGAGGGGGGAAATGTAATCTTTGACCGTGGAATGACAGTACCAGATGTGATGGTTTGAGTGTCGCAGAATCTGCTTAACTCCTGGGATTTTCACAATAGTATCTACAGTTTACAGAAAACAGTGCAAAAATAAATAAAGGCAAACCCAATTAGCAAGTTGTGGGCAAAAAGGTCAGGTCAGACAGAAATGCTAGACTGGTTCTAGCAGACCAGGTTGAGACTACGTGAAGTAACCACAAGTTACAACAGTGGCACATGGAAGAAACTCTGAAGTCAAACTCTGGTCTTCTGCTTTTGTATTCAGTCCACTTCAAACTGATCTCCACTCTAGTCCAATGAGAACATGAAATGGAGGCTTACACAAACACACATTAAACAGAACAGTAGAAGACTGCAAAACATTGTCTGGTTTGAGGAGTATCTCAGTTATGTCATTGGCTTTCACTTACTGGAAAAAAGCAAAATGCATGCAGACTTTTTAGATGAGCTTTTTAGCCTTTTTGAAGTAGGCCTAAGCCCTAATGCTTTAAATTTATTGTAGTTTACAAAATGTTATGTTTATTGTCCCACAACATCTGCATTTGAAAGCAGACCGTATGCTGCCATTAGTACATTTTGTCATTATTGGCAATGGTTTAACAGCAATATTTAGACCACCAGAATGGTTTCCCCCTTTCCATGCAGCCCCTTTCTTAAACATAGGGCTCGTTGGGCAGTAAAATGCAAACAAGCAAAGCCCCCAACATTTTCAGTTTAGGAGACATTTTCAGTGAGCAGTGGCAGAACTACCAAGGTCACTATGCAACCGGGCCCTGGAGTTCCATATGTTGGCTTGGGCCTTATGTAAAATCATCAATTTAATATATACTGCCATCTTGGCAACATGTTTAATAACTTTTAAAGTTTGTGAGGGAGCGTTAGGTAAGCACTCCCTTGCAATTCCAACACGGATTCAATAAATCAGAGGGTTACCACCAGGTTGCTATGGGAAAGCCCTTACACACTGAATGAGTGTCAACTAGAAGGAGCATGTACACTGAGTGGTCTGCACCTACTCCACTAGACCACCGGAGATCCTGCTAGCGGCACCCACAGGGATCCTTGCAGCACCAAAGAAGATAGAGAGGTCCCCCTAAGGATAATTCTCCCCTAGAGCTTAACCGTGGTGTGTGTGTGTGACTGTGAGATATAGATATATATATACACACACACACACACACACAAAGAGGTACTGCCCCTCTAAAAAGGACTTAAAGATGGGAGAATCCCTAGTCTAATTATAAGGCATGTCAAAATAGTGACTACATCTGTGCTTAAATAATCAAAGAATAAAACACAAAAAAGCAATACATAAAAATACTATACACACTACCTAGTGGTAAGGGAAAGTATTAAAAACAAGTGCCACCTTAACTCAACTAATGCCATTATAATTGGGAAAGATTCCAGAACATCCATCCTATCCTCTATCCCCCTATTTTAAGTAGTACATATGGAGCGCCTCTAGTGCATATTGTTGCACTCATTTTGATCAGGAAAGATTATCTCTCTTCCCCCATTTAGTTCAAGTATTAATGTGGTTGTTACTTACGTAATTATTGCTTACTTTCTGTAGCTTTGTACAAGTGGAAACTTTGTCTCAATGGTGTCTAAAATATGCTTAGGGTCACACACACACACACACACTATCCTCTAGCTCCCTATATTACCCTAGGCACATCTTGATCCTTTCCACTTTATAGGTATTCAGTTGATGTTCCCTGGATTGTGGTAGACATTTAGGCGATACACCACTTTGTACCTATCCAAGCAACTAATAAAGGAATCTTTCCCAAATATAATAGCATTGGTTGAGTTAAAGTGGCATTTCTTTTTAATACTTTCCCTTACTTCTAGGTAGAGTGTATAGAAAGTATTTTGACGTAGAACTTTTTTTTGTTTTTATTCTTACCTAGAGTGATTATTTAAAGGATCACTAGAATGTCAAGAAAACAAAGTGGTTTTCCTGACACTATATAATCCTTTGGGGACCCTCACCCTCAGGGTCCCCCTCCCGTGGCACTGAAGGGGTTAAAACCCCCTTCAGTCACTTACCTTATTCCAGCGCCGGGCTTCCTTGGCACTAGTGACCTCTCTTCCCCCAACGTCAGCGGAGCTTAATGCGAATGCGCAGCAAGTGCCGTGCGCATTCAAAGTGTCCATAGGAAAGCATTGAGAAATGCTTTCCTAGGGAAACTCTGCGCGATGTAGGCATAATATGCCGCCAGCATCGCAGATACGCCTCTAGTGGCTGTCCGGAACAAAGCCACTAGAAGCTGGCTTAACCCTGCAATGTAAACATAGCAGTTTCTCTGAAACTGCCATGTTTACATCTGAAGGGTTAAAACCTGAGGGACCTGGCACCCAGACCACTTCATTGAGCTGAAGTGGTATGGGTGACTATAGTGTCCCTTTAAGCACAGATGTATTATTCACTATTTTGACATGGCTTATAATTAGACTAGGGATTCTCCCATCTTTAAATCCCTTTAGAGGGGCTTTACCTCTTTCTTTGTGTATCCTTGCAGCACCCACTGGATCACCAGGTATTAGACTCCCTACCTGCATAAAGATAAGCAAAATGGGGAGTTTAATAATAAAAAACACACACACACACACACACACACACAATCAACCACCACACATAAGGTGACTGTGTGGCATGAATGATCGGGAGGGTTCATTGATTATTGCAGTGGGGCCCCTGCAATTTCTAGTAACTATTCTTTTAATGAACAATTACATATATTTATATTAACCAGAACAAAAAAAAAAAAATCCCTACTACTTTCAGGAATGAAAAGGGTATCACCGCATACTGCAACACCCCTGTTATTTGGCACCAATATTCCTGTAGAAATTTAATATAGGTTTTATAAAGAAAAAAAATCCATTAAACAGCTTAATACAACAGTTTCAGGTTTTGTGTTTAAGGCAATTTGAAGCTTCCTGCTGCTGTCAAAGCAGATTGTGCATTAGACAGAAGTGAGTATTAGCAATTATTAGAACAGCAGTTCCTGTCTGGGACATATTGCAGTGCACAACAGTTGCTGACACATCACAAGCACAGCACCCTCCACCCTTGGCATCCATAAACTTTCACTCAAATCACAGTGGTTTCACAGGCACCCCCTCATCATGAATACACTATCAAGCAAATAACTGAATTTTGCTTGTTGCACTTTGATACACGTGTTAATTAAAATGATATCACACTGAAATAATGTGTCATGACCTTAAGGGACACTGCAAGCACGTAGACAACAGTATTAAAGGAGAGCTGTAACTTCCCAGGTTTTTATTTTTTAATATTCTGTTCATGTATCCCTATATTTAACCAAACACACACCACGGTCATCGTCGGACATTTAAAGTTATGAACAGTGACACTATAATGTTAGGAATACAGGTTTGCATTCCTAGTCCGATAGTGTTACTTTAATTTTCTATCCTGGCAATGGGTGCCTCGGTGTTAGCTCCCTTTCTTTCACTGTTATCAGCTAAGCTCTTTGCACATAGCTGTTGGCATTAAAAAAAAAAAAAAAAAAATTAAAATACATTCACTTAACTGAGAATTCACTTAAGAAATTCAGAGTGAATTTTAATAGTTAGGCCAAGAGTGCCAAACAAGAAAAACTCTCCATGATAATACTGTATTTAGTTCAGCTATTTTAGTCTTAAATTTAAAAATTTACTTTGAATTGCCAGCAATTCTCACTTTGATGAATAATCCTGAATATTTCTATTTCTCCTGTCGCCCTTCACTGCATGTGTTTTATGTCTTTTTATGGAAGATCCCGCAGATTTGCAGGACCCTCCATAGACCTCTGTACTCTCACGCATGCACTAAGAGCAGAGAACCGCCTGAAAAAGGATGGTGGCACCCACGAGGAACAGGTTCAGGTAAGAGCTCATTGAATTTAAGTGTGGTACTGTGATGGGATGCCACCTTTGGAATAAAGTCAGTTTGTGATATTTCATCCCTGCTACGTATTCCGCAGTCAACTGTAAGTAGTAATATTAGAAAGAGAGAGAGTTTAGGAACAGCAGCAATTCAGCCACGAAGCAGAAGATCACATAAAGTCAAAGGGTGGGGTTACCGAGTCTTGAGGCACATGGTGTGTAGAAGTCGCCAATGTTTTGCTGAAGAGTTTGTATATAGTATATCCCTGCAGGCTTTTTAATATTACTGCCGAGTAACACCTCTAGTGGCCTTCACGTGCCTCATGGAAATGAGGAGATGTTGATTGGCACAGCATTTTGACATCCTTTGCAATAGCCTCCCAATACTTTCCGATAAGAAAGCATTGGATTGGCTGACATGGTCAAGTTTCATGACCTCAGTCAAGGAGGCGGAGCAGGGGAGGGACCAGCCACAAAGACGCTTGAATAAAGACGAGTAAAACACCTTTTACTTTGTTGAGGGGGGGGGGGGCTAGGAACCTAAACTATAATGACAGGAATTCATGTATGTATTCCTGTTACTAGTTTTCCTTTATTGTTTAACAAGAGTCTCTGGCAATGCAAGGACTAATGAGGAAGCTTTAGCCTAAGCAGCAATGAGTGGCCGTGATTGGCTGAGACTTTGAACAGATGGCTTTCATCCTTCCACAGAACCCAATTGCTTGTTTTAATTAATATAGCTGGAAGAGTGTATTAGCCATTCCTTGAATAGTGATGAGCTGTTGGTGACCAGGGTCCCTGCTTGGAAATGGCTTAGCATTGAATGAAGGAAGGACAGCGGCAGAGGATAGCAGACAGAATAACGAATACCATAAGATAAAATTGTTATAGTTCCTACAGTGTCCCTTTAAAGATCTTTATCTACTGGTTTGTAGTAGTGCCACATTTCCAGATCATCTCTATGGAAGACTGGAAATGTACAATCACTGAACTTTTATAAATAGCTCAGTGTTAAGACATCAGATTCATGCATATAATGGCTCTGTGTCAGACATACACTCCCAGCATTTAATAGCCAAATGTCAACCTGGTCCACCCTTAAAATAAAAAAATAATTATAGATTACTAAACGCTATCCCATCATCAGCTAATGGTCACACAGAATACAAAAACCTTCAATGTAGTTCATATTCAGGGTTATTCACAAAACACTGCAATTTTGTAAATTAAATCTGTGTGCCCAAAAAATATAACCAAAAATTGTAATTCTCCAACTAAGCTATATTTACTACTTTATGCTAAATTTTGGTTTTCGTGTTTAAATTCACTAAAAATTGGCCTTTAGTGAATAACGGATTGTCTCAATTCTCCACTGACGACTCAGGCTGCATAGTTTGAGCAATAAATTGAAAGCTTGTTTAACATAACTTTCTTCTATAGGATGAATAAATTATATACTGCAGTCCCTGTTGAAAATAGTCCAGCTTCTATTCTAAGACTAGCCTGTGCCTGTCTCCCCACTGATCCAGAACAGCGGAGTGTCACAATCACACAAAACATCCTCTTCTAGTTAACAGCTGAGTGTCATTGTCAACTTCCTCAACTGCACAAAGATACACATAACTCACATACATACCAGCTGAGTGTGACATACACATACAGAAACTCCTCCTCCTCAACAGCTGAGTGTCACTAACAACTTTAGCACAAAGACACAGAACTCCCTACAAAAACAGCTCAGTATGAAAATATCCCCCTCCCCCCGAGACGTGAATATCACAGACACTCCCCATGAACACAAAGACTCACATAGCAACCTCCTCTCCAACAGATGATTGTCAGACACAAAAAGAACACTCTCCGCTATGAAAGTCAGACATAAAACATAATTCTCCCTTCGTAAAAAAAAGGGAAGTCAGACACATACACACCAGTAGCACGCTTCCCAGATACCTGTTGATTGTCACATACAGATCCCCTCTATTCCTTAATGAGTTTGTGGCACAAAGACAACCCCCCCCTCCCTTCCTAACAAGTCAGACATACAAGCACAAAGACATCACCCTTCCACTCACAACAGCTGATGATCACAGACACTAAAAAAGACAGACCACCCTTTCTCTACCCCAACACCTAAAGCTTAACTTCAATAATATAAATAATTCTCCCCATTAATACAGCCCCCCTAACACTACTATGACATATATAGGGTTAATCTATAACAAGATATACATGGGATGGGGGGAGTTACACTAAAAATTACTCACTCCCTTGTAATATAGCCCCTAACACAGCTATAGACATATATGGGGGGGGGCAAATCTATAACAAGATATACATGGGGGAGGGATACACTAAGGGGTACTCACTCCTTGTAATACAGCCCCCTACACCAGCTATGAACATATATGGGGGTTACACTGGGGGTCCTCACGGAGGGGGGAGAAGGCATACTATGGGGGTCCTCGCCCTGCCTGTTAATATCCCCCACCCCCATATACCTAGAGCCATTATAGGGGGGGGGTACCCTGCGCCCCTCTCTCAGGATGCAGACCATCCATCCCCTCACCTCAAACCGGCCCTTGGTCACCCCGTTCATCTCTCTCCTCATGGGGGCGGTTGGTGGCGGCTGGGGGCGAGGTCCCCCTGGGTGTCCCCGAGGTGACACGGACTGGCCGGGATCGGAGGAGGCCGGGGGAGTCCCCGCTGGCCCCGGGCGGTGTCTCTCGGGCGCTGTGTGTGGGGGAGGGAGGGCCCCGGCTGCCGCGCTGTCTCTCGGGCTCTGATCACCGGACACACCGGGTCTCCGTCTCCCGTGTCGGGGCCTTTAACTTTAGCCCAAAACAATAACACCCGCACCTGCCAGCATCGGCGCCTGCGATTGGCCGGCCAGGGCGGGAGGGGGCGGGGCTTGCAGCCTGACAGCTGATCGGGGCCCCTGGGAGCCGACACCGGAGACCGCGAGCCAGTCCGGGATCCCCCTGCACCCGGCCCCTCCCACTGAGCGCACGCAGGCGCCGATCACGGGGCCCTCAGGGGCCCCCCCGCCGGCACGCCCCTCCCCCTTTTGTCCCGGAGCCTGGCAAATCAGCGCGCCGCTTGGGGCATTTAAACGTGACGTCACTACCGCGGGAAACCTTAGAAAAAAGGGCCAGCCAGGGATTTAAAGGGCCAGTGCCAGCCAGCGAGCAGGGGATCAAAGAGGGATTTAACGGAGAGAACACAGTCACCTGCTGGATAAACGAGGGGAGAGAGGGGAGAGGGGAGAGGGAGAGGGAGAGAGGGAGGGAGGGGAGAGGGGAGAGGGGAGAGAGGGGAGAGGGGTCAGTACAGAGACAGGAGCCCTCATATAGGAAGCATATATTATCACCATTATTATTATTGTGTGTTGTGTGTGTGGGAGGTAGAGGGGAGAGTTCACAGGAGCCATTAGGAGCCATTCATATAGGAAGCATATATTATCACCCATTATTATTATTATTATTATTATTATTATTATTATTATTAGACAGGAGCCTTCATATAAGAAGCAGACTGGGCACCCAGTATTATTATTATTATTATTATTATTATTAGACAGGAGCCTTCATATAAGAAGCAGACTGGGCACCCAGTATTATTATTATTATTAGACAGGAGCCCTCATATAGGACACAGACTGGGCACCCAGTATTATTAATTATTATTATTAATATTAGACAGGAGCCTTCATATAGGAAGCAGACTGGGCACCCATTATTATTATTAATTATTATTATTAGACAGGAGCCTTCATATAGGAAGCAGACTGGGCACCCAGTATTATTATTATTATTATTATTATTAATATTAGACAGGAGCCTTCATATAGGAAACAGACTGGGCACCCATTATTATTAGACAGGAGCCTTCATATAGGAAGCAGACTGGGCACCCAGTATTATTATTATTATTATTATTAATATTAGACAGGAGCCTTCATATAAGAAGCAGACTGGGCACCCAGTATTATTATTATTATTATTATTAGACAGGAGCCTTCATATAAGAAGCAGACTGGGCACCCAGTATTATTATTATTATTAGACAGGAGCCTTCATATAGGAAGCAGACTGGGCATCCAGTGTTATTATTATTATTATTAGACATGAGCCTTCATATAGGAAACAGACTGGGCACCCAGTATTATTATTATTATTATTATTATTAATTATTATTATTATTATTAATTATTATTAATATTAGACAGGAGCCTTCATATAGGAAGCAGACTGGGCACCCATTATTATTAGACAGGAGCCTTCATATAGGAAGCAGACTGGGCATCCAGTGTTATTATTATTATCATTATTATTTTCAATGCTTTCCTATGGGGAGCTCTAATGCGCATGGGCATTAGGTCTCCCCGGCCTGCGGGCGGGATCAGTCTCGCCCACCAGCCAATGTAATGCAGAGGAGGAGCAGCAGAGGAGGAAGAAGCAGCGACGTGGGACATGTCGCTGCCTCTGGTAAGTGACTGAAGGGGTTTCAAACAGCAGCAATTACATTGATAAATAAAAAGGTTAAATGCACAAGGGAAATTTAACAGGTACTACCAAACTTTGAATACAAACAGCATGCAGCATAGGTAATATAAGTCACAAACAGGTAACGCAAGTCCAAGTCCTCCTTCTTTGCTGCTCCACACTACAGATAAGTACATTGTGTAAGACTTTTGCTGAACTTCATTATTTTTGTGTCCCTTTGTATGGTTTTGTTCTTATATTTTTGACTCCTAACTTCTTTGTTTTTTTCTAACACGTTTTTGCCCATTTGTTTTCCTCGCATCTGCACACCTACTATGACTCCTCAACCATTGATTCCCACCATCAGAAGTTCAATCGCTAGTTCGCTAGTATCACAAGAGGCAAAAGATATGTCAAAAAGGAGAAATAATTACAGTTCTTGTAGATTCACTAGGATTTCTCAGCAATCTTTTCTCGGTAAAAAATAAAGATTCAGGATTCCGACGTACACTAAATTTATATGCCAAATACCATCACTTTAAGATGGAAGGAATACATTTTCTTTGCGATCTTTTACTTCAATTCGATTGGATGGTAAACATCGATCTGAAGGATGCCTACTTAACAGTCCCAATACATACATCTCACCAACCTTAAGATTTCTGTGGCAAGGGCAAAAGTGGCAATGTAGTTTTCTCCCTTTCAGTCTTTCTTTAGCCCCATGATATTTTACCAAACTTATGAAGCCAGTGATGATCTCGCTTCAGAGGAGTGAGAATAATTAGATCTGGACAACTTTTTTCATCATGTCCCAACATGTAAATCAATTATGCATTCACATGGAACTGGCCGCTTACTCTACTTACAGATTTAGGTTTTATAGTCAATCACACAGAAATCTATTCAAAATACTACCCAGAACATAAAATATTTAGGTTTTCCGGTCGATTCCAGATGTCACCAATTTGAAACTCCAATCTATTAGAAAGGAATTTAAATCTTTCCACACGAAGGCTTTTATTTCTCTACAATCCTTGGCTCAGATAGTGGGTCTTTTACCTTCCTAGATTCAAGCAATTTTCCCAGAATCCTTACAGTACAAGCCTCTCCAACACCTAAAAGCAGAACACTTGTGATGAGATTCCCCTAAATTCCAAGGCCAGAGAAGAACTTCTTATGTCGCTCAACATATTCAAGTTTGGAACAGAAAAGCCATATTCAGATTCCTTCCAGATTTGATTCTTGAGTGAAATGCAAGTCATCTGGGTTGAGAAGCTTAGTGCTGTTTGATCTCCACAGGAGGAAAATGGCCATTAGACAAGACCAATTTTCATGTCAACGGTCTAAAATTTTTAGTGGGATCTTTCACTTTGAAGGGTCAGGTGAATTGTTGTATCCTTCTAAAGATGGACAACATTTCAGCAAACTTATAAATAAATCATCTAGGAGGAACAAAGTCAAAATCCTTTGCGTATCTTGCCCAAATTTTTGTCTACTATGGCTTGGAACTCCAAGTTCTTGTCAGATTATGGCAATTGGAAACTGGATTAGCAGATTTTTCTTTATCTTGATCATCTTTGGGGTCCCCTCCAGCTAAATATTTTTGCATTGTGCTTCAATAGTCTTCGCCCTCAGTTTTATAGTTCGTGTCCGGATCCAGAGGCTTCTGGTTTTGACGCCTTTTCTACAGGATTGGTACCTAGGAACAAATAAAGCAATTCCCCCGTTCATTTTTATTCCCCAAGGTTTTTTTTATCCCAGACAATAAGACAGTGAACTGTCTGTCTGCATCTTCTGATAATTCCAACTCTGCCATAGTTCCCATAATTGTTGGTAATGTTGATAGACATTCCTCTATTTGACAATTTTTTGATGAATCCCTGCAAGAATCCTCGTCCTCTAATTGGTGGCTTGTTAAGTTTAGAACTGTCCGAAATTGATTGTGAATTTTTTAAACATCACTAAAGATATACTGTCAGATGTGTGGGCACCCAGAACCAAAGCTAATTACAGATCAGCCTGGCAACTTTGGGTTCTTGGTGCTTGGAACGGGGGATTTGGATCCCATATGTGCTCCTATTTCCCAGTCTTAAATTTTCTTTCCAAATCTTTGGAATTGGGTAAAGCATACTGAACTATTAATATTTTTATTCGGCTATATAAGCAGGTTATTATCTGATTTGATAATCTTAAAATAGAAAAACATCCACTAGTTGGTAAATTGATGAGAATTATCTGTCTCCGGAGACCTCCATTTCCTAGATGTAACAAAACATGGATGTTAGTTTGATTTTGCATTTGCTTTAAAGCCTTAGTCATTTCACATCAACAATTTAACCCTCAAGGGATTCAATTATCCTTATTTCATAGATCATCCTAATCTATGTGTGGTCCAATGTCTCAAATGCTAAGAATCCAAATATTCTTCACTCAGATAAATCACAACTACTTATTTGTTACTGTAAACCACACTTACCTGTGTCCTTTACTCTGGCTAGATGGGTTTGCAACATAATGTCTTTAGCAAGGATTGGTGCTGATACATTTGGCCCTCATTCCACTAGGGGTGCTAGGTCTACTAATGTTTTCCAAGTTGGAGGTTCCATTTCTGATATTCTAAAAGCCGTTGACTGGTCTTCTGATTCTGTCTTTCACAATTTCTATTTCCGTCTTGTCTCTCATGTGTCTGTGGTTACACTGGCATTATTAATTTTCATTTAAATTATATTATGGAGGCTTTTAACTGGCATAGGAGCCTCCAGTCTGCAATAAAATGTTAAGATTTTCCCTATCATTTGTGTAGGAAAATATGGATTTTATTAAAGACAAAAAGCAAATATTATCCCTACCACTTTTAACCCATCCTTGGTTTCTTATTTTAATTTTTCTACCGTTTAACCTGGATGGAATTTTTTTTTAATCTTTCTTTGTTTCCTGTATTTCTTGTGAGACCTGTTTTGAGCTACAACATCAGAAGGTATCTCGTAACCTTTGAAAGTTGACATCCAAACAGGCCTTTGGTTACCTGCTTGGGTTTTATATTACCTATGCTGCGTGCTGATTGGTTACCTGTATTCTAAGTTTGGTTGTACCTGTTTTATTTTTCTTGTTCATTTAAACTTGTTATTTAACTCTTTTGTTGCTGCTATTTTGAGTAATAAAGAGAGATACTCACCTCCTGTCTTTAATAAAACCTAGATTTTACCTACACAAATGATAAAAAGAAAATCTTAAATTTACAGTGTCCAAGTAGATCCTGATGTACATTTTAAAATTGTAACACAGAAGAAATATATGCAAAGAGCAATGTCTAAGAGTAAGGGTAGACACCCTTTGGCACTTTCAATGTTGTCGACTACATTGCCCCAAATATGATTGAGAGTGTTCTGGGAGATGTTGTCCACAAAATTTGGACTGACGAAGATTGCCTACACCTGGTCTTACGTATTATGCCAAGAGGCTCCACTTTTTCATAATAATAAAATTACTTCACCAACATCAATGTAAATCAACTTTATTGTACTAACGTCATTGTAAATCAACTTTATTGTAGTCACCACAATGGGGCCTGGCAACATTTCATTCCTTGAATAGACAAATAAAATGGAATGTCTAGAATTGGCTGGAAGGAGTGGAATACTTTCTGAACTGGTCAATATACATTGCCGAAAGCTGAAAAACCCTGAGCACATGCAGCATACCAGAATGTTTAAATAGATTGTATTATTTTATTTAATATAAAATTATGCATTATGGGATTTATTGAGATTTAATCCAGCCATAGCGTCTGTCCTTTCTACAGAACTTTCTGATTCAACTCACAGGTAACAGAAGGAGACTGAGTTCTCTGGTTATTGTGTCTAGTATGTGGTTGGATATTGCATTCCTGACATTGTGTTTTAGAAGTACATTTGGCTGACCTTACTCACATGGTTATTTACTGAAGTGTGAATATCCCATTTTAAGGCGTGTAACAGAACTGAAAGCAAAGCAATGCCTCCCAGCGCCAGTGCCCCAAGAGGTGGAACACTGGCAGGAGAGTGGTAAAGAGGGTCATGAGGGAACACCATTGCCACGACGGGGTGTATGTGGTCTGCAACAATGTCTAGGGAGGTGGTACATAAAAATTAACATCACTAAATGATCTGTTTTGGCTTCTACAGTAGTTGACTTCCGATGCTTTTCGCAGATTAGGAAAAAAATATACATAAATTAATTTTGCATCTCTTGTCTACTCGTGAAAATCTGCCCCTGCTTGGTATGTTCATACTGTAATCAATGCCACCTGTGAACCACCATTAAGCTGTTGCAGTTGCCATAACGTCAGCCAAAAGAGTAGGAGGGCTTCAGGCATTCATTGTATCTTCCTTAGAACCACTTTATCTTTATAGAAAATGGTATTATTTAAAAAAAAAAAAAATAAAAAAAAAAAACATCTGTCTCAAAGTGATATTCTATAGGAAGTCAACCAATGAAAACACACTTTTTAACCTCACCTTCGTCGATTTTCAATTATTTTGTTTTCAAATGTGACATACTAAAAAGGCCACCTAAGGTTGCCTACTCAGAGATTATTATTATTTTTTTTTTTTTACCTGAAACTGAAAGAAGCAAGGTGGTTTAAACCACTCTAGGACTTACCCAAGAAGTTTAGCCTTGATGTGGCTGGTGAGCTTATACTGTATTGGCCACTGGAGTGATGATAAAAATCACCAGTTATTTAAATATGCATGGGGCCCCATTTGTGCTGTCAACACAGTAGTGACCAAGTTACTATTTGGGGTAGTAACTATTTGGGGTATTTGTGCTGCCAACACAGTAGTGACCAAGTTACTATTTGGGGTATTTGTGCTGCCAACACAGTAGTGACCAAGTAACTATTTGGGGTATTTGTGCTGCCAACACAGTAGTGACCAAGTAACTATTTTCTTTGGTTAGGGTAGGCATATGTTTAGAGTTTGTGTAAGCATTGAGCAAGGGGTATGGTTGGTATAGCGTTCGGTTTATGGACAATTTCATCCATCCTTAAGGGTCTAACTACCAAGTTTGAAGATGGGAAGGTAAATTGAACCGGAGTTATATTAGATTGAGTAAAACAGGAATTCCATTAGCAATAACTGCCTTACTCCAGACAAGTTTAAACATGTTCTGACTTGCATGTCACATCACAAATGTAAGTTATGTTATGATCTTTGCAGGATAAAGATTGCTCCTCTGCAACTTTAAGTGAATTGAAGAGATAAGGACTTCATTACCGTTATGCACAAGTGACACAAAAATTAGTAATTTTCTAGTATCTGTTGCAATAGGTTAAGTAGTAAAGGATATGGTAATGTATGAAAAAGTGTCTTAGATTGGTTACGTCATGTATAAGAAAACCTTTTCCCAGTTAGAAGAAAATGCTAAAATTTGTGAAAAGTACCAACACATAATAAGCAGGAGCCTGAAGTTGAAGATACCCAGTCTGAAGAGAATGCCGATTTTGTTCATAAGAAGACAGTCACGTTTGTGACGTTTTAGCGGTTGACAAACATACAGCTATCAAATCTTTAAATGATAATTTAGTTACTTTGTGTGAAATAACAACCAAGAAACAGGTGTTAGAAAATAATTACTGTAAAAATAAAACTGCATGAAGTCAATGGAACTATTCAGAGTACAATGTTTCATTATGTGAGAAGTAAAAAATCTTCCACGTCAGAAAACTGAAAGAAAAGTTTACTTAACATCAGTTAGAGATATTGGGATCCAGATACAATGTTATCTAAAAGTTGGAGTGTGGGTAGAATTCAGCAGGATTATGAAGTAAATTGCATGGCAGTAAAAGACTCTCTTACATTACGACGTCCTTTCCCAAGCAAATTACAATGCATATTAGAAAATTTACTAATTTATGCTTCATTTGCATAGATAGTATTAATGTGGTCCTTAATTGTTTCAATTTACTTCAATGTGTAGTAGAGCAATCTTTACTCTGCAAAGATCACAACAGAACTTAAATCTATCATATGACATGCAAAATCAGAACATGTTTAGACTTGTTTGGAGTACCATAACTCCCGATTAAAGAGTTACAATGAAGGAAGTGTAAACATTAGATGACTCTTTACAGGAAGTGTTTAGGAAGGCTGTGCAGGAGTGCCAACATGGGTGCCAAACTATTACAACGGCTTAATGATTTATTTTGCTTTTTTTCCCCAGAATACATGCAATGGATATCTCACCTGAAAAAGCTTTAGAAGACCTTTCCAAAGACATCGGAGTACTGAAATATTGAATGTTCATTAAAATTTACTATGTAAATACAGAAGATGTGGACCTATAATTTTTGCATAGGCTCATACTTCAGGTGGCACGTTTTTAGTATGCAAAATTTAAAGAATTTTTTTTTTTTTTTTTTTAATTGAGATTGAGGACCTAGTTGATTTGACATAGAATGGCCCCAAAGCCTTTGGTGTTAAATTTGGATATTACCCTGCCTTTTTCAATAAACTATTATTGGTGAAAGACACAAGCTGATATTTGTCCACAAATAAAGAGGAAGTCTTCTACCTATTTGTCCACAGCACCAAACTTCACAAGGTCATACCATCACTTTCTCAATTTTAAAGGAATGAATAACGGGAAGTGTCAGTTACCTCCTCTTAAAAGCTCATTAACTTTAGCAATGGAAACAAATGGGCAGAAAAAGTGTTTCCAGATTAGCCACATGATCCATCGTTAAATTTACATACGAACCTTAGAAGAATCTGTTTTTGAATTAAAAATGTTTTTGCAATATGTGACATTAACCGAACTTGCTGCTATATGATTATCAATTGCCAGCTGTAAATGCACCCTGTCTCTTAATGATTACACTCCCCTCCTTCCCACTTGACTTGATTTTCTTCCTTGTACCATGTTTCAATACCTGGGTGCAGCCATTTTGTTCTCCCATGTCATCTTCAGTTTCCCTGCTACTGGATATATTTTACTGAAGGATTGTGGGTATATTTGACAACTGAAACAAACCCTTGCTTTAAGCTTCGCCCAATGTTAAGTTTTGTCAACCTGACTGCTATACATGAGTAAAAGTAGTCCTTACATTTATTCATGTATTTAATACAAACTACAGCGCTTTAGAAATAACCAATTCAAACACAGGGAGCTATATAGACGCAGATAAGATTACATTTATTTTTGGTGACTGAACAATTTTAATATTTTAGTCCTGTTTTAGGTTATGGAAGGGAAATGCCATATTGTGTACTGCTACTAACACAAAGGGGAAAAAAAATATTTATTTAAAAGCTCTGTTTTTATTTTCCATTTGAACAATACTGATGAATTTAGAGGCTCTTTATAAAATAATGACCTCAATATTGAACATATGTCCAATAAAGCAAAACTATAACAACCGTTTTTACCAAACACTTTTATTTTTGTACCACAAAATGTTTTTCGGGATTCTTTTTTTTTCTTTTTCTTCAAAAAAGCTTTTAGCCAACATAACAAAAACAATAAAAGTGGTCATATTTACAAAAGGAAATACACTTATTTATAAAATACCATTAATAAAAATAAAATCAGCAATACAAATTGGTAAATGGGGGGGAAAAAAAAAGGGCATCTTTAAACAACAAGCACAAGAAAATGTGCACTAGTGTCTGGGCCTTTCACAGATGATTTGTAGTCTGTCACCAAATGCTACAGAGCTAGTTATTCATTTTCAAAACATGTTTATTCAAACAGCGAGTTGGAGTTGATGAAACTTGCAAGCAACAAGCCCACATAGCAGAATTGAGATTAAAAATAAATACATTTATTTTTATGGGGAAGGGGTAGGAACAAGGAAGGTCTCAGATTCTGAGGCAAGAGAAAGGGGGTAACCCCAAGTAGAAAGTAACAAAATAGAGAGGTGCTTGCTTACTTTTAACTAAAATGAAACATTTAATATATTGATTAAAAGTATTACTGTTTATAAATCAAAAGGTAAACTAGAAAATATTGATTGATTATGACTATCAATAATATAAAACAAAAAAGATATGAAGAAAAAAAAAAAACTTATACCAAATTATCCAAAAACATAAAATGATAGCGGTTTGTAAAAAGGAAAAATAATGTAAGATTAGTTGATAATCAATAAGTATATTGCTGGAACTGCAGGCTGAGCCCAGATATAAAAAGCTTTTTTTAGCTGGTGTTCGTGATAACTTAGGCTGAGTTCCTTCTTTTAGAGTCTATAACCTTAGCATAGTGATACTAATAGTTCCCTTCAAAGAAAATTGCAACAATTGTATCCTACAGATTGATCACATTGTTAGATCTACTCTATTCATATCTTGTGTCTCCTGGGATTGCCAGTTTTAGCTTTACTGGCATCTCTTAACCCCTTAAGGACACATGACATGTGTGACATGTCACAATTCCCTTTTATTCCAGAAGTTTGGTCCTTAAGGGGTTAAAGGATCACTATTGGGTCAGGAACACAAACATGTATTCCTGACCCTATAGTGCTCAACATCATTTCGGTGGCTGGTTCCCCCTTAGCCCCCCTATCAAAAAAAAAAAAAAAAGTTTAAAACTTACCTTATTTCCAGCGCTGAGCGGGTCCGCCGGTGCTGGCTCTACCCCCTTTGTGACCATCAAAATGGCAGATTTTTAGCCAATCCAATGCTTTACCATAGGCATGGGGCGGGGCCAAATGCAGTTTTGACCAATCAGGACCTCCTCATAGAGATGCCTTGAATCAATGCATTTCTATTAGGAAAATACAGCGTCTCCACGCTGAACGGCAGGGCTGCTTACTGTACAGCCCTGAGAGGAGTGGCCACTTGGAGGTGTCCCTAGAGGCAATGTAAACACTGTCTTTTCTCGGAAAAGGCATGGTTTACATGAAAATGCCTGAAAGCAATGATTATACTCACCAGAACCACTACATTAAGCTGTAATTGTTCTGGTGACTATACTGTCCCTTTAAGAAACACTACATGCTTTTTATATCTGGGCTCAGCCTGCAATTCCAGCAATAAACTAATTGATTATCAACTAATCTTACATATTTTTCCTTTTAAAAAAACATCCATCATTTTATACTTTTTTTTTCTTTATATCTTTTGTTTTATATTATTGATAGTCTTATAAATCAATCAATATTTTCTGGTTTACCTTTTGATTTACTAACAGTAATACTTTTAATCAACATATTAAATGCTACATTTGAGTTAAAACGATACCAGCAGGCAAGCACCTCTCTATTTTGTTAAATAAATAAATCATCAACTCTGTTATTATAAGGTCAAGAACAAGTGATAAACGGCTTACCCCAACTCACAGCTTATTGAACAAACTTCAAAGCCATTTTATGGCAGACACTCAATTGGTGATCTACATTCATATAAAAACGCAAAAGTCATTTCAATTGTTCTTGAACATTGATGGGCATCTTATCGAACAACAAATGGGACAATAAATAGAATACATTATACATTTTACATTGTCTTTGTGCTGTCTGAAATAAATGGCCTCCAACAGTGGCAATTAAAAAGGGGTTATTTAATTTATGCAATGCTTGAAAAATAAAATAGTAATATCAAGCTTGCATACAGCTAAAAAGAAACAAAACACACCTTGTAAAAACAGTGCTCAGCTAAGCAATATCATCTCAAATAAGAGAAAACGTTATTGTATAGACACTATAAAACGTGAACAAAAAATGTCATGCAACCAAACTGGCCACATACGGCCTGCACTTTCATAATTTTAACATGCTAAATGCCCTAGGTGAAGTTGTTATTCAAAAAAATGCAAATCCCCTTTATATTAATCTTCAAATGAATCCAATACTGGTTACTGAAGACATTGTGACAAATATCTGAAAAGCGAACTATCAGGTCACTGACACTACTGTCTCACAAGCAATTGTGTTACTCTCTGTGCATTCCCAGTGAGGTGCCTTAAAGGGATACTCAGAGCACCATAGCCAATTCAGAGTTTTGAAGTGATCATAGTGCAAGGAGTCTGTGTGTAATGCTACATATACTGTGATATTCGATGAAACTGCTGGAGGTGTAAGCACACCTCTGACAGCTGTGATCTGGTAATCCAAGCAAACTTGAATTCTGTGTATAATACAAGCCTGTCGTGATCAAGCATTGCATGCTGGCTATGGAAGTATACAGTGCAGACAGCCTATCCCTCTGTCATGCCTATATGAGAAGCATTTAATTGGAGTACTAAGTAAAAAGTGAGGGGGATAACATGAGTAGGAAGATTGGACTGCTATGAGAATTATGCTTGAAGAGGAGTTCTTAAAAGGACACAAGTCACCAAAATAACTTTAGCTTAATAAATGAGTTTTGGTGTATAGATCATGCCCTTGTAGTCTCAGTGCTCAATTCCATTGCCATTTAGTAGTCAAATCACTTTGTTTATGCAGCCTTAGTTTGTGAGGAGATGCTGATTGGCCAGGGCGACGATTGGATATGCCCCCCGCCGTGCCACCATGGCTGAGATCATCAGAATTGACAGTCTCAGAAAATCCAATGCTTTCCTATGGAAAAGCATTGTGATTGACTCAGATAATCAATTTTGATGATGTTGGCGAGGGAGGGGCGGAGCCAGCATTGGCAGACCCACATGGCGCTGGAATAAGGTGAATTTTACCTATATTTGAAGGGGGGCAGGGGGAATGGTTAAATAGTGTTTTTAACACTATAAGGTCAGGAATACACATTTGAACTCATGTTCCTATAGTGTTCCTTAAAAAAAAAAAAAAGGAAATAAACCAGCAAGGGTTAAAACAATGAAAAACAGTTTTAATAAAAATATAGTTTTCTTTTTGGAGTAACCTTTTAAAAGTAAACATGGGTGCATAGATTAAAAAGTAATTCTTTATAAAAGACAACATAATTCAAAATCCCCATTGAAAAAAAAAAAAGAATATCCTTTTTCTGCAGTTCCTTTTTTAAGACCACCTGCCTTAATATGTCTTCCTGTCAGATTGTGCTACTATTGAAATCTAATTTGTAAATTTTGTAAAAATGAACTACTTGCACAGGGGAAAATGAAAATCTGGTCACTTAAGACCTTGGGCAAGCTTAGAGAGTTCTATAATCTTGTGATCATTAAATTCCATTTTGATGATGTATGATGGGCTTCAGATATTATAGATGGTGGATCATTTTGAAAAATGGCAATATAAAATAAACAGTTTTCACACTAACATTTTTCTAAATGGAATGTCATCTACTGTTTATGTTATCCTGACATCCATTGTGCTATCACTTCTGCTTAGAACATATTCCTAACCCATGAATCCAATTAACTAGGAAAACAGTGTCTTTTTGATTATGAGCCGATTAGTTTAAAATTTGGTTATTAAAATTATCTTAACACTGTGGTCTTCTCCGTAAATTGTAGGCACGAAAATAGAATACTATATAATGTAAAGACAGATAAAGCTAGAAAAACGTATATTAATTATTTTTACATTGGTTTAATTTAAAACTGCTCAAGAGATTAAAAAACAAAACAAAAACATTTTATAATATTACCTTTGGCAGCAGATCCATTTGAATTTTAAAATAATAAAAATTAACTATGAAAAAATAAATCTTTGAGTGGGATGTTACTTTAACATATGATCTATTTTGGTTTAGAGTTTGTGTGTCATCTCACTGATCAAACAGAAAAATGTAATAAAATAATTATAAATAACTTTTTAATGGGGTTGTAATTATAAATGATGCCAAACTGTGTAATTGAAAATGCTGACGGACTTGTAAGTGTGGCTCTTTTACTCAAACTACTAAGGGAGTTCACTAGAAAACAGTGTGAGTGAGCAGTAATTAATATACACACATGTACATAAATATACATATTAAATATTTTCATTATTTTTTAGGTATGGGATAGCATATGTAATGTATGCAGTCAGCTGTTAACCACTATAATAATAATAAATAACGTTCTATGCTTTTTGACATCTTATTGTTAATAAGAACTATTCCTCAGCTGAGCACTGCTATAAACACAAATGGCTTGTGTCAATTATGGTTGTGAGATTTTGGTAATAAAAAAAAAAAAAAAAAGGAGTGGTAACAGGAGATACCAGTTTTTGCTATTTGACAAAATCATTTTAGCTTATTTTGTTAATTTGTTTTAAAAAAGTGTCCCCCGTAAAATAAAAAAATAAAAAAACGTTGGATGGCCATCAATGTGCATAAAAGGGGCTATGAATACTGGAAATTGATCCAATTTATGCCAAAAGGACTGATGCAATTAACTGTTTTCCAATATAGTACTTCTGGCAGCATATAGACAAAGTAATTTAAAATAAACAGAGTTAAACCAATACTGCAGGTTTTAGTTCCCTATAAGCGCCACGTCCATTAAGTCATCATCTTCACCCATTAAAAAACTTGGGCTGGGCCTGGCTGCTCTGTCTGAGGTCAATAAGGAGCCTCCACCCATGGTCAATCCAGGATCAGAAGAGATGGGAGACTTGGACCAACTTTCTGGCTTCATGCTGTAAGAGGACTTCTTCTTTTCTCTCTCCCTTTCTTTATCCTTAAGTCTCTTTTTTTCTTTCTTGTGCTTTTTGTGTTTCTCCGCACTGTACTCCGGCTGAGCCCGGCTTCCCCCGCCGCCTCCATCATCTGAGCTAGGGCTGTTTTGGTAGGACTTCTCTGCAATGGAAGAGGAACCTGACTCACTTTCACTGTCCAATGCCTGTGGGGTATATGCTGGAGACTTATTATGGCTTGGTGAACACCGCTCATGTTTTGGGGTAGAGCCACTTATTAATGGAGACCCATAGTTTTTGGCCATCTGTGTTCTCATTCCCTCCCCTCCCCCTTCTCCAGGCTTTTGTAGGGTTACCTTTGCCTTGATGCTGGGAGATCCTCCATCATGTTTGCTTATAATAATTTTAGCTACCCCAGTGCTACCAGAGCCCTTTGGGTCCCCACCTTTCTTGGAAGGATCAGATGGTCCACCGGAGACGGACACTTTTGATTTATCCTTCTCACTTTTTTCCCGTTTTGCTGGGTACTCACCTCCCACCATTCCATGCTTGGAGGACATGCCATGACCGCTTGCAACTGATGGTGCTCCCCCTCCATCCATAGGATCCTCAGAACCTGAACCTCCTGTTCCCACCCCATGTTTCAGTTTATCAATGACAGCTGTAAGTGAAGGTTTCTTATTTCTGCTCGGAGACTTTCCCTTGGAGCTGCCATGGAGATTCTGAGAAACATTGGAGTTGGAGCCGCCTGAGAAAGAAGATGATGATGATGAAGATGATGAAGAGGAGGAGGAGGAAGAAGAGGATGAAGAATTAGGCTTCTGAGAAAGGGACCCTGAAGATACGAGTCCTGAGGATGACTTCATGTTGGAGTTAGAACCTCCCCCCATATGTGGACCTCCTGAGCCAATTGGAGACTTGGCTTTCGAAGAAGGTGGAGTGCCTGGCATGGGCTTCATGGGGGAGGAAAGTTTTTCAGACCCTCCAGATGGTCTTGAATGGGAGGGAGAAATGTTTGGCTTGCTCAGGGAGGGATTCATTAGCACAGATGGTTTCCCTTGGGGTTTAGTTTTGCTGCCCCCTGAGCTGTTGCTTCCACTGCCTAACCCATGTTTGGTGATGGGGGAAGATCCTTGCTTTCCCATGGACTGAGAACCACTTTTGGCCTGGCTGCCACCAGCTCCACTCTGGCCAGAGTATATGCCACCTCCTGAACCCCCCATTTTCATACCAGAGGACCCATCAGATTTGTTTTTGATTTTACCAGAAGTAGATGATGATGATGAGTGGCCATGATGACTTTTGCTGCTTGAAGAGCTCCCTGATCCACTGCTGGAATACTGGCCGTGGGATGATGGCTTTCCCACACTCATAGTCCCCTTAGGAATCTGAATAGTGATCTTGGGGATAGGAGGAGTAGCCATGCCAGGAGGAGTCTGAGATCTCCCTGAGGTCCCAGGAGATTTTGAACCCCCACTACTGGTTGGAGGGGTAAAAGGACGATTAGCTATATGAGAAGGTGACTTGCCATCTGGCTCTGTTTTCTTGCGCTTAGGTGGTTTGTCTTTACTCTTCCCATCACTAGATGGGGTTCTGCTACGTTTTCCAGATTTTACATCTATACCTGCACCCTGCATCCCACCTAACACCACTCCACCTGCTCCCCCATTGCTGTTCTCCTTCACTCTTTGCTTCTGTGGTCGGTCTTTCCCTAGCTCTCCACCCAAAAGTGGACTCTGGCTCCCACTGTGGGTTTCCATAATATCCACCCCACTTAGTGCTTTGGCCCCACTATTTGCAATAATGCTGAAGTCTACAGTGTCTGTCATTTTGTACTTTCCATCACCCCCATCAACTGGAAGTCCTGCTACTATACCTAAGGCAGCTAATCCTTGCCCTGGAAAGTCCTTGAAATCATGGTCTCCACTCTGGCTGCTGTCTTCATTTAGGTCATCAGTGAAGCCACTCTGACTATTCAGTAAGTCAGGGTTAAAATCCACACTGTTAAAGTAAGGTGAGTCACTGTTGGGGCTCCCATTGGCCTCTGCAATAAGATCAGCTGCATCTGCATATGGATTGTCTCCCCCTCCACCACCATCTACCTGAAACACATCTGTGTCAAAAAGGGTACTTTGAGAGTGTCCAGAGCTAGAGGAGTCCCTTACAGGAGTGCCAAGATTGGGGCAATCCTCTCCAGGCCCTGGCAGTTTGGATGCTTCTTCTGCTATATCTGTGAGGATGTCTGTGACATCAGGGATAATGGCATCAGTGCTGGGAAGCCTCACCATTCTTTGCATGCCAGACTGTGTATGAGAAATTGGCTGCTGATACACAGTTGGTGGTGTACCACACTGACTAGGTGCAGGTGTGATATGGGGCGTGTCCAGTGCGTCACCAGTCATGCTAACATCAAATATAGGGTTCTGGGAATCAACATCCATAGAAAAGAGTTCCCTCTGAAAGTCATCTTCAGTCTGGTTCTTAGTCTTCTCTGTTCCTGTTCTTGGTCGCTTTTTCTTGGGTTTTCCAGTCCCAGAAGGACCCAGCTCTGTACGAGGAGAACCGGAAGAGTTCTGTCTCTCTAAAGGGCTACTTCCATACAGGGAAGAAAAGTCCTGTGGTGGATTATCTTTCAGTAGGTTCATCAGCATGGGATGATTTTTGGTGTTACTTGCTGGAGAGGAGACAGGAGGTGGTGTATGATGAGGAGGCGTGGGGCTGGAGCCCAGAGTCCCACCTCCATTCCCTTTGATTTGGAGAAGGCTTGTGAGAATGGGGTTCTGTGTAACTTTGCTGAAATCTTCTCCATGGCCTGTGGAGTCATGTCGTTCCTTTATACCCATGTTGAAGAGGGCAGTAATGGGCCCGGAAGGGTATGAACTGGTTGGTGTGGTGATGCCACTCAGAGCAGTAGAGCCTGGGGTCATTCCATAACCAGGACTGCTTGCTGGAGGAAGATTATTTTTCACCATGTCTTCCACAGTCTCAGCAATGATGGACAAGGCTGGTGTGTCAGCTTGGATGGTCTCTGCCTTCCTACGGATAGCTCTCATGGTCACGGGAATGGACATACACCTACATAATAGAGTAAGAAAATCACATTAGATTGTAATTAAGAAACCTAACATTGATACATAGAAAACATTTTGTCTGCATTTATAATGAATAACTATGTTTTGTTTTTGTGAAAAAAGAGACAGCTGTAAGTGGTTATAGGGCAAGGAGTTCCTTTTCACCCTCCTAGGGTAAGTAGTTAAGCCATCTGAGAACGATCTAACAACTTACCGGAGATCTACCAGGTGCCTGCTGCCACCTCTTCTACTGCCTGAAATCTCTGCATTGAGTTAAGCCCACTGGTGCAGATGGCAATCGCTGGCGAAAAGTGCTCAACCTACCCTTTCTGGCAACGAGCCAGCCCTAACATTTATTGTCATTTATATAGTGCAAACACATTCCGCAAGGCTTTACGATCATAGAAAGAGGGTAGAGGTGAAGAATAACATGCAAAAACAAGCTTGCAGTTTATAAGGATTTGAGGTAGGTATCCTGACCAGGATTCAAACCTATGTTTTCTTGTTCAAATACAGTGATGATAGGGCTTAGCTCAGTGGAGCTTACAGGAGTTTTCAGCTGTCCAGGAGGTGTGGCAGATGAACAGTGGACACCAGATAAATTGTCAAACTATTCTCATAGTACCATAACCACTACAGCGGGTCATAGTGGTTACAGTATGTGGAGTGTTCCTTTTATAGAAATGGACTGAATTAACCAAGTGATATTACCTTCTTTACAAAATAACACGGTGACTTTGTAAGATCTATGCTAATTAACCATTTCTATATCTTCATGCATATCAACAACAAAGTTATAGTTTATGCTGCATAAGGTCAAGCAAAGTTTGCATAGTTGTATACAATTGGACAGGAACGACAAAAAGATTTACAGTAGTATGAGACACATGGCAGTATATATGCAAGAGCATGGAGCAGAGTCCTAGAACCACATGCCTAGCTGTAATTGAGGAATCAAATTATGCAGAAAAGTAGTGGAAATTGACAAGGTAAGAGGGCGAATGTGACAGATTGTGTTGGTAAAGTTCCACTCTGTGTAATTAGAAGCAAAACTGTCTGTGGGAAAAAAATATGAGGTTGTTGGGCCAATGTGTATCTTAGAGATGGGGTTACGTCTTATTTTAATTCTCCTCAACATTAGTGCCTGATGTCTTTTTTAAGTCCATTGTTATAAACTGTTAGACAATCCAACAAAAGTCATAGTTATTCCTAGCTTAACTGCAAAAAATTACCTTAATTTCGCAATGACTAAAGCATTCCGCAATGTTGGTGCTGTGGTGAGAGTGTTCGCTATTTAGATCACACACACTTATCTCATATAATACAAAAATAATCTAGATAACACATACACATAGGACAAAAGTAAAGACGTCCTAGGGTTAAAAGGTTATAGTGTGCAGTCTCCTAGATGTTGTGAGCTACATCTCCCCTGATGTTTTACAAGAATTATGGCTTTAAGAGCATTATGGGAGATGTAGTCCACAACATCTGGAGTAACAAAGATTTCCTACCCCTGCCCTAAAGCCATCCTTCTGTTGACTGTTAAACAGCTTTAATGGTTTGATGCTAAATGAAAGTCCTCAGCAACCTGTCCCCTCTGTGCTTCTCGTGCTAATGAGTCTGAGCAGCAATAGGCGCATTGGCCTGAGCAGCAATAGGCGCTTGAGATTGGCTGAGAGTGTCAGTTGTCCGCTTTCAGCCTCTCACAGCTGCCAATTGCTGGTATGAATTGGTATGTCTAGAACAGTGGTAGTCAACCTTTTTCTACCTACCGCCCACTAATGCATCTTTCTCGATGGAAAAATTTCCTTTCCTTACAGTGGTGGCTCAGGTGGATGGGAGTCAGAGTTCCCACTCTGATTCACTATGCTTCCTCCCGCGCAGTCTGTGTGTTAGCTGGGAGGAGTGACGTGCAGTCACTTCCTCCCAGCTCTGTATTGTAACCACAAGGGGCCCGGTCGCGCTGTTCAAGCGCCTAGCGCTGACTGGGCCCCCTTACAATCCACATCCCTGACAGCATGGGCCACTTGATGGACTCCTTGGACGACGGCCCCGGCGGTTTACCACGCAGGCCGGGGCCGCAAATGGTGACAACGGTACCTGGTCACAGGGGTACCGCCGGCTCGCGCCCGCCTGGTCTCTCAAAATGAGGAAATCCCTACCGCCCACCTGGAATCTTGAAACGCCCACTAGTGCGCGGTAGGGACCAGGTTGACGACCCATGGTCTAGAAGGAAGTGTGCTACTTCTGCCTTAGACATTTAAGATATGTAACAGGGTTGATGTTCCAGGAGGGATAAGCCAAATGGCAAATGATTTAGGTAAACTAGAAAAATGGTCAGAATTGTGGCAACTGACATTTAATGTGGATAAGTGCAAGATAATGCATCTTGGACGTAAAAACCCAAGGGCAGAGTACAGAATATTTGATAGAGTCCTAACCTCAACATATGAGGAAAGGGATTTAGGGGTGATTATTTCTGATGACTTAAAGGACCACTTTAGGCACCCAGACCACTTCAGCTTAATGAAGTGGTCTGGGTGCCAGGTCCAGCTAGGGTTAACCCATTTTTTCATAAACATAGCAGTTTCAGAGAAACTGCTATGTTTATGAATGGGTTAAGCCTTCCCCTATTTCCTCTAGTGGCTGTCTCATTGACAGCCACTAGAGGCGCTTGCGTGCTTCTCACTGTGATTTTCACAGTGAGAGCACGCCAGCGTCCATAGGAAAGCATTGTAAATGCTTTCCTATGTGACCGGCTGAATGCGCGCGCAGCTCTTGCCGCGCGTGCGCATTCAGCCCAGGAGGAGGAGAAGAGGAGGATCGGAGGAGGAGAGCTCTCCGCCCAGCGCTGGAAAAAGGTAAGTTTTTAACCCTTTGCCCCTTCCAGAGCCGGGCGGGAGGGGGTCCCTGAGGGTGGGGGCACCCTCAGGGCACTATAGTGCCAGGAAAACGAGTATGTTTTCCTGGCACTATAGTGGTCCTTTAAAGGTAGGCAGACAATGTAATAGAGCAGCAGGAAATGCTAGCAGAATGCTTGGTTGTATAGGGAGAGGTATTTGTAGAACAGTAGAAAGCGGGAAGTGCTCCCATTGTACAGAACACTGGTGAGACCTCACTTGGAGTATTGTACACAGTACTGGAGACCGTATCTTCAGAAGGATATTGATACCTTAGAGAGGGTTCAGAGAAGGGCTACTAAACTGGTTCATGGATTGCGGGATAAAACTTACCAGGAAAGGTTAAAGGATCTTAACATGTATAGCTTGGAGGAAAGACGAGACAGGGGGGATATGATAGAAACATTTAAATATATAAAGGGAATCAACACAGTAAAGGAGGAGACTATATTTAAAAGAAGAAAAACTACCACAACAAGAGGACATAGTCTTAAATTAGAGGGACAAAGGTTTAAAAATAATATCAGGAAGTATTACTTTACTGAGAGGGTAGTGGATGCATGGAATAGCCTTCCAGCTGAAGTGGTAGAGGTTAACACAGTAAAGGAGTTTAAGCATGCGTGGGATAGGCATAAGGCTATCCTAGCTATAAGACAAGACTAGGGACTAATGAAAGTATTTAGAAAATTGGGCAGACTAGATGGGCCAAATGGTTCTTATCTGCCGTCACATTCTATGTTTCTATCAAGTGGGGGCCGCCGGGCTGTGGGTGGCCAGAGACTTTCATTCAGTGTCAATCTACTTGAAAATGGTTTAACACTTAATGGAAGGGCAGTGTCAGGGAACTCCAAGCAGCATAACCATTCCCTCTCACTGAAGTGGTTATAATATCTAGAATGTTTCTTTAAAATGAGGTGTGATTTGAAATTTCGATCTAGATACAAATAATACAATTTGTTTGTGTGCCAGAAAAATTTAGCAGAAGAAAGGACTGTACCTTGTGGTTCCGATTTAACTTTTTGTGTAGTAAGGTCTCCACAAGATGTTTAGAGGATAAATAATATATCCTCCAGCCATATAATTCTAATTGTTCTTAATAAAGGATCATTAATAAGAATTATATTAAATAAATAACTTCAAAACATCCTGAAGCTGCACAGATGACTGCAGCTTCAGGCTTGTCTGATCTTGTAACCGTAGACAGACAGACAGAGCCTTCCAAGTTGTATGTGCGGCAATATTGTCTCAGATGAAATCAGCCCTCATCTCCAGCTTATGTAGGTTTTTAATGAACAAATAAATATACAGCAATTTATTTAGCTTGGAGGGTGATGCTGTGTGCATTGGTGTTTCCTGCGAGATATATATTATTATATTATATTATTTTTTATATGTGGACTGCCTGTATTTAAAAGGAACACTATGCGGTCCGGGACACAACCATGTATTCCTGACCCTATAGTGCTAAATCCACCATTAAACATACTCGTTTTCCTGGCACTATAGTGCCCTGAGGGTGTCCCCACCCTCAGGGTCCCCCTCCCGCCCAGCTCTGGGGAGAGGAAAGGGGTTAAAAGTTACTTTTCTCCAGTGCCAGGCAGGGAGCTCTCCGCCTCCGATCCTCCTCTCCTCCCTCCTTTCGGCTGAATGCGCACGCGCGGCAAGAGCTGCGCGCGCATTCAGCCGGTCTCATAGCAAAGCATTTACAATGCTTTCCTACGGACGCTTGCTTGTTCTCACTGTGATTTTCACAGTGAGAATCACGCAAGCGCCTCTAGCGGCTGTCAATGAGGTAGCCACTAGAGGATTTGAGGGCTGGATTAACCCATTTATTGTGTTAAGCATTGTATTGGCTAAAATCAGCAAGGGGCGGGGAAAGCATTGTATTGGCTAAAATCAGCAAGCATTGTATTAGCTAAAATCAGCAAGGGGCGGGGCCAAACACTGTTTTGGCCAATCAGCAGCTTCTCATAGAGATGCATTGAATCAATGCATCTCTATGAGGAAAATTCAGTGTCCCCATGCAGAGTGTGGGGACGCTGAACGGCAGCGCTGCCTACTGAGCAGCACTGAGCCGGAAAGCACCTCCAGTGGCAATCTGAGGAGTGGCCACTTGGAGGTGTCCCTAGGGGCAATGTAAACACTGCCTTTTCTCTGAAAACGCAGTGTTTGCATGAAAATGCCTGAAGGCAATGATTATACTCACCAGAACCACTACATTATGCTATAGTTGTTCTGGTGACTAAAGTGTCCCTTTAAACTGCAGACTCCATTACCGAGCGTCATCCTGCTTTTGTTTCTGGCAAGATTGACAAATTAAAGAAGGAATTAAAAACTCATCCTTCGCAATGATCAAGCCAAGGGCAGGCTTACTGCTGCATAGATTTGTACAAATCACTTCAGCTGTAAGGCCCTTTCAGAAGGGAGGTTGACTGCCAAGTTGGTATGGTACTTAGATTGACCTTCAAATCTACTGCTCTCTAAAATCAAGGTGGCAAAGGATACAACTCGTCTAGACTCCAAACCTGACTTTTATTGCAGGCAAAAGTACACAGTGTTGGAAAGCAGTATAACACAAAGCAAGACGGATCAGAGTTCAAATCATTAATAACTGCAATTTTGCAACACCTTGAGTGATTGACAGGAGCCTTCCAAGCTAGTAGAAGTACGACTGGAAATGGGACACAATAAAAGTAGCACACAAAGTATAGGTGATATGGAACAGACTGTTCTGTAACTACTTGCTGATTAATAAAGAAACAGCACGCAAGGCCCTTTGCGATATGTCGCAAGCAGTGTATAAACAAACACATGGACTTGATAAAGAGTAGCAATAGGTTTTGTTTCTTTCCAGGTGCTACATGTCAAGTGTAAGTGTGACTCAGCAGCTGTGTTAATAGTGTATTGATTCTGTACAGCGTGATCCCTAAACTCTCACTATTAGTTATTCCTTAAACCAGTGCCGTTGTAACGATGTCTGGCTACCAAGGAAAAGATGCATTTTGTAGTGTGTATCTCATTTTCTCCACAATAGAAATCACAGTAATGAGCATAGTACTGTAGCATGGAGCTTCACAGCTATAAAACAGAGTTATGTGCATTTAGTATGACAGCATCACAGAGCTCCACTAGAATAAACCTCACCATAATGTCCTGCAATGTAATGTATGGTGGCTGTTTTTGGGCTATCTTTCCTGGTAGTCTAGTGGCGGAGCGTATAGTCCACATCTCTGCTTGGTACAGATGATATTAATTGCTCCTTGTGGTCTGGCAATTCGTGAATGCACTCTGACCCCCTCACAGAGAGCTGGAATTGCTAGAGAGCACTTAAAATGGTCTGCACCAACAAGAAGTACAGACCAATGCGCTCCACCACCAGATTGGCAGAGTCAAAAATAAATAAATAAAATAAATAAAAATGACCTTGCAATGTGAATTTTGATTGCTATAGTAATTTGAATCCTAACTGGGCTGTTAAAGTGTCATACCCAGATCTGACCTCTAAGCCTGTATTTTTTTAAAGATATTCTGTATGCATTCATAAAATAAAAAAAAATTAGATTTCTAAGATAGCTAATGATAAAGGGAAGTTCAAAGCACCAAACAACTTTAGCTTAGTGTATCAGTTTTAGTGTACGATTCATGCCCCTGCAGTCTCACTGTTCAATTCTTTGCCATTTAAGAGTTAAAGCAGTTTTGTTTATGTTTTTGCAGTTAAATTCTGTGTGAATTGAGGAAGCAACACTAGAGGCGGTCTTAACCTTGCAATTTAAATATTGCAGTGAAGAAAAACTGCAATGTTTTCACTTGCAGGGTTAAGGGGACAGGGGCACTTCACCCAGACCACTTTAATGAGATAATGTGGTCTGGGTGCCTATAGTGTTCCTTTAAACATTAGATTTCTCTTTACAAGAAGTGTGTAGGAAGGTTGTGTATGTAGGTCATGTGCATGGAAATGTTTGACTAGAGCTGCATAAACGTGATTTACTTCCTAAATTGCAGAGATTTGAGCATTTAAACTACAGGGGTATGATCTATACACCAAAACACCTATATTAAGCTAAAGTTATTTTGGTGACTATTGCGTCCATTTAATTATGTGCATATATTTTGCAGAGATTTTCATTCATTGGCTGAAAGCACTCAGCTGATAAATGACAGGATCAGCATCATGCTTCTGCAGCTCAGAGTAATCCATTAGCATTTATGTTAAATCAGGCTTTCCATCAATCTTTCATAGGTCTAGTTTCACCGCATTCTAAAAGATATCAGATCCACTCCTAAATATAGCTGGCTCATTACTGCCGACCATCGTATGAATCTCTACCAACCACTGCACAAGCAAAATACCTCTCAGAACATAGTTACGTACCTCTGGACAACTTTGGTGATGAAGTCGTCTGTACAGATGAGAGCGTCAGATAAACCCATGTACAGCTTACAATTCATATGGGTTGAGTCTTGCACGTCCATCACCACTGTAAGAGAAGAGAGAGGCAGACACCAGATAAATATAAAATACAAATAGAAAATGTGAATGTCATGTTTAGTTAATAGGAGCTTGCATAGATTGTATGGAGCATGGGCTAAGCACCTGAACCGCTACAGCTTAATGTAGTGGTTCAGGTGCAAATAGATTGTGCCTGCAATGCTGAGAAATGGGCATAGAAAGCAATGTAAATACTGCCATCTCTATTGGCTTCCACTCAGACAGCCACTACAGGTTCTTTCTGGTGGGGTCATGCAATCTCTGGACCTACATTTAGTGTCTTTGCGTAGTGCGTGAAGGTTCAAAACGTTGGGAGTGGATTGCCGCAGTATAAAAACTACTGCGCATAGGCACTGGAGGGAGGTGGGGGGAATCAATATAAACTATATACACTCACAACAGGAAAGCATGTTTGTATATTCCTAATCTATGTTCCCTTTAATTGTCAGGGAGAAAAAGTTCCAGTGGGAAGAAATGGGCATTTTGGCACAGCTCTAGTCTTGTCAAATGCTTTAAATAGCCTGCTAGAAAACCTGCAGCAGAAACCTAAGTCTCAAGATATTTTTTATTTTGTTACTCCTTGATATCTGTAAGCAAACTGAATAGAGAATCAGCCATACAATACTATAGACTTACATTTTATTAAAGAGTAACATTCACAGCGCACAATATAGGGCAGTGCCAAAAAAAACACATTTATAAACCGGTTGAGCCATTCATGCTTATGATGGAGGATTTATTAGGCTTTATAAATCCCTTTCTTTATCAGTCCTTCAGTCACTGCAGAAACATTGGAACTTCTCAAGAGCCACCCTTAGAAAAGCAGTAGAATTGGGGATTATGATGATCTCTAAACCAACAAAACAACATAGCACTGGCTGGTATAACCCAAAATATTCTCTCACAAGTCTAAGGCATAAATCAAACATTGCAATAAACACTATTTATATTACCAAGCTTAGTGGGAGGTGATTTAAGCTTCAATAGAAAGAGAGCTTAAGTTAGATAGCCCATTGGGTACACTCATTTGAAGAATTATAAACCATTGATGTTTTGCACGCTGTAAAGCAAAAGCAGAGAATCTCCCTTTTAGCCATTAAAGGAACACTTTAGGGTCAGGAACACAAACATGTATTTCTGACCCTATAGTGTTAAAACCACCCTTCATCTCCCCTTGGTCCCTATTACCCCCCTAAATATAGTAACATCTTACTAGTATTCAAGTTTGCAGCTGCTGCCTCTGATCTACCTGCTTGGCTGACATCAGAAGTGATTCTGTGAGTCAAGCACAATGTTTTACCATAGGATTGGAAGAGACTGTCAAGAAGGCAGATCAGGGGCAGAACGTGCACAAGCCAAATACAACCCTGGCCAATCAGCATCTCCTCATAGAGATGCACTGAATTATTGCATCTCTATGAGGAAAGTTCAGTGTCTCCATGCAGAGGGTGGAGACACTTAATGGAACTACTGCACACTGTGCAGCACTGCCCCAGGAAGCATCTGTTGCAGCCATCCAATGCTGCTTGGGGTCCGGTGGCCAGAACCATTTGAGGGAACCGCCATCCTCTTCTGGCGGGTCCTCTTCTGAATCAGGAGCCGGAGTCAATGCTGTACTCTCCCGCATGCATGAGAGTACAGCATTGAGGTCTATGGAGGATCCCGCGAGATCTCAGGATCTTCCATAGATCGAGCCAATTTCCTGCAGCGATCACAGGTGACAACCAGGGAATTGACATCTCGACAGTGGTAGTTCTGCCCAGTGTCAAAAAGTGTCAAGCACAGGAAAAATACAGAGAGAAACAAAAATACGGAGTATCGGTATATCTTTTGACTCGGTTGTAATTTCAGTGCCACTTTACCAAATGTGCATTTGAGAGGTGTAAAAAATAAAGTTAAATGTCGACATCTCTATATCCTGCAGCATCCTGTCAATCTTCATTAAAAGTTCTGCACTTTACACCTGGTTTGTATTTTTATGTTCAATGTGCAGTGTTTGCCCTGGCTTTGCCTTATGTGAACTAGATTATGTTGGCATATGTTAAATCCTTTCAAACCAATTTATAACGAAATGGATCATCTCGTGAATAAAAAGCTTAAAATAAGTTCTAGGTGATTTTCAATGTTTAGTTCAGTGGTTTCATTTCCAGGGAAGCTACAGTTCCCCTACAATAACCCTGTGAAAACAGGGAATTCCCTGCTCATTTACCATGACTGTTTATTATGCACCGTGCAGCAACTACAAGACCTGCACAGTAATCTTACTAATAATACGATGTCTTCATAGTGATACCATGTTAGAAAAAACATTACGGCAAAGGACTGTGACCCAGCTACTCGCTAAAACCTATTAAACACGGAGCGGTTTGCACGGTGTCGCAGAACCAAGATTCTCAACATACCCACTGGACAGACAGAGTTCTCGGATCAATACAGATATGCAATTTAACTTCAGTAAGAGGGATATCCAGATTCAAACTCGATAAGGACAGCATTTCAGTAAATAGCAGCACGTATATTATCAGAAAATGTCCTATCTAAACATTGGCTTGCTGTTCCTTACGCTCCTAACATTTCATTATAACCCTCCTTTTCAATATTATTGAATTCCCTGAAGCTCCAGGCAAGTTCTTTCCATCTATTGACTGGTGAGGGATTGGCGCCCACATTAAAAGCCATACAAAGTGGCCCAATTCACATTCTAAACAACGTAAAGTAAACCAAGGCAGTGAAAAAAGGAGATTTAACATTAATGGAAAGGTGTGATTCAACAACCTAAAGTATCAAATCAACATGTCCCTCCAGGAGGAAAATCAATACAATACTGCTCATTTTCATGTGGATATGCTCTTATACCAGGGGTCGGCAACCTATGGCAAGCGAGGCTGCTGGACCCAAATGAGCACATTGTGAAGATCAGAGGACAACCCAGCTGACCCAGAGCCTGTGGCCTGACCTACGGCGGACGCAGACACCACAAATAACCCTCCCCTACGGTCCAACGCTTCTTGGAGAGGTGCATTATCATAGCAATGGTCTGTCTCATCTAGAACACAGCATACATGCATACATAACACAGGAGGTGGCTCATAATCACACACACCATCACCATATGCAATCACAAAACAGCTATCCCACACAGTTCACATACACACACATAAAACCTCACAGCGCAGCCTCCAAACCCATACATAATGCATGTCAAACTCTCCAACATACATTAAAGAGCCGGCATCTTAAGGGACTTCAAAACACTACTTCGACACAGTGCTACCAATAGAGTGCCACTCTTCTCCTTAAAAAAAGGAAGGGAGTGTCTTCAAAGCACCATAATGGAGAAACACCAAGCTTTCTTATAGGGGTGGTAGACCATCAGTGGCTACTCAGGCATCAGCGGCATGAGCACCGTGATCACCACTCTCCATTTGTACAGGTAAAACAAAACCAATGAACCAGAAATAAATTTAAAAAAAATCAACACTTTTGTAAAAATGTAAATGTTATACCATAATATTTACAACATGCATTAAGCTATATTGTTTATTTATTTTAAAAAACAGACAGGTGTGTGTAAAAAGCATTTCTGGGACAAAGGACTAAAAGTGGAGTAATCGCCATGGAAACTAATGGTATGTTACTGCTGTTTGTTTCACTCCTAGAACCCCAGAACCGCACTTAATACTAGGGATCGACCGATTATCGGTCTGGCCAATATTCTGAATTTTCAGCAATATCGGCATCGGCCTATATAGATACCGATATTGCCAATAATGCAAACAGGGCGATGGAGGCGGAACTTAGCATGGGGCTTGGTGTGCAGCAGTGCTAAATGTGGCCTGAACAGGTAAGTGTGGGGTAAGCTAGAAGGAGTCCATACTCCCCATCTATCTACCCGATCTACCATAGTGCCCCTGCTCGCCAGCGCTCCTGCTCCCCATACACTTCATTATAGTTTTAAAAAAATCAGTTATTTAGACCCATAATCAGCAATTTCCTGATCAATTCTCCACAGCCCCAAGTTTAGTGAATAAAAACTGGTGCGTTTGCAATTTTATTACCAGTACACCGATACAATACTGCAAAACTATGAAAGAATTACTTACCACACACAAGGGAATCATTAACTGGATGCTGGAAGGAGATACTGACACTGGAGTCAGAAAGGGGAGACACTTCAAAGTGCAGGAGCCCAGGGCAGTCTAGGGGAGAAACAAGAGTTTATTGCTCACATAAATCTTTCACGCAATGCTGACTTTATGCATCAGTGAAAGTGCTAACTGCGCCTGGCGAGCGTTTCAGTGCTCTTTATTATTCTATTATTATTTATATAGCGCCAGCAAATTCCATAGCGCTGTACAATGGGGGGCCCTTAATGGCACCTTTTTTAGAGGATACCCTGATGTAATATTATAGACAGTAACAGAGACCTTTTGGTTACACATTATTGGATATACTTTGTTTCCTTTTGCATTATGATTTGCTCCTGATGAAACTTCCAACTAAAAACATTCTATTTCCTTTGAAAGCCCTGTGAGATCACTTTCATTTTGTCATAAAAATATAGTTGTTTTCCCGCTATTGTTGAGTTGCTTCTATTAACTGGAATGTAAACAACTGCATATGTACCAAGCCACACAAGCATCCCCCACTGATTTCTACAGTGCTTTCACTGCCCACTTCCGTAGTAAGTACAGGACTGGCTAACTGACAAGGATATCAAAGGAGAATCCGTGTCGGGGGCAAAGTGTAACCAAGGTGAATTTTTATCAAGCTAGCAGTTTTCAGTTATTCATTTAGGCAGATTTTAATGCATGATTTATAAAAGAGCTGTTAATATACAATATACTCATGCAAATCTGTAAAACACATTGGAGTAGAATTATCAAAAGGTATTTAGTTCTAAAATGTGGTGCAAAAATGTAAGGGGATTCACCAATGGAATGTGCCTGCTGGTTCCACTGGTGACTGCCCCACTTTTTCGAACACTCTAAATAACTCTCCCCAATTTATTGCCATACCTCATTATTTAAGTATCATCCACAGACAAAAAAAGTTCACAGCCTGGTTATATGCCCCAGTGACAACGTTGCAACGTAGAACCATGTATGTGAGCTGGCTAGCAGAGCTGGCCAAGAAATGACACCACCATCAAACATTTCAATGGTCAATTTCATAACAGTTACAGTTCCCTTAAAGCATTTTCAAATTGGATCTAATATTTATACAGGAAGGAGTCATAACATTTACCCACTTGTGCAATAGATTAAAAAATCCATGTGACAAATACAGAGTAAAGGAACACGCCAATCACTATAACCACTGTAGCGTACTGTAGCGCTTATGGTCACAAGAGGGCCCTGGCCCCCTACCCACTGGAAGTCGTCACATCATTTTAGAATGTTTTGACTTCTAACTTGCATTCCACTGAACAAAGCTTCCTGTCTCCAGCAGTGAGGGCTTACTTCACTGGCTCAAAAAGATCAACTGATCCTCCCAGCCAACGAGCTAGCCCTGCATTGTAGGACAGGAGCTAACAGAAGCTGTCTTAAGTAGTAGAGGCAGGGAAAGGTACCCCGTGGGCCCAAGGTAACAAGTCAAACCATTGTAAAGAGTTAGACTATACACAACGAGAGGGCATAAGGCCTTTGGCACCAAAACAACCACAGACCTCTTAAGTGGTTATGGTGCTTGGAGTGTTCTTTTAACTGTGCAAATAGAGGACACTACAAACATATTTATACTGAGGAGTTACCTACCATCCCTTAGTACTGTACGTTTAACACAGCTTCCGATCAAGGTATTGCAGGCTACCTGGTGACGGATTAAATTAAGAATTACGGGAACATGGCCTGGGTGCTGGAATGGAATTTTACTCAGAAGTGTTCCCTGCAGGATCCTTTTGTCACACAGGGGGGCATCTTTATTTAGGAAGTAGCAATGCTGCTGACCTGGGAGAGACTAGAGGAAATAAAAATAAATAAATAGGAGTAGTTTATAAAGTACAAAAAAGCAGTGATATCTCCATTTAAAAATGAATAAATTTTTACATATGGAAATCAGGCGTTAAAATGGATAACCATTCAAACAGAGAACATAGCAACTTTACTTTAGCAGACAAATAAATAGAAGAATTGGAGAAGATCACCTCTCCCTAAACATCTATGTTTGTAGTGGTAGCAAACCCATATTTGTATCCCCACAAGCCATTTTAGATGAGGTGCAAATAAGTGTTTACAGTCAGGAGTATATGAGAAAAGGTTATTATACTAACAGACCCCAAGCTATCAGTAGGGGCTGGTAGGTTAACACTATGTTACTCACCCGCCTTTATTAAAGGACCACTATAGGCACCCAGACCACTTCAGCTTAATTTAGTGGTCTGGGTGCCAGGTCCAGCTATGGTTAAAGCTTTTTTTTTCTATAAACAGTTTCAGAGAAACTGCTATGTTTATATTAGGATTAATCCAGCCTCTAGTGGCTGTCTCATTGACAGCCGCTAGAGGCGCTTGCGTGCTTCTCACTGTGATTTTCACAGTGAGAAGACGCCAGCGTCCATAGGAAAGCATTGTGAGTGCTTTCCTATGAGACTGGCTGAACGCGCGCGGCTCTTGCCGCGGATGCGCATTCAGCCGAGGAGGAGAGCTCCCTGCCCGGCGCTGGAGAAAGAGGTAAGTTTAACCCCTTCCTCACCCTAGAGCCCAGCGGGAGGAGGACCCTGAGGGTGGGGGCACCCTCAGGGCACTATAGTGCCAGGAAAAAAAAAAAGAGTATGTTTTCCTGGCACTATAGTGGTCCTTTAAGTATCCCCAATCCAGCAGTGGGCACAATATTTTATTTAAAACCCCACCAGATCTCCCTGTTATTTTGCAGGGACCATCCCAATGTGGTCAGCCACCAAATGATTAACCCTCGCAGTACCACGGTTTTATTGTTAGTGCTGCCAGTTGGCAAATTGTAGTTCAAATTATCATTCGCTTGCAAAAACTATTCAGTAGCTTTTATATATTCTGAATCCTTCACTTGTTATGGGGTTTGGATTCAAAGAGCAGAGATTTTAAACTTCTCCCACTGAATGATACCAATTTTTCAGTCAGGCTTAATTGGTGTTGGTAAATAGGAGAGCTGCCCTTACAGTCAGATTTCAGACATTTCAGAAGTTTTGTCTAACACTGAAATTACCAAAAAGTGCAAAAGACAACTTCCACTTCAGAAACATTAAAATGTGATCTAGATGTTTCAGTATATCAAAAAACATACAGATTCTATATTAATGGTCAGGTGTATAGGTCTCCGTGCTGCTAAGTCTCCCCAGCAGAAAGTACAGATGACTGTGAAGGCTAAAGTCAGAACCAGATAATGCACAACACAACACGAAACACACTTTTGAGTAACTAAGACAGCAGGTCAAAGACGGTTAGCTAGCGTGGCTTTAAATAACCATTAAATAAGTCCATTCTGTGCGACTAATGTTGCTATGATGAAACAAACCAGCATGGCATCAAAAAAAGAATGCAAGGATCAGGAAACATGTACGGAGGACCAGTTTGAGTGGTCCTTATCACAAAATTATGCAAAAATGACACAGTTCAATACTGGTCCGTTGGTGCCACCATGGTGCTGGAGTCGTGACAATAACATTATGGAGGATATTTATCAAAGTGGTGTCAACACAGCACTGACTTTTCTGTCACAAGTGTCATATTTTCTGATCTGTAGATTTTGCACCGTATCCATCGTTTTGGAAGATGTGCAGTTTTTCCGCTAAAGCAATGGAATTATGACTTTTTCAAGCCACTTTTTCTGACAGAAAAGTGATGGTATTTTTCTGTCACAAAACATTTGGCGGTCTTCGAAAACTGGCAGAATGGACTATGATTAACATCCACTTCTTAGTGCACTATTATAAATATCCCCCTCTAATGAAAGATGATGAATTTACCACTGAGCGAACAAACAACAACTGAACAACTTGCAGTTACTTGCTGAGAGCACACACCTTCCTGCTGTTAGATCAGCACAATTAATATAGTAATTCGCCATTGAAGACAAAATATCTGTGCGTAACTATATAAATATACTGCCATATCGATAATCGGATACAAATATCAAGCAGACATTTCTTAGCACATCCTCCATTTCACTTTGCCACGTTTTCAATTCAACAATATAAAAGCAATCTCCACAGGGTCATGCCTCCTAAGACTATATCAATGCAAGCACTTTAATAATTGGAAGTCTTAAAATGTTTAATAGCATATTACAACACAGACTGGTTCTTCTATATAAAATAGATCTATTAAATAATAATAAGTTGATCAATATTAAACAAAAGTAAAAGGAGATATAAAACCACAAATATTTCTATGGCAGTTGAGAACATTAACGTTTTACCCAAAATGGGGACGACGATGACTAGAGACATTTTTATAGCCTTCTAAGAGCTTGCAGTCACTGCAGACCCGCCATGGTGCACATAGCACTTCAACTAGGCAAGTCACAGCACTATGTGCTTGGCAGCTGGTAGCTACAGAAAGCTATTTAAAAAAAAAAAAAAAAAAATATATATATATATATATATATATATATATATATATATAGATATATATAGATATATATCTAATCAACTATAAGCTGCAGAACTATACATCACTCATCCTACGTTGTGCAATTTGGACACTGTGTAAGCACAAAGGAATAGAGTTCTGCAAAAGATAATTCCAGTAAGATGAGCAAACATCATTTTTTGCCCTTAAAAGATACTGGTGGCTAAATAACTGTGGTTAGACAGAGCCCCCAATGTCGTTTAGCTAGAGCAGGATGTCAAGATGAAAGATGCCATCTCGATCTCACTCATGTATGACGATTGCACAGTTAATAACATGCAATAACTAACTTTCCAAACACGCAATTCAACCATGCAAAATCAGTTTAATTTATCCAACCCCCTACAGAGCATTTGCTGGAGGAGCAGCAGTGATAATAGGGCAGAGAATACTCTATAATCCACATCCAAGTAGTTTTTTTTTTAAATTATTATTATTATTATTATTTATAACGCGCCAGCAAATTCCGTGGCGCTGTACAATGAACGGACTAACAGACACGTAGTTGTAACCAGACACGTTGGCACACAGGAATAGACGGATTGAGAGCCCTGCTCAGTGAGCTTACATGCTAGATCTTTCTCCGTGGAAATCAGGGAGAAAACCTTACAGCATACGGTTGCTGCAGTAAAGCACTCTACAAGTCTTTGGCAATTAATGGAGAGAGGGTTACTGCTAAGTCTCCCATACAAAAACCTTAGTCCTGGTCATGAACGTTACAGTTTTTCAACACTTATGGCATGTTTGCCAACCATAAAGGTAAAAAAAAGTCTACTGTGCGATATTTATAATGAATCACAAGCCAGATGTTAGGAAAGGGAAGGGCAGCCTTTACAATCTATTATAGCACAGAAGTCTGGTTTTGCACATTTTTTCCTGATGTCAATCACTCTTCAGTTGTGAGACCTCAAGTCACAATGGTATTTCGCCACAATGCCGAATTATCTTTGATTATGAGGTTTATTCACATCAACAGGAACTGTTGAGATTTTTAAAATGTAGACCAAAGTAGCAAGTTTGGAGAATGAGTAGAAAAAAAAATGAAAAACAAAACTGCATTAATGTCTACATTAACTTTGAATTAATTACTTGCTCAGTTCCCAACAATAGCCTCTTTGAATAAGTACCATCTAGCATGAGTAACGCGTGGTCTTGTTAGATGGCAGTGTTGCTCCCGTGATATATACATTTAAGATGGTAAACTGCTATGTCAGACTTGAAATAAAAATTTAAAAAAAACAAAACACTTAGAATAAGTGATTATAAAGTGACAGGAGCATATAAAATATATGGATGATGCTTAAAAAGAAAAGAAAAAGTGTTTGTCTTGCGGAACACTACAGGGATTCCTCACTGGAACTTAAAGGGACACTATAAGCACCCAGATCACTTCAGCTCATTGAAGTGGTCTGGGTGCAGTGTCCCATCACCCTTACCATGTCATTATTGCAATTTTTAATAAACTGCAATAATTACCTGCTGGGGTAACTCCTCCTCTAGTGGCTGTCTATCAGCCACTAGAGAGACTTCTGGGTCATTAGGCGACTTTTGGTCGCCTACATGACACTGGATGTCCTCACGTTATGCATGAGGATGCCCAGCGTCACTGGAATCCCCGTAGGAAAGCATTGAATAGGAAATGCTGTCCTATAATGAAATCCTAATGCGAGTGTGGCCATTGCCGCACATGTGCATTAGGGAGGATTGAAGGCGGACCCGAGCCAGCGCCGATATCAGCACTGGACCCAGGTAAGTGACAGAAGGGTTGTTTAACAAAGCGCAGGGGCAGAAAGCGTTTGTACATGACAAGATTACAGGAAAACCTCCAATTTCCGAGGTCACACCTATAACCCAGGTAAAGTAGGATTTTATCTTGGTCTTAGAAGAATGCTTATAATTACCTGACATTTGACAATGACTGAGACTACCAGTTACGAGGTATATTTTGTTTAACACAGGCTTTATTTGAAAAAAACAAAAAAAAACAAAAGCAATCGATTTTGTATTGGCCATCCACAGCACTGATTTCTATAGACTAATGTTGAGATTTTTTTTTTTTTTTTTTTTCCAGCAGTGCCGACGGCAATGTGCAGCCTAACTCAAAAGAACATGGCTAGTCGCTAAAATGAGAATTGTCATTAATTTGAGGCCAAAATAGTAGAATTGGAATCATAGCGGAATTTTTCAAGTTTGGCTATTTTGCCCTTGAATTTGTAATTCACTCTGAATTCCCAACAATTCTCACTTCTGTAAATACCCCTGAAAGTGTTGCTACAGGCAAGCCATGTATAGCACTTTGCTACTCCAACTGATTTCCCCATCTCCTCTCTATTTTAAAATCACTGAGTAAACCAAAAAAAGCTGGGACACGAGAGCCCAGTGAAATCAGTAGAACTCTTTCTAAAAATAATCACTTCATGATGTTAGTGTGCAGGCTCACTGTCAGTGTGTGCATCCCTGATTCCCCAAACCCTCCACAACAGCAGAAAAATAAGAATCCTAACAACCAAAATTGATCCTTTTTACCTTAATTTTGACCAGTATTTAAAGTGCTGTCATCATCTTTAAAAATGATCTACAAATTGAGGACTGGTTTAAATAGTGCTGATAGCAGAGTCTTCTTAAAGGACGACCCAAAGCACCAAGACCACTTCAGGGATTTGAAGAGTACAAGGTGCTTTGAGTGTGTATGTGAAGCTTATCAGTGGAATAGCTGACATCAGGGTCAGTTCACCAGCATCATTAATGTCAGTTCTGGGCATATTTTTGCACACAGGGTCATCCATTGGTTGAGAGCGCTCAGCTGATGCTCTCCGCGTCTGCATGACATTCAGGATCAGCATTCAGCTCTGCAGAAGCCAGATGTGTGTCACCAGGCATGCTAGGAGGTGCAATGCTCAGCGGGACCTTGGTAAGAGGAAAGTATTGTTGCATTACCAGGAAATGGGGCCAGGGAATTCCTAGCATCATAACCACTACAGTGATGTATGATGCTTTGAGCAATCCTTCTTGGAAGGATATAACTGGTGTGGATAGGGCACACAGACAGACATGTAATATATCTAGCTAGCTGGCTCAGTACACTGAACAAGAGAGTTTTAAGGGGCAGGCTTAAAAAGCAGAATTCAGTAGAACATGCAGTGGTTTTGTTGCAAATTATAAATAAAAAAACAAACAACATTTTGAGGCCCAAAGCTGTAAAATGCAAACAAGCTGTTCTGTTGCCAAAATGCCCCCCTCCTTCCCCCGCATGTTGATGGCATACAACTCCCGATTACTTTGAATACAAAATGGAGGATACATACTGCATAGAAACGCATGTTGTGGTTGAAAGGTTCGGGCTCCTTTTCTTTAGAAAATTCAAACTGTGTGAGCAGCTCATAGTGAGGTAGGTAGTTGGGTGGACTTTCAAACAGCTGGATTCCTGACAAGAACAAGAGGTAGACTGTCATTTCCTGGAATAACGTGCACAAATAGTTCTTACTTAAATAAGAAAGAGTTTGAGGGATAATAAACACTCCTGCAGGTTTGGTAAGCAGATATTTCTCAGAAGAAAAACTCTGTCGCTTCTGGACTGGTGCTTATACCAGTTAACATAAAGGCTTGATTTGTGTAAACAGACTCACCTGTGCAATTCTGGATTTTCTGAATAAAGGCCCTGGATACAGGGATCGGCTGTGGAAACTTGAGGAAGAAGCAAGCAGGGAAGTCCACTGTGTTGGCATTTGTAATTGCGGAGAAAGAAGGAGTACTGTAGATGTAGAAGAATTATTTTTTTCTCGTTATATTAACCTCAGATTCACATAGATGTGCATTCATTTCCTCTCGATCTCAAGGTTGATTAAAATGTTTACTTTGTAGCTTTTGTAAACTCACGTCACAAAATACTCTCTAAATACTCTTAAGAGTTACAAACGGGTTCAGCCCCTGACTCTATTAAACGTCCATGCTTGCTTAATTATAAATTAATGTCAGTTCTCTTACCCGTTGCTGTCAATTGGGTGGGAGCCCATAATCAGAGGAGCAATAGGGAGCTTGTACGTAGCAGAAGTGGCCTCAATTGTGACAGATACATTCATACCAAGAGAACGAGGAACTGATAAAATAAAGAAAGTACATAAAACATTAGACTGTGGTAAAAGCTTAAAACTATGCATCATATACGTTCAGTTTCTACACATAAGTGGTGTAAATAAGCGCCTGCATCATGGGGTCAGAGAATTCTGGTATGGTCTCTTCTGCAGAAGGCGGCACTCACTTCATCTCCAGTACTCTCCTTTTGTCTTCCAAGATAGGCATTGTAAAGAAAGGGTATAGTGAACATGACTTACTGGTGTTGGAGATATACATCAGCTGACAACTCCTTATACTGCTGTCTTTCATGAAGGGACAGAGCCAATGCCCTATGGACTCAGTATAATATGTATACCCTGTACCACATCGATCATTCTTCCTGGTGCCACTTTGCATTTTTGGCCCAGCTTGTGAACTTCTAACTCTCTGAATTACATAAATCATAAAGTGGTTTAAAAGCAACTTGGTGTCTTGGCTCACCATGTCCTTCACTCAGTGCTATGGATGATCCTGTGATTTCATCTAACAAATCATAGGGTGAGATATAGTACTTCAAATTCATGACATGACCTTTAAAACAGTAGAGAAATAGGTTAGTGTCATGATGTTATGCATAATTTTACATGTTGGTAACCCTAACTACCTGTTCAATCCAAGTGCTGAGATATTACCTCCACTTCTTGGGGTCAAGTACCCAACTGTGCCCTGCAGAATTTTGTCCAGCACGCTTGCATTTGTGGCCTGCCTATAAAAGACAAGTTTAGGATAACTATTATCTTTTTCAAACTGTTCGCGGTCTCCTGTGCTTACTTCCATTGATTATCACTGCTGTAGCAGATGTTACTGAAATTCACTGGATATCCTAATAAAAGCTCAAAGATGAACTGTATCTGCATCTACTAACCAGTACATGGCAGCCATCTTTGTGAGGTCCAATTCCAATGACTGAAGGGCCAGGTAAACTTTCGTTTTCAGTTTGCTGTGAAGAGAAAAGGATTATTTTGATAACTTGGACAATTCTAAAATATTGCTGAAATATTAGTGATAAGGTGGTAATTATATATATAATATTTTGGTTCAATCAATTAGTTCACCGTACCAAACACACCGTGTTTAAATGACTAGTTTAAGATTTCTCAAAGGATTACATTGTGTTGGTATACATGAAAGGTTTGTTGCCAGAAGCACTCACATATCATCTCCTTGCACCTTGTACAGGTTGACAAGACCCTTTAAATGTTGTGAGAAATCGTCAAAGTTCTTCTCTCTGCAAAATAAAAGAGAAAGAAAGGTGATGAGACATAGTACAACATTTGCCAAGACTTGATCCATTAACAATCTGCCATTTCAGCCACACTGACTCTGCGTTCTCATAGCTGAAATAGAAATTAAAATTGGTAATAGGTAAAATGAGCAAAGAAAAATGCAATAGTACATAAACTCTGCCCATTATTCCAATTGTTTTAGAATCCGGTAGATCATAGATGGTGGCATCATCCATGCAATTTGTTCCCTGTATTGAGGTTTTTTTTACAGAAGTAAGGCCCTGAAGTGTAATTCTAACTAATGTCAGACAGAAACAAGACATGCATTTTTATTGACCAATATATTTATACATGGCAGTAAAAAGCAGACCAATTCATATAGGGATGAGAGAGTGAAAACAGGTCTACATACTGAAAAAAATATATGGGAAAAAAAAAAAAAACGTAGGAAAGCTGGACGTGTTTCGCATCTACCACTGATGCTTATGGAGGAGCTGCTGAGGAAGCATCTGCTACAAAACACATCCATTATGTAGACTGTAAGCTCATTTGAGCAGGGTCCTCTTCAACCTACTGTTTCTGTAATGTTTTATTCAGCCCCTCCCCACACCCCTCTTATAATATTGTAAAGCGCTACAGAATCTGTTGGCGCTATATAAATGCCAATAATAATAATAATAATGTAGGTCTGTTTTTACGGCATGTATATAGATTGGTCTGCTTTTTACTACTTTTCATGGAACTTCCTTGTGACTATCAAATGCGTGCAGTCATCTCATGTTTTTGTTTATCTTTTTAGCCTATACTTGCCTGGATTAAAAAGATACACAATAATGAGTTTTTTCAACAATTAATTAGTAACAGACAGTTTAAGCACCAAACAAATATTAATCAACATGTAAGACATTTTATACTCACTTAAAGCACTCAATCTGGGTTGCTGCTACAGTGGTTAAGATGCGGGACTGTATGCTGACATGCCTGCACTTGGCCAATGATGACCCTTTTAACTCAAACAGTACTTTAACATTTGGAACATTTAGATTAATTCTACGCAAGTGCATGCGGTCAACAAACTTGGTTAAGAAAGACAGATCCATTAATACAAGAGGTTTTTGGTTACAGAAACGTTGCCAATGGGATTACCTTAACTGCTGGACCAGTTCTGGGCAGCTCTGCAGAGAAAGAAAAGCAAGCAGTGAATTTTCAGTCCTCTATTCTTGTGTTATGGAAATTGTTTTTTTTTTAAATAAATAAATAAATAAATAAAAAGAGAGAGATTGGTAATAACTGTAGACAAAAGATTTTGCAAAAGGTCAGTCAGCAACTGGAAGATCCAGCAAGGTAAAGTCACGAATAAACATACTCGAGTCTTCCACTCCAGCCAGGAAGCAATTTGCTCCTCTTGGGATTTGACTGAAATCATTATTTAAAAACCAAAAAAAACTAAAACAAAAAAAAACTGCAGGTACATGAACTAAAAATATGTTTTAACCAATTTTCTCCACATAAAGGGAATGTAAAAATACATTTTCTAAGGAAACACTGTGAAGCTTAAAGAAACACTCCATCACTATAACAGATGTATTACAAACTGTCCATGATACAAAGAAAAGGGGGCAGGAGACTATGCCATATACAATGAAGCCAAAACTAAGCAATTGAGTGCAATTCATAGATTTATTTCAGTTTAGAATTGCATGTGATAGGGCATTTGGCTTTTTAATAGGAATTTATTGTGATATCAAAGGTGCTGTGCACACTAAATTCCAATGGGATGGAATAGGGAACTAGGGGGCGTCTGTAGACCCGGTTTTCTCAAATTCAGAGGTGGCATATGATTATGTGTGTTGTGTGGACGGCCCTCCCTTACATATTTAAATAGGATAAAAACTCACCTTTATTTCAGGGCCACGCAGGTTTGCCAGCGCTGGCCCCACCTCCGATTCACCCCCTTAGCGGAGATAACCTGAAATGACAGTCTCCGTTCATCCGATGTTTTCTAATAGGAAAGCATTGGATTGGCTGAGATAGTCAACTCTAGTGATCTCAGCCAAGCAGGCGGTGTGGAGCCAAATGCAGCGCTGGTCAATGAGCATCTACTCATAGAGATGCATTGAATCAATGCATCTCTACAGGGAACGTTCAGAGTTTTCACAAAGAACAAGGAAACGCTGACCCAGGAAGCACCTTTAGTGGCCGTCTGAGTGACTGCAATTGGAGATGTTCCTGAAAAGGCAGTGATTACATGAAAAGGTCTGCAGGGACATACTATACTCACCAGAACAACTACATTAAGCTGTCCGAAGTTGCCTTTAATACCGGCATGAAGTATCCATTTCAACTTCATTTTTCAAACAGCATGTAAATTTTGTTTTTTGGTTTTTTTTTTAAAACATGGCTTGAACTGGCAAGGTTCGGTTGACCCTTTCATTAGGATGACAGATTTAAACATAATGTGATGAAATCTGCACAGAAATAGAATGTGTATTATCTTACTTGAGAACCTAACTGAGTCAGTGAACCGATTAATAAAACACAGAACTTAATACGCAGTATAAGTACATTGTTACAGTATGTATAAGTTATAGCAATGTTATTACTACACTGATCAGAGTTATGTCTTATCTATTTGGAACCATGAGTATTATTCTAACGACATACCATAGGATTTTCTCCCTGATGGGCCACAGTGACATCACATAACTGCCCTTCTGGATCTAGATGGACCTCTAAGTAGAACAAGTCAGAAGTAATATAAAACTCTGTGCCGTTGGGACTCAGATGCGATGCCAGGCTGGGCAGAAGAAAAAGAAAGTAGAAACACCATAAATTTCACAATATAAAGAACACACAAAAAAGCAAACATGTAGTATGTGCATCTATTAACTAGCTATGACAGCCTATTCAATATACAGAGCACTTGCAGCATTCGCTCCAAACACTTACCCATTCTGTCTTGCTATGGACTCCAGCCGATCTGTCATGGCTGAAAGGGATGTGACTGAAAGAAAGAAATATGCATTAAAGGGACACTCCAGACCCCTAAAGCGCTTTTGTAAATTATTCAGGTTACACCCCCAGGCTTTTCTAGAAATCAAAAAAGGTCCTGATTTCTTGTTTTGGTTAGCTTATTTGCACTGAACTCAAGCCCAGAGCACCTGCCTTGTACAGACGTCTCATTGAGATGCATTGGGAAGTCTGTCATTGGACAGACACAGAAAGATTGTGAACAGGGTTAGAAAAGGAGGGTTTGCGGGGCGGAGCTTAACCACAAAACGGAGCGGTCGCATGTGTAGCGAGCTCCGGCAAAAACGCGGCTAATTACCGACAAACAAACCTCTCACAGCCCTTATAATCCTATCAACCGACGGCCAGGACAGAGGGGCAAAGCACTCACCTGATCGATGCCCTTTTTATACCGCCAGACGGGACGGAAAGTACGCCGCACATCCAAGGCCTATCCAGACTACAGGGCCTTTGAGACGGCGCTCCACAACGCGGTCTTCTCCACTGCCATACCGCCCACGGAGCACACAGACACCGACTCGATAAACATGGGACGAAAATCCTAGCGGATAGCTACAGGTGCGTGCAAAGATACCCAAGACATTAGCACCATGCTCCAGCGCACAGCGGCACCGAAAATGGCGGCCACACCCGACCCAGACACAGGCTCCACGTGCTCGGAACTTGCCCTGGGGGACACCCTAGAACATCACTCAGCCCAAACTGACCCTGATGCACTGACACCTGCCACAAAATTAGACATTAAAAACCTCCTCATGGAGCTGAAACAAATTTCCGCAGCAGACATGGCTTTAATGAAAACGGAGGTGCAGGCGGTCACAGACCGAGTGAAGACCACTGAAGAAGACATCATAGATGTTCAAAACGAAATGAGAAGCCTAAAAGCATCACACACAACCCTGATCAACAAGCTGGATGCAGCAGAAAAGAGAAGCCGTAAGAGCAATGTGAAAATCAGGGGTATCCCTGAAGAAATAAGTCAGGCGGAACTACCACACTACTTTAGACGTCTGGCCGCCACCATAATGCCACACGCACAGGCCAAAAAATTAAATATAGCAGGGATATTTCGCATCCGGAAATCGCCACAGGCACCCCCCTAAGCAACCAAAGATGTGATCGTACGGTGCCATACCCAAACAGACAGAAATGCCATCTTCGCTGCCCTAAAAGGCAAAACACCATTGGACTTTGAAACCGCGAGTCTTACCTTCTATCAGGACCTGACACGATCCACACTCCAATGGAGAAGAACCCTGCGCCCTATGACCCGCCGCCTCCAAGACGCCAAGTTAGTATACCGCTGGACTGCACCAAAAACACTATCGGTGGACCACAACGGCACCACTCTACACCTCAACTCCACTCAGGAGGTGGACTCTTTCATTAGGGCACTGGGACTACCACAAGGATCTGACCACACAGAAGTACCCGCCAGCTCCCATATGTGGGACCCCAACAGGACTGTCCCTTTTCTACCGAGGGGAAGAGGAGCCCCTGAGGCAACCACCTGACACCACTGACTGTCTCTCAACCCATAAACGCGCTTCAACTACGAAGCCTCTACCGCTATAATTATTGTTTCGCTATAATTTGACTTTCACTGGTTTTCGACTTGATTTTTCTCAATTGTTTAAGGCTTGGCACCTAGGCACCACTGTAAGGCACACTATGTTTCCCAGGATTATATAATCCACGTAATGGCAAAATACGGCACACCGCTATAGCCACGACGAGTAGCACACTACACGGCAAAACACTCTTAGATTAGGGCCAACTATAGGCCGCTGGTATATTCCGCCCCCCCGCGGCCTCCCTGGTTAGGGGCCACTAACCACTTGATACCGCACGAATACCACTTAAACACATGGGAAGACCCAGGGTTGACATTAAGTACACCCAAACCAAGCGAGCCAGAACCTGGGACCCCCAAACTGAGCCACACTAACAAGGAGTGGGGCAAAATTATTTATCGCCATAGTACATATTTCAAATCACTAACATGGGAGGAGGAATAGCTACTCAGAACCCTACACACATACTGGATGTACAGATTACACTATATCCATACACTTTCTTCCTCCAAACAGGAGACTATGGCGATCTAGCGATAATTCTAATTAGAAGGATGTAACGTGGGAACTTACTTTCCTAATTTAAAATTGTGCAAAGTATTTCAATGCCAAATGTTTATTCATGTTTTCTGTTTGAAGCCTGAGACAGCTGTTGTGGCATCTCAAGCGACTATGTTAAACAAATGCGCAACAAAAATAAAGAATTATAAAAAGAAAAGGAGGGTTTGCAAAGACAGCAGGCAAGATATCCGCAGTTTTCGCAAACTGTTTATAGCTATACCCAAATGAAAAAATGCGTGCAAGAGTGATTTTCATTTATTTTTTATTGGGCAATGGAGTGTCCCTTTAAATAACTGTACTTTAAATTTCCTGTGTACTACAAATTACATAACTGTAGCTTCCATTAACTCCACTGAGCTAAACCCTGCAGTGCAAGGCCAGCTCATTGGTTGAGAGTGCCATCTAAGTACTCTCAGCCAATAAGTGCAGCTCTTCATGGCCGTGCTTAGCTCAACTTTGCTAAGACCTAATGTGCAAAGCCTGTCCATTGGTTGAGAGAGTCACCTAAGCGCCCTCAGTCAATGATTGTGGCTCTGCACAGCCAACCTTAGCCCAGAGCAGGAGCTTGCAGCAATGAATGCAAAGCACATTCCTGGTAAATTGTCAAAACAGTTGTTAAACGGTTTGACTACTTGCTCTGGAAGGTGCAAGGCACTCCTGCCACAATAACCACTGACACTTTAAATTTACATGTTTTACTGTTCGTTAATCACTATTATCAGACATGTAGGTTTTTATGGAATCAAGGAGAATGAAGTGTTTTCCATATTATGCAGGGATTAAGGTGGGAAAAGCATAATCTAAATCAGGGGTGAACCAAATATAGAACACCAGAGGTTTTAAAACTACAGCTTGCACAATTATGTGAGTTGTAGTTCTACAACATCTTAGGATCTACCTTTTGGGCACCCCTGATCTAAATAGTTATGTTTATACCTTATAATGCCTCTCCATTTTTTGGAGAAGTTTGAACTAAAAACAAAGAACTGGTCTCCACTGCACAGTCATGTATGTCACAAACAATGCTAATTGGGGGTCTTGTAGTGGGTTGACAGAAATTAGAGCAAGGCTCCAGATTTCCACTCACCAAGACTGGATGTGCAGGCTTTAATCTACTCATGGCTTCACAATTAGATAGGAAAAAAATCTATAAAATTAGTAAAATAAATTACTTCAAGTAAATCAGCAAATATATCACAGCATGTACTATTTCAAAATAAATTAAATACTGTAATGTCCAAGAGTCCTTGGGTAGTTAGTAGGGGGGCAGTGACGTACACACAATCCATGGATGCAAAACTGATCCAGTTCATCGTTCTTCGGCTAGAATACTCAGCCAGAACTTGCATGACAGGAGGACCGGGCGGTAAAGTCTCATTTAACTACTGTACACCAATGCTCATTTTGTGGTTTCTTGGAAACGAGTACCACAACACATTAATGTAAGGGTTCCTTTTGGAGGAGAGGGTTTTTTAAATCTGCCAATAAATGGAGTGTTACACTATGTGGATCTCTTTGCATCTTTTTTAAGGTACTGTGAAAATTGTTGCAAACAGTGCACTCTGAGCCTGTGGATGCAAGCTGTGTGGCAACATCACCCCCCTACTAACTACCCAAGGACTCTAGGACATTACAGTATTTAATTTATTTTGAAATAGTACATGCTGTGATATATATGCTGCTGATTTTTAGGTGCATATACCATTGTTTCTATTTCAGAGATTATATGTGGATTACCCGGATTGGGTAGTTAAGGTTTTTTTTCCCCACTAGAGTGCTGACACCTTTATTAAATATTGTTGGACGTGAAATTTTAAGGGAGTTTCTTGTGTGTATAGCTGCTTTTTTATATTTTATCATTTTTAATTGAGTTTTATGCGCTCTCTTGTTTTTTGATATACATCTCTTTATTCCTCATAAATTGTGCTTTAGGTTTACATTTATTTTCTATATTTACCCATTTTTATGCAAAAACTGGGTTTGTGTATTGCTTAAAGCTATCTTTGCAAGGATTGCAATTGCCTGTTACCATCAGTTCTACTTTTATATCATGTCAATCCCTCTTTTTGACTTTCAATGAGCAAAGTCAATGTAACTGTACACATTGTAAATCTGCAAATTTAATTACACAAATGTAGGTTCCAATTATCTGCTGTAAAAGCTGCACACAGTATACAACCCTTCATTCTACTTGGCTGCGGTCCCCAAACACCCCTGAAGCCACATTCTTTACAATATTATCTTACTTATTCAATACCTTTGCCATTACAACATTTACAGTTTCCTCTCAAACATTTCTCCAAACTACTCAAGGTTTCCATATTGGTCTGCTGTTTTACCAATACAAAAAAAACAAAAACAAAAAAAGTTTCTAATCTTACCTTTTATAGCCTTTTGGAGGGTCTCTAAGCAGTTTACAATCTGTTGGTTTCCTCCACCAACCATCCCAGGTCGTTTCTCCTAAGAGGATTAGAGAGATGTAAAGAATCAATGATAGTACTGCTGAGCACCATATGACTCCCTATCTGAAGGGTACATCTTTAGAATAGCAGAAAAAAAAATAATAAAAATAAAAAAAACTGATAAAGCAACTCACAATCTGATCTAAAATAGAAGGAAGAGAGGGAAGGAAAAAAAGAACACCACAAACGGATGACACCACCACAATTTCTGAAGACATGGGAAGAGTGAATGGTGTAAAATATTAACAATGCTCTATTAACAATGCTCATTCAAATGTCTCATTTTTTCCTCCATGAAAGTGCAATAAAAATAAATAAATAAAAAAGTCAATCCAATGTGATTCTTTATAACAAAACAGGTTTGTAAATTCCCCTAAATTAACATCCAGCACATAGACAGGTGGTTCACTGCAGCCAGATTCTCTTTGCTGAAATCTTGGAGACTGATGAACTGCCGGTTCCCAGATGTTGTATGGAAACACCGAAATGTGCGATGAGCCATTTATTATTTAAAGTAGTTTGATAACACATTGAAGATGTGATTTATTTAGTTTATTTGTATCCTGAGCCCTAGAATCTATATATGTTAAAGGAACACTATATGTCAGGAATACAAACATACCCACTTAAAAAAAGAATGAAAAGTTCTCTGTTTCAGCAATGCACAGGTCAGCCGGTGCTGGCTCTGTCCCCTTAGCTGAGATCATCAAAATGGACGTTCCCATAATGGCACGTGCAGCAAAATGCCGATCTGTGCCAATCGGCATCTCATTATAGAGATGCAGTGACTCAGTGCATCTCTATGGGGAAAGTTCAGCGTCTCCATGTAGCGTTTTGGAATCATCAATGAAGTTCAAGTTATTTCTGCTATTGTTTTTATTTTGTTTTCCTCCTGGATTCAAGTGGAAGAAAAGCATTCAGTCACCAAGATCCACCAATCCAATGCTTCTTACACAAGCACTGGATACATACCCAAAGTCCAGCATCAGAATACCGGTACTCTGTATGCGAATGCTGGACCTAGAGTAGATTCAATTCTCAAATCTATTTTAACCAGAAGCTCCTTGTAACCATCTGATTAAGACCATAAACAGCGCTGTTTCTTAAAGAAATACTCAAGTCTTACAGGGTTATTCGTTAAAGTAAGAATTCAAATTTCGAACTGGAGGTTAAAATATAAAACATTCTCTAAGTCAGCTAAGCTTCTACTTCAGCTATTTTGACCTAAAGTTTGAAATTCACTGAATTCTCAAGTTAGTAATTAACCCTGTAGAACTTGAACAGCCACTCAGGTTGTAGATGTTCTATAAGGTAGCTTTCTACATTACTTTTGCTTTATGGTTACAGTCATGCTAATCTTATCTGATATATATATTCAGCACATGAAAAGTTCCTAAGATAGCACAAGACAGAACTTTGCTTTTTTTACTGTTTGAACTCTGTACAAAAAAAATATTTAAAAAAAAACAACAATTAAGCGCAAGATGCGCACCGTATGGTGCTCACGCAGACACGGGGTTGGATGACATCCACTGTATTGACCGTAGACTGACCGACTTTCCACATGACCACTACCGAAGGCTTAGGACCGCACGGGGGCACATTCCGGATTATCAAAGGCGGGAAATAATTGCAATTGTTTTGATGTTCATACATGTCTTGTATTTTTTTTTTGTACTGTTTTACTTGCCGTATGCTTACGGAATTCATCGAAAATATTTTCAATAAATATGATTGACACAAAAAAAAAATATTTAAAAAAATAATGGCAAAGAATAAATACAGTGTTATTTACGAAAGTGAGAGCTGTCAGGAATTCATAATGAATTCAAAATAAATGTCACATTTAAGAACAAAATAGCCAAACTGGAAAAAGCATTCTCTAAGTCTGCAAGGGCTCATGGTCGTCTACGTTGGCCTTGTATTTGAAATTCACCTTGAATTCCCGTCAATTTTCACTTTTATTAAAAAAACCTTGTATGTATTTATATGAAAATTAGAGAGGGAATAAGATCATAGTCGACATATAGCTTCCTCATACTAGAACTATTTTCCTTTGACCAGATTTGTTTTTGTCTGCACCCTACCCATCCCATAGTAGTGCAGGTTCTCACCGTGGTTTGCCGAACTATCTTAATGGTCTCAGACCAGGGACGGCTCTGGCTGTGCTTAGTATGAAGCCGCTCCATTAGGGTACTCATCTTGTCTTGGGTCTGGGAACCTAGAGGAAGAATGACAAGACAGAAAACATTCATCCAGCAGTAATTAACATTACTTTCAGCTTCCAAAACATTGGCATATTTCAGTCCCTCACCTCCATCAATTTTACATCCCTTCTCCTTTATTTATTCTTTAAAAGACCTACTACTTTTCTCTAGGACAGGAAGGTATATTCTGAGACATCAATGTCATCGTCGACTACATCACTCATTATGGGAAGCAAAGAAGAAAAATCCATATCAGCTTGTCAATACAAATATGTCCTTTTTTTCCTCTAATATTCCCTTTATCTTGTCACCATACACACACAACTATTTTTCACACTGTTCCTTCTTTGCTTATAAAAATCAGCTCCCCATAATGCATTCTACATCCTCCAGTGAGTAACTCTCTCCTTTCCTTTCTAAACCCAGTTCAATTATTTTCAACAGTAAGCAAACCCTGACATGATGGCAGTTTATTTCACAACTACAGTGAAGGATACACCTTGGAATAAAAGTGATTTTGATACTATCCATGCTGTTTTACCATATTTTATAAAGAAATGTAAAGTTTGGCATATGCATTAGCATTATATGGTAAAAATGCTAAACCATTTATGCTGCTTCTTGTCTAATTGCCTGAAAATTACAGTTGGATTACATTAAATAATTGCATAAATGTAACCCATAACATACGGTCTAAACATTGTGGGAAAAAACAGTCTACAGTATGTTGTACCAAAAGATTGTCATGACTACTCTCCACCCATTCACCCTTCTACCCCAAAAGGACACCTCTCGGCTAAATTCCCCCTCAAAATCTACTTTCCCCCACAAACTGTATATATGGCATATTCTCTCTTCTTCAAAGAACAATTTTGATCATTATATGCATAGGAAGGTCCACATTATCTTTCCTCAAGAATCGCACACAACTCAGTCACATGATAAAAGCAGTGTTTGGGGGTCCCAATACATTAACCCTTGTGGGAATTCATTGAAACACTTATTTTGGGGGGTCAGAAATACATTTCAATGACTTTCAGCCTTGAAACTGTTATAGTGGATTTGTGGAATATATACACCAATATCTGGTCAGAAGCTACTATGGCCAACGATTTTGTGTATAATCTAGGGATCGACCGATCTTGATTTTTTTTTTAGAGCCGATACCTTACCGATTTTCTGTACATTTACCATTTTTAAAAAATAAACTATTTCTAAATGTACCCAGTGTGTTTGTGTAGTGTGAGTATATAATGAATGCAGTGTGTGTGTTTGTGTAGTGTGTTTATATAATGCAGTGTGTTTGTGTAGTGTGTGTATAGTGAATGCAGTGTGTTTGCGTAGTGTGTATATAGTGAATGCAGTGTGTATATAGTGAATGCAGTGTGTTTGTGTAGTGTGCATTATATCAACACACTACACAAACACACTGCATTACATACACAGTGTGTTTGTGTAGTGTGTTTATATAATGCAGTGAGTGTGTGTGTGTTTCTGTAGGTATGTAATTTGAGGGGAGGGGGCATTTTTTAAAAAATATTTAATTACTATTATTTTTTATAGTCCCCCCCCTTACCTGCTTCTTACTTGGCCAGGGAGAGGGGATATGCCATTCCCTGGTGGTCCGGTGGCATGGACTGTGCAGAGGGGGCCCACAGCAAGCGCTTACTTACCTTCCCGGCTGCTCCCTTCAGCTCCCGTGTAAATCCAGGGGAGCTGAAGGGAGCGGCCGGGAAGGTAAGTAAACGCTTGCTAACCCCCCACCCCCCCAGCAGTCCTGGTATGTATTATCGGAAAAATCAGTATCTCAATTGGCCGATACCGATATTGCAGAAAATACCAAATATCGGCCAGACTGATAATTGGTTGATCCCTAGTATAACCCAATAGTTTTTATACATACACACATATATATATATATATACACACACACACACACATATACATATATACATACACACACACACACAAATGAAGAGTGTATTGAAAAAGAAACCATTTTTTTCCAGGCAGACTATGTGAGCCACAGCCCATAGAGGTGTGGTTTGCGTTGCACAAACATAAACAAGTGATTGAAATGCTAAGTTGCAGAGAACTGAACAGTGAGACTGCTTTAAAGGACCACTATAGTGCCAGGAAAACATACTTGTTTTCCTGGCACTATAGTGCCCTGAGGGTGCCCCCACCCTCGGGGACCCCCTCCCACCTGGCTCTGGATGGGGAAATGGGTTAAAACTTACCTTTTTCCAGCGCTGGGCGGGTAGCTCTCCTCCTCCTCTCCGTTCCTCCCCATCGGTTGAATGCGCACGCACGGCAAGAGCTCATTCAGCCGGTCGCATAGGAAAGCATTTACAATGCTTTCCTATGGACGCTGGCGTGCTCTCACTGTAAAAATCACAGTGAGAAGCACGCAAGCGCCTCTAGTGGCTGTCAATGAGACAGCCACTAGAGGCTTTGGGGGAAGGCTTAACCCATTCATAAACATAGCAGTTTCTCTGAAACTGCTATGTTTATAAAAGAATGGGTTAAGCCTAGCTGGACCTGGCACCCAGACCACTTCATTAAGCTGAAGTGGTCTGGGTGCCTAGAGTGGTCCTTTAAGCCAAAGTTGTTTTGGTGACTATAGTGTCCTTTCAATATTTCCACTGCAATTACCTTATAAGTAGCTGTGTATGCATTACACTACAAATAAACCTATTAATAGTTAAATTATTGACACATGGCAATTGTGATGATGGAATAGAAGGAGGATCTAGGGGTATTTGCGGCACTACTCTATGCCTGGCTTTTCTGTAGTTGAAAACGTTCTGCTCGCTGGGTAAAAGTACAACTACAAACAGCATGCTGTGCTTTACGGTTATCAACAAGGGATAGCAGCAGTATGTGTGGCTGCAGGTATCTGCTAGAGCTGTGTTGGTGATTAGGATGGGTGTAACTGTTATGGATGAGTGTTTACTAACTCCCTGGCATACATTCAATGGAGAATCTCTCAGCATGTGGACATACGCATGTTTTTTGGTGGTAACTTATAGTCCTGGCTGATAACTAACAAATTTGAGGCCTGTGTAAAGGATATCTATACAACTCCATTATCTCTCCTAGAAATGCACTTTGTCAGCCAAATAGCTCCCATAACAGGGAAAGTTGGGGGATCATGAGTTGATGCTCTGAGTCACGGGTAGATGTCTATGGGGTGGGTGCAGGTACATGGGGTGCATACGGGTCGATGCCCATGGGGTAAGGGCGCAAGCCCGTGGGGGCAGGTTAGGGCAGATGCCCGTGGGGGCAGGTTAGGGCAGATGCCCGTGGGGGCAGGTTAGGGCAGATGCCCGTGGGGGCAGGTTAGGGCAGATGCCCGTGGGGGCAGATGCCCATGGGGGCAGGTTAGGGCAGATGCCCAGGGGGGCAGATGCCCAGGGGGGCAGGTTAGGGCAGATGCCCAGGGGCAGATGCCCAGGGGGGAACGGAGGGCAGATGCCCAGGGGGGGCAGGTTAGGGCAGATGCCCAGGGGGGCAGGTGGGGCAGATGCCCAGGGCAGATGCCCAGGGGGGCTGGAGTTAGGGCAGATGCCCAGGGGGCAGGTTAGGGCAGATGCCCAGGGGGGCAGGTTAGGGCAGATGCCCAGGGGGGCCAGGTTAGGGCAGATGCCCAGGGGGCAGGTGGGCAGATGCCCATGGGGGCAGGTTAGGGTAGATGCCCATGGGGGCAGATGCCCAGGGGGGCAGGTTAGGGCAGATGCCCAGGGGGGCAGGTTAGGGCAGATGCCCATGGGGGCAGGTTAGGGTAGATGCCCAGGGGGGCAGGTTAGGGCAGATGCCCAGGGGGGCAGGTTAGGGTAGATGCCCAGGGGGGCAGGTTAGGGTAGATGCCCAGGGGGGCAGGTTAGGGCAGATGCCCATGGGGGCAGGTTAGGGCAGATGCCCATGGGGGCAGGTTAGGGCAGATGCCCATGGGGGCAGGTTAGGGCAGATGCCCATGGGGGCAGGTTAGGGTAGATGCCCATGGGGGCAGGTTAGGGTAGATGCCCAGGGGGGCAGGTTAGGGTAGATGCCCAGGGGGGCAGGTGCCGGGGGGGGCAGGTTAGGTAGATGCCCAGGGGGGCAGGTTAGGGCAGATGCCCAGGGGGGCAGGTTAGGGTAGATGCCCAGGGGGGCAGGTTAGGGCAGATGCCCATGGGGGCAGGTTAGGGTAGATGCCCAGGGGGGCAGGTTAGGGTAGATGCCCAGGGGGGCAGGTGCCCATGGGGGCAGGTTAGGGTAGATGCCCATGGGGGCAGGTTAGGGTAGATGCCCAGGGGGGCAGGTTAGGGCAGATGCCCAGGGGGGCAGGTTAGGGCAGATGCCCAGGGGGGCAGGTTAGGGTAGATGCCAATGGTGCTCTGTGAGGCTGACGGTAGTTAAAGCTCCATGGTGGTAGTATTGGAGATATGGCTGGTGGTGGAGCTCCCAGTCTCTCCTTTCTCCCACCATAACACAGTGTATCCCATGGCCCCGCTCTAGCTCTCCGTTAAGCTGCCGTTACCTCACATGGGATCCGCTCCTTCCTGCTGGCTGCTCCCCGGACCCGGAAACCCTCTAACTGAACAGCGCAGCCGCAACGGCTTCAAACCTACGGCACCCGGGCTCTCGCGAGACTTCCCGAATACCCACCCCGCAAACTCCCGCGAGACTGGCCAGGCGCCTTCCCCGTCACCATAGCAACCAGACAGCGCTAACCAGTCAGGCAGTGAGTGACGCACACAACCAAATACAGAAACCAGCCATCCGCGGGCCGAGAGGTTTTTTTTTTTTTTTTAATAACGTAATGGCTGGAAAGGAGGGAAAAAAAAAAAAAAACATAAAAATGCGTGTTAACGGTTAGCCTCGCACGTTCACACGTGACGTCATTCTCGTGCGACGTACTTTACGTCCTGGCGTGCCTCCAGGAATCTGGTTTAAAGGCGGCGCCAGTTTGTGACGTCACGGTCGCGCTGGCCAATGGGCTGCCAGTTTCAGTGCTGAATAGCTCTGTTGGCTGCAGCACACATTTCATTAGCAATAAGGTTAACCCCTTCATGACTAAATCACAAAAGAGCATTTTAAAAAAAAAAATTTCTGTGTAGGCCAAATATTTGATCTTTTGCATCGCAGCAGAAACATAGCAATGATCCAGAGAAAGTAATTAAAAGCAGTTGTCAAAAAAGTGTGTTGTTATTATTTATAAAGCGCCAACATATTCTGCAGCGCTGTACAATGGGTGGACTAACAGACACATCATTGTAACCAGACGAGTTTGACGCACAAGAACAGAGGGGTTGAGGACCCTGCTCAATAAGCTTACATGCTAGAGTAAAAGGACACGCCAATGTCCAAATACAAAAATAAATTAAAATAATTGTTTAGTAGACATGCCCCCAATAGAAACATGCATGCAATTAATTATGTATTTCTCATTGGGGGTATATATAAAAACAGCTTGCAAAAGCTGCAGCCTTTACAAGCCCAACCCTGGCCAGACTTTTTTGTGGCTGTCCATTCCTAGACTTCACAATGAGAAATCTTTTGCAAGGCAGGTTCTTTGGTAATTGTATCCCTCTAGAGCAGGGGTAGTCAACCTTTTTATACCCATCGCCCAATAAATCATCTTTCTTGATGGTAAAATGTCCTTACCGCCCACCAGTGTTGCAGTAACTCAAACTTTTTAGCGCAAGTGTCTTCAGATACTCTGGTAAATAGCCACCACGAGCATATTGCTTTTTTTTCAGACATCGGTTCAAAATTTGTTGCACAATTTAACAACTACTTTTACTCTTACCATGTTTTCATCTGCACTCCCCACAGTGCTTCTCCCTTTTCCCTTTTATTACAAACACCAAAAACAACGCCGTATTTGGTTCCAATTTTTATTACGTGTCCCCATGAAAAGAAATTCCCCTTTATTTTTGCTACTTTTCCTGCCTCCTTCTTTTTTACCTTCCTTTTAAATTAAATCAATATATCAGGGGTCTCTTTTCCCTTTCTCTTTGTCCCCTCCTTCCTTTACTTCTTTTCCTTCTTTCTTTCTTTTATTTTACAAGATAACAAAACCTAACTTGCCAAGACACGAGCCACTCTAAACACTGCTTTCTCTCCTCCTTTATTTTATCCCCTTTTTTCTATTTTTCTTGCCTTTTTTTGTTAAATTTCTTTGATCTTTTTCCCTTTTATCTCCTTTTTATAATGCTTTTCTTTTACCTTCCTTATAGCAATGTCCAAAAGTAAGGCTGAGCTAGTTAGCCCACTTATTATTATTAGCCAACAACAATTCTCTCCTTCCTTTACTTATTTGCCTTTTTTCTTTCTTTCTTTCCTTCTTTCATTTTATAAGATAACTGTAAAATCTGGTTGGAATCGTCACTGTTAAATCTTCTTAATTTCTTCTTGTCTTCAGTTAATTGATATATATACATCTTTTGTATATATAGTCTTGGACCAAATGCTCCCAAATCCACATTCCAGAGCTCTGGGACAAAGAAAGCCTTGTGACTTATACCATCTGTTACTTATGTCAATCCACACATCCATATATAATCAATATTCTACATTCCCTCTGTTTATGGTTTGTCTTAAAACCATAACACAATGTCACTAACCTGTCCATTCATACATCACTCGTATGACAGTCATTGAATATAGAACAAGATGTAGTCACAACTTTCTATTACATGAGAGTTCTTAGAAGGTCGAGTTTCTATCCCTCATACTGCTTACTTTACTTCAAACTCCCTCTGTTTCAGCTATGTATTGATCCATATCCATGTTACATCATAACTACTTGAACATTATATGTACATATATATAACAATAATAAATTAATAAAATAAAATATTTACAAATGTTGATCCAATAAACAATAAGACAATCAGAAAGATCTTCCTGCTCTGGTACAGTCGTATCTTTGTAGATAACAAAATCAAGATGATAACTTTCTAAATAATAATAACTGTGTATCACTATCATATTCCAACAGACACATATAGCATAGTATTTTCATTCTCAATACCTGATATTACTTAAGTACTAATACATGTATTACTATAATATAAGTCCACTTATACTTCCATGAATCATATGTTTTCTAGTGAACTTAAAATCTTTAGGTCATTTGTATTCATGAATTACATTCATGAATTACATTCCTATACCATTAATACCACCTAGTGATGATTGTATCGGTACTTTACAATAATAGTATTTAATTTGTATATTCAGTAGGCTCTCACTACCTAAAATATATCAACACTACTTATAAGACTCATTCAAAGGATGTGTTATCAACCCTGACGTTCTATAATAATTCTTCGATTAATGTTCATGTTGTTGACGATACTTATTGTTCTAGAAATTCTCCACCCAGAAATCTTTCTATCATAGATTTGTTTTTGTTTACATAATTATAATTTTTACTAAAATTCCACCTTGTAGTAACAAACTTTTCATTCAACAGAAACATAGTTTACTTTAAAAGAACTTGGAAAGAATAATTTAAATTCATTATCATCACTCTTTTCATTAGCATTGTGATGACTTATTAATGTAATACATCTTAAAAGCAGGATTGGCCTAATGTTCTGACCAATCCGTATTCCTTAGTACACTTCAACTGACTAAATTAAAATAAAATAAAATAAACAAAACTTGGGGTCATACTGCCCAGAAATTCTTATTCCTAGTCTGTGTCTAACAAACTCAGGGAAATCATAAAACAACATATTACAACTTATTCAATTCATTGGATACCGTCATATCCAGAAACCTATTCTCCCTAGTCCATACCTTTATAGACTTAGGTCAAATATAATTGTGTACTATACTCTTAACTAAACTTCAATTCAATTCCTCTTGGATCTCCGAACTCTTATATGCAAGGGATTCTTAATGTATACCATTACTTAATATTAATCAATATAAATTATCCTTCCTTAGTTTTCTTCCTTATGTTACCATAGTTTGTTTTACTTCACCTCGATATAAACAAATTACTCATTCTTGTGAATCTATGAAATACTATTGCACTCAATCTTTGAAGTATTAAGTAACCATGATCCTTATTTAATCAACTTCATATTTTATCTACTTCTGATACTTCTCATTCTATGTATAGGTCATAATGTAATAGTTCTCTTCATAATACTATCCTATCATAATTTTACTCCATGTGTTATATTGTTATAAGTAGTCTCTTGTTATTAATACTCATAACTGTTAAATAACTTTTCATTGTCTCTTTTCTTCTTCGTTAATATTTAGGAATTGATATGTGTGTTAGTGTCAATTTTTTATTTCTTTGTAAGTCTGTTAATCTTCTGTATCGAATGAACTCTGTAGAATCTTCCATCACAGTTTGCAGATCAGATGAAAAGTCTCTTTCCAACAGTCGATGTCCAGTTGTCTAAAGGAATTCTTTCCTAATTTACTGCCACAAGGATCTGTCACGCTTTTTACCAGATCAGTTATTTCTGTCTATTTAGTTGCTTCATCCACACAGCTGCGCAGTTCTGGACTTGGATCTGGATGATTGCCAATCTCTGCCACGTGCTTGCTTCTAGAATTCACGTTGTATCTTGTGCTTTTTGTCTCAGTTGTAGAAAATAGTCTTGTACTGTCTTTGTGATTTGAAAACTTTCTTTTTCTTACAAACCACAGTTCTTCTGTGATAGTCTAGATTCTTTTTTTTTTCTCTTCAAGTTTGTTTTCCCAGTTCCAAAATAGCTTTGTAACTCGATTCTTCTCTCTCCCCCCTTGAAGTGGGAACAAAACTTGAATAGAAGACTGGCTGGCTAGCCAATGTAAAATCTGGTTGGAATCGTCACTGTTAAATCTTCTTAATTTCTTCTTGTCTTCAGTTGATTGATATATATATACGTCTTTTGTATATATAGTCTTGGGCCAAATGCTCGCCACAATAATATATATCTATATTGTTGAAAAGTACTAATACGCAATCTGACTTACGGTTTCTTCAGGTTTTCTTAGTTACGGATACATAATAAAACAACAAATTATGTTACAGGATAATGGACATTCAACAGCAGATGGTAATTGCTGGACTCCTGACGTCCTGACATCTTTACATAGAGAGAGAACCAGAGAGAGCCAAGAGAGAGAGAGACCTCGTGTCCCTCTGTTACTATATAGATGTGCCCATACTGACGTTAGAGTTTAACTCTAGCCATATGAGGACAAGACCCCCAAAGCCACATTCCAGAGCTCTCGGACAAAGAAAGCCTTGTGACTTATACCATCTGTTACTTATACCAATCCACACATCCATATATAATCAATAGAAACATAGAATATGCAATATTCTACAATAACAAAACTTAACTTGCCAAAACACTCTAAACACTGCTTTCTCTCCTCCTTTATTTTATACCCTTTTTTCTATTTTTCTTCCCTTTTTATTTTTTTGATCTTTTCCTTTTTATCTCCTTTTTTAAAAAAAAATGCTTTTCTTTTACTTTTCTTATGGCAATGTCCAAAAGTAAGACTGAGCTAGTTAGCCCACTTATTATTATTAGCCAACAACAATTCTCTCCTTCTCCTGCTATAACTTTTC